AGAACCAATTTAAAGCAGTGCCACAGACACCAGACTCTTTAATAGAATGCCATGATCAATGGTGTCAATTGCTGCGGACAAGTCCAAAAGGATGAGGATGATGTATGCCCCTTCATCAGTTGCTCTGAGGATATCATTTGAAACCCTTAACAATGCAGACTCTGCACTATGTAAGTTTTTAAAACCGGACTGAAATACCTCAAGCATATTATTACTCCCCAAAAAGCAAGTTAATGGTGTGTTGACAATCTTCTCTAAAATTTTAGATAGGAACGGCAACCTAGAAATTGACCTGAAGTTGGCCAGTACCGACTTATCCAAGTTATTTCCCTTTAACATGGGTCAGACAACAGCATGCTTAAAAGTCATAGGGACCACCCCAGCAGACAGGCTAGTATTAATAATAGCCAGTATAGGTAACACAATACTAGGGAAAACTTGCTTCAAAAGGTGAGGAGGAGCAGCATCAAAAGGAGAACCAGAAGGTCTCATGTTATTGACAAGCCTTTCCAATAAGGGCAAGCTAATGGGTGTAAACTTGTCAAATGCCCCCGTAGGAATCACTGGTTCAGGAAGATCCAAATTCGGCACTGGGATAGCTGTCCTAATATCAGCCACCTTTTGGATAAAATAATTCAGAAGGTCATTGCATAGCTCAATAGATGGCTCTATATCATCAGTCTGAGGAAGTTGAAGAACAGAGTTAACGGTTTTAAAAAGTACTCGAGGATTATGCTTGCTTGTGGCCACCAGGTTAGACAGGTAATTACTTTTAGAGTCTTTCACCACCCTTTGATGTTTGTGCCACGAGTCCCTTAAAAGCTGATGGGATGCGTGTAACCCATCCTTCTTCCACCTGCGCTCAGCCTTGCGGCACTCCCGTCTAGCCTCTCGGGTGTTCTCATTAAACCAAGGATCAGGTTTTCGCCTCGGCTGCATGGTTTTAAAAGGAGCCACAGAGTCTAAGATCTGCGAACAGGATGATAGGAACCAGGTAGTCAGCTGGTTTACATCTGAGACAGGCAGAGCGGGAGGCAGGCGCAGCCGGCTGACGGCTTCGGAGAACGGTCCGTCACTGAAAGACCAAAAATTCGACAACGTTTGGCTATACAATCAGGGTCAATATGGGTGTACAACAGATCTGCATTAAATAAGACAGGTAAATGATCAGAGCACACACTGTCACCAGTTTCAATATTTGAAATAGAGAGCCCAGCAGAGAGGACGAGGTCCAGTGCATGGCCATGTTCATGCATGGGTCCAGTCACCCATTGTGCCAAATTAAAAGAGTCAATAATAGATAAAAAGTCCCTGGCCAGACCGTTGTCAGGACAACACACATGAATATTAAAATCTCCAACCATCAGGACCCGATCATAATGAGGCATCACAGTCATTAAAAAGTCAGCAAATTCATTACTAAAGTCTTTATTATATTTAGGTGGTCCATAAATGGCCGCACACATCACGGGGTCCGAGTGGCCCACCTCAGACAATGTCACCTCGAAGCTGCGACCCAAAGTCGAACAGTTCTTTGGCCTACATCTAAGATTGTTCTTAAACACCACTGCCGTGCCTCCTCCACGGCCAGACAACCTAGGCGAGCTGATGTACGCACAGTCTGCCGGTAGAAGCTCGACAAAAGCGCTGCCCAGGTCTCCACGATGCAAAGCATGTCCAAGTCCTGGGAGGAAAAGAAATCTCTTAGGATGAAGGCCTTTTTTGCCAAATATCTAGCGTTCACCAGGCCAATCCCGGCTGGAATAGCATCCTGTGGAACGACTGGGCCAGTTGGAACGCGATGAAGAGTTTTTAAATTCCCAGGGTTAACCCCACGCTGACGTAGCCAGTGTAAGTTAGTGCGATGGGGCAGGGATTCTCCTCCAAAGCCGACGACCGGCGTGAAGGATGACGCAGGTGGACCCAGGGAGCGCTAAAGGGACAAAAAACTGCAGAGATGGTCCAGATCTTGTGAAGGAGATGAGGTCAGACTGTACCAAACAGACCTTCAACGTCCTCATTCGACCACCCCGTCTGCCACGGCGACGTTTCCGACGGGGGAGGGGAGCCCACGCCCTCAACAGGTGAGTCGGGATATCCGATGGCAAGAGTGGCAGGTATTTCCATCCGCTGTATGTAACAGAGTTCTGGCTTGTAGAATGATGTTGTAAAGCAATTAGCGTTTGACAGTTACAGGCCAGCAAAGACTCTGATTGTGGGATATCCAGGCACAAAAACACAAGCAGAAGCTTGGAGAGCAGGAGACGAGCAGCCACACACACCGGCGCCATCTCGGTTTATCATGTTGAGGTGATGATTAATCCTCATTTCAGCAATGATAATTCCATGGATCTGCAGTTCCTAAAACTCTCTCAACACACATAGATGGAAAAAAGAATGGAATAAAAATATTTCTGGGTCTATGTGTATATACGCACTTAAAGAAATGGTCAACTGGTACAGAAATAGAAATTCTTCTGTCCTTATGTGTTTTATTGATGCTTCTAAGGCTTTTGATCGTGTAAACCACAGAAAACTTTTTATTAAGTTAAAGCTACGGGGGGTCCCTGGGTTTATTGTGAGAATCCTGTCTTACTGGTATGCTCATCAGATGATGCAGGTTAAATGGGGTGCCAGCATCTCTGCACCATTTGGCGTTAGTAATGGTGTTAGGCAGGGTGGAATTCTGTCTCCTATCTTATTTAATCTGTACGTTGACGATCTGTCAGTGCAGCTGAGAGCCTGTAACACAGGATGTTTGATGGGTACAACTTTGATCAACCATCTGATGTATGCTGATGATCTGGTGGTCTTTAGTCCAAGTAGTGCTGGTTTACAGCAGCTCCTAAATATCTGCTCTGAATATGGTGTGCAGTATGATATTCAGTATAATGCTGTTAAAAGTGCTATCTTGATATGTAGAACCAAGCAGGATAAAAAGCTAAACTTTCCTGTGTTCAAACTGTCTAATAGTGATCTTAATGTGTGTGAGAAGGTGAAATACCTTGGCCACTTTATAACTGATCAAATGCGTGATGATGCTGACATCCACAGACAGTGCTGTAAGCTGTATGCACAAGCTAATACTATAGCTCGTAAGTTTGGTTTTTGTTCACCTCCAGTTAAGGTGGCTTTATTTAAAGCATATTGTACTCCGCTCTACACAGCCCAACTGTGGTCATCCTACAATCAAAGCAGCATGAACAAGCTGCAAGTTGCATACAACGATGCCTTAAGGATCATACTTAAAATACCCAGAGGGGGCAGTGCCAGTCAGATGTTTGTAACAGCAGGCGTTTGTACTTTTAAAGCTCTTTTAAGAAAACTCATATTCACTTTTACAGGCCGACTGGATAGCTCTGTCAACAGTATAATTTTAGCAATCACTGATCCTACTGTGAGCAGTTGTCTCTATTTCTCCAGTATAAGGAAATACTGGTTGAAGTGTTTGTGTGGTTAACCTTGTGTGGAACAGTTTATAGTAAAGCTTTTAATTACATTTAGATTTTTATTCAATTTTATGCTGTTATCTTTTTATTTCGATTTATCTATTTTGTTTCATTGATCTGTTGTTTTATATGTATTTTATCTGGACCTAAGAGTCTGTCAATAAAGATTATCTATCTATCTATCTATTTATCCACCGTTCTGATCATGCTTGATTTCTCAGTCTGTAATTCAAGCTGCAAAGAGAGCGCTCACTGATTGCATGGCTCATCAATGTTGACATAGCTACCGTTTGAGGCTAAAAAAAGAGGTTTTTATTTAAAAAAATAAAAAGCGGGAAGAAGTCAATGAGGCACAGATGATGCACAGGCTAGAACAGGTGCTGGAGGAGTTCCTGTTGCTGTAGCAGGAAGTGATTCTGGATTGGACATTGATGCTACAGATCCAGGCTTTTTAGCTAGTCAGGGCTCCTCAAAGAGGTTTCTTCAGATAGAAAGCGGTTTCCACAAAACTACTTATGATTCAAGGGCTGGGGTATTCGCAATCAATTATGGTGATAAAATGGATTAAATTAAATTATAATTTATCTGTATTAACACAAAAATAGATGCTGTGGAAGTTAGGATAATTATCTCATTATCTCAAATAGTGCTGATCAGAAGGCACACCTGTTTTGTTGAGAAAACAACAAAAACAAACTGTTGGAGATGTTCACACGTTCATTTTCATCAACTCAAGATCCTCAATCCTTAATGCACAAGAAATGTTTTTGTGGTTTGATTTCGCCTTCAGTTGGATGAATTTGCACTACTTTCACAATATCTGTCTGATACCTGCAAATGTAAAGCTCTGCACTTTGTATGAATATGTCTATATCCAGCTAAAGTCATGACAGAAGTCTCTGTTTATCTGCAATAATAAATAATAAACATGCATATAAAAATTTATTTAGCAAATTTTTAATGCAATTCTCTAAGAAAAACACATTCTAAAGTGTCAGCGGTCTTTAACAGCATAAAGAAAAGGATATTTACTTTTTCTAAATGTTTTTTTATTCTCCTCAACTCCACCATGTAATAATTTATGCCTCTCATACCTTTTTTGTGTTTATCTGACTCTTTTCAACTTGGAATAAGTTCTTATTGAAATTCAGCAACCCTCATATCTTAGCTCAACATTATTTAGTTGTTGATGTTTAATCTGTCATAACATAAAGCCCTGGAAAATGTTTGAGGCAGCTTGAGCTGAAGGAATGAGGATGCTAAATGCATTAATGTGGGTCAAAAGCACATAGGATAAAAAAATAAATAAAACTTTTATTTATATTAATGTTTTTCTCCATTCTGGAAATTCATTAATATGTCTATTTTAATATTTAAACACAAATGAATAGAAATAAATTACTGTGTGTTGTTTATTTGCAGTTTGGGGTGCAGCAGCTAATGTGGGAGCTTCCCTTCTCCACACACACACGCAGCTGCTGACACGCCCCTTCTAATAACCAGTTTAGCAGCTGTAGCGTCACATGACAGCTGACTGAAGTGATATTTAGTTTCAGAGGCGAGGATCACGAGGCCGTCTGGATAAAAGCAGGAGTTCATTTGTGAGTTCAAAATTGTCTTTCAATCCAACTAATGTTTATAAATTGTCAGAAATCATATTGAAATATATTTAATTAGTGTAATTTGCTGTTAAACTACTGAAATGACATCAAACTATTAAACTTCTTGGTCTTATTTCATTAGCATTTCATTTAGCATTATCTTGGTCTGCTGCCAACACTTGAGTCCAAAGATGAGCGTAGAAACTGAAGAAGAGCAGCTTCTTCTTCATGCTAAAGAAGGAAACTGCCTTCTTGTTAAAAAGTTGCTTCAAACAAGAGTAAATGAAAACTCCTCCCTCAACATCAATGTTAGATGTAAGTATGAGCTGCAGGATTGTGACTCCAGGTGCACCCAGGGGGGATAATTATCCTCTCTGTGTGTAGCTGGGAATAACAGCACCTCGGGGTGGACAGCTCTCCATCTAGCTTGCAACGGTGGTCACATGGATGTTGTGGAGGAGTTACTGAAGGTGAGAGCTCTCTTTCTCTGGAAATAATAAAGTATTCTCCTTTTTAACCTGCTGCAAGAGAAATGTTCCCCCATTGTTTTGCAGGCTGGGGTGGATGTGAATTTGCAGGATAACTCTGGTGACACCCCTCTACACAAAGCAGCACTTGCTGGAAGAAAGGTAACAGTGTTTATATATGTAAATACCAGAATTAAGATTATTTATGCTCTCATGATGCTTTAAATGGGTCTGTGCCCAGCGCTGGAACAGATGCAGAGGGGGGAAACACTTTTAAATACACTCAGACCATCACTTCATTGGGTACATCATGTAAAAAAATAAAATAAAGCGGCCATTCAATCACATGGCATCAGAATGTGGAAGAAAGATGGGCTACTCTGACTTTTCAGAAATTTTCTCTATTTTTCACCAACAATTATCTCTACGGTAGACTGGTCTACAAAGGAAACTTAGCTAGTGAGCGGCAAGTGAGTGAATAAAACGTGTTGTTGAGATCTGATGCTGGAAAAGTCTTGATTTCAGCTGCAACATTCAGACGTTCAGGTCCGAATTAGGTGTCAACAACATGAAAGCATGTATCCAGGCTGCTGATAGTGGTGTCATGGAAACAGGGAGATGTTCTTAGCCCACTTTACTCCCACTTAGTGCCATCTTAGCCTTGTTTAAACACCACACCCATCCTGATTACCATTGCTGGACCCATCCTCTGGCTAATGCAGTGGTATAATGCACCACTTCACAAAGCTCAAATCCTTTCAGGCGGGTTCCTTTACATTTGCTGGATTCAAACAACCTCTAGAGTTACTGGATCCTAATTCAGTCCCAAATCAACGGGATGTGCAGCTGTGTGATGAAATGTATAGCTGAAACTTGAAAAATTTGAATATGATGCAAAAGTTCCTTTATCCACAAATTCATCTTAAATGTGGAATATGAACATTTTCATATAAATCTAAAAATAAACCTCCACGGGTCATTTAGAGGTGTGCTGAATGAATGTACAGTTTCTTCTATTAAAAAAAAATACAAATTTTATTTTGAAGGGCACTGCGTTTATGTTTACATCTACCAGCCAATAGGGGGCAACGTTGCCGTTAAAATTGACTCGTTAAGTCAGGCAGCTGATTCTGAGCCCAGAAGATGTTCTAATGGTAAATACTGTTGTAAAAAAAGTATATTAGTAGAAATTCGTCCTTATCCTGTATGATTTGTCACTGGACATGGTGCTGGCTGGTCACTTCACGTGTCAGCAGTGATCCAACACCCCCAAGGCTGGAAAATGTGTTGTGTTGTTGCACTACCACTTCTAAACACTAAATGTCACTATAGTGTCCATTTTCCTTGTTCAACAGTTAATATGTGAAACTAATATATGATAGACTCATTACAATGTAAAGCCAAAGCTAGTATTTGTTATAATTGTGATGAAAACCCCAAATTGAAAATCTCAAACTATTAGAATATTGTGAAAAGGTTCAATATTCTAGACCAGGGGTGCACAATCCTGGTCCTGGACGACCGGTATCCAGCAGGTTTTGTGGTTTCTCCCCTCCAACACACTTGAGTCAGAGGTCAAATCACCTGTGCAGTAGCTCATCAGGCTCTGCAGAAGTCTGCTAATCACCAGCTGATTGAAATCAGGTGTGTTGAAGCAAGGTTAAATCTAAAACCTGCTGGACCGGGATATGGCACCCTTGTAGACTCAAAGTGAGACACTTTAATCAGCTGATGAATCTAAAACACCTGCAAAGGGTTCCTGAGCCTTTAGGTGGTCTCACGGTCTTAGCTGTGTTACTGACATAAATGGACTTTTGCATAAGTCAATTTTTTTGAGTTTCACCTGTAATAAATGAGAACTTAAGGTAGGGGTCCAACCTCCAATATTAGCAAGGTGTAACTAATGAAGTGCTACATTTGATTCCTGTACTAATTTTCTAAAGAATTGAAAAACGATTAGACAAAAATGTACGTCCATAGGACTTTTTTTGGTGTTTTTCTTGTTGCACATGGTGGGATCATTCTTTAGTATGTTATGAATATTAGTTGCATTTCTGTTTTGTGTAAAATTTGTGAGATTTTAATCTGAATTAGACTTTTTCCCCTGGTTAAATGAAATAAAATAAACAGATGTTTAAGCTCAGCTGCTTTCCAATCCTCATTTCCAGCCTGCAAAAGTATTGTTCTGATGAGTGATGATCACTGTGTGTTTTCTTCTGGACTTCCAAGGAGATTGTTCTGTTGCTGCTTCGCTACAATGCCTGTGCCAATATAATCAACGGGACAGCTCAAATCCCCAAAGATGTCACAGAGGATGATGAAATCATCACGATGCTGGAAGGTATGAAATCACGGCAGGTTTTTTTATTATTATTTTCATTTCAGACGGTTGGCTTCTCATTACAGGAGCTCAGCTGTCTTTGGACTCAAGTACTGTTTGGTTTCTGCAGCTGCGGAGAGGAGGGAGGCGAGACGACGGGAGCAGAAGCTTCTGGATGCTGCTAGAGAGGGAGATCTCTCCACTCTGTCAAAATTGGTTAGCGCCTGACCTTTCAAAGAACTTTAAGAAAAATATAACACTTTGAAGAGGATCTTTCTGACCTATCTAATAGGTCATGTGAAAGGCATCTCACACAGTCTCTGCTGTCTCTGAGATTCTTAAGGTTTTCTTAAATGTTATGTTGGATAGCACTAAAGAAATAAAGCTTTTCATTAGATAAAAATACTTATAAGCAAGTTTTAGAGTATGTTCAATAGTTTACGATAAGTTATTTAAGTTTTTCTGACCTCTGATTTTCAGCTAAGTGGAAAGGAAGTTCCAGATCTCCACTGCAGGGACTCAGTGGGGAACACACCTTTACACTGTGCAGCCTACAGGGGGCAGAAGCAGTGCGTTATTAAGTTGCTGAAGTCTGGAGCCAGCCCGGATCTCACAAATAACAATGGTATGTTACTTATCTGGTGCTTTGCTTTGGAGGATGTAGTAGTTTCTGAGAGTATTCAATCATTTAGTCATTTGCTGAGGTTGCAGAACAAACGGCGTTGGACCTGGCTCGTACTGCTGACCTGAAACAGATTATAGCTGCATATCAATGTAAGGTGAGATTAAACAATTAATATTTATCAAGTTTTGTGTTTTCTTTCTTAACTGTTTCCTTATAATTCATCGTCTCAGCAGCTGATTTGTAAAACCTAATCTTCAGCACTTTTTAAATTCTCCTATGTTTGAATGCAACCACTTGCGGTCTGGTGACTGTGCGGAAAAGTCTTCCAAGTCAGCGGTCTTTGCTCTGGCCTGTGTTCAATACGCTTTGCAGGGATTCAGTGGGGATTTTTAGCACTGTGCAAATAAAAGCATTGCTACAGACAGAACTGCTGATTAAATGGAAAATCTGCTATGTGGCTTCATGGTAATCAGGCGCCATCTCTGAATCCATTTGTCTGTCTGTCCTTCTGTCTCCAGGATGTGACCGGTGGGGTTCAGAAAATGGAGGGCCCACTTTGGAAGGTACACAGATGTTGAAGTGTAATCTTATCTGCTCTTTATGATCAGTGTATAATCCATACATGTATAGATGCACACCTTTTTATATATACATAAAAATAGAAAATAACTAACCCTTGTTAAAAATAACCCAACTGTGGTGTTTCACACCTGAGTTCAATTTCTGTAGCCACCCCAAGCCTGATTACTGCCACACCTGTTTCAATCAAGAAATCACTTAAATATGAGCTGCCTGGCACAGAGAAGTAGACCAAAAGCACCTCAAAAGCTAAACATCATGCCAAGATCCAAAGAAAGTCTAGAACAAATGAGAACAAAAGTAATTGAGATCCATCAGTCTGGTAAAGGTTATAAAGCCATTCCTAAAGCTTTGGGACTCCAGCGAACCACAGTGAGAGCCATTATCCACAACAGTGGTGAACTTTCCCAGGAGTGGTTGGCTAACCAAAATTACCCCAAGAGCGCAGAGACAACTCATCTGAGAGGTCACAAAAGACCCCAGGACAACTTCTAAAGAACTGCAGGCCTCACTTGCCTCAAGGTCAGTGTTCACGACTCCACCGTAAGAAAGAGACTGGACAAAAAAGGCCTGCATTGCAGATTTCCAAGACGCAAACCTCTGTTAAGCAAAAAGAACATTAGGGCTCGTCTCAGTTTTGCTAAGAAACATCTCAATGATTGCCCAGACTTTTGGGAAAATACCTTGTGGACTGATGAGACAAAAGTTGAACTTTTTGGAAAGCAAATGTCCCGTTACATCTGGCGTAGAAGTAACACAGCATTTCAGACAAAGAACATCATACCAACAATAAAATATGGTGGTGGTAGTGTGATGGTCTGGGGTTGTTTTGCTGCTTCAGGAACTGGAAGGCTTGCTGTGATCAATGGAACCATGAATTCTACTGTCTACCAAAACATCCTGAAGGAGAATGTCCGGTCATCTGTTCGTCAACTAAAGCTGAAGCGATTTTGGGTGCTGCAGCAGGACAATGACCCAAAACACACCAGCAAATCCACCTCTGAATGGCTGAAGAACAACAAACTGAAGACTTTGGAGTGGCCTAGTCAAAGTCCTGACCTGAATCCTATTGAGATGCTATGGCATGACCTTAAAAATGCGGTTCATGCTAGAAAACCCTCAAATAAAGCTGAATTACAACAATTCTGCAAAGACGAGTGGGGCTAAATTCCTCCAGAGCGCTGTAAAAGACTTGTAGCAAGTTATCGCAAACGCTTGATTGCAGTTATTGCTGCTAAGGGAGGCCCAACCAGTTGTTAGGTTCACGGGGCAATTGCTTTTTCACACAGGGCAATGTAGGTTTGGATTTTGTTCTCTCCCTAAAAAATAAAAACCATCATTTCAAAACTGCATTTTGTGTTTACTTGTGTTATCTTTGACTAATGGTTAAATGTGTTTGATGAGAAACATTTTGTGTGACAAACAGGCAAAAGAATAAGAAATCAGGAATGGGGCAAACAGTTTTTCACTCCACTGTATTAGTTCTGAGTGTAATTTTACTAGGCTCTTGTTATGAGAGTGAGGTTTTCTGGGCGCGTCCAACTGGGAGGAGCCCAAAAGAAAGACCCAGGACAAGCTAGAGGGACTGTCTCTCAGCTGGCCAGGGAACATCTTGGGATTTCTCTGGAGGAGCTGGCCCAAGTGGCTGGGGACAGGGAAATCTGGGCCTCTCTGCTTAAGCTGCCCCTGCGACCCGACCTGGATAAGGAGAAAATGAATAGATGGACTCTGGCTTACAGATTTTCAATACAATACATATTTATGAAGTTCTTTGCACTAAATCCCTCTCCCATTAAGAGATTTTCAGTATCTTGCACAATGAGCCGTTTCACCCTCCCACTGTCCTAACGAGGAAAGTTGACCATTGAGCAGGGTTGATGGTTTATTCCTTGGGTCCATGTGGCAGAAGTGAGGAGTGAGCACCTCGACCACCCTCACTCAGGCTGCTATAAGGTGAGAAGCTCCAATATCTTGGAGGGGCTCTTAGTACAGCCATTGCTCCTCCAGAAGCAGCTCTCTCTTGTACGTGAGAGATGGTTGTATTCTAATGTATCTGTTTGTGACATCACAGTCAGGGACTTTTTGAAACGGCTTGTTTTAGGCACATGATTCCCAAAATCTTAACACTGACAGAAAATGGATAAATGTTTTATTTTTCACATTTGGAGTGTTTTTAAAGGTGATAAGAAACTCACATGGCAGCACAAAAGGAAACCTAATGGCAGGGTTTGAATTACGGGGAAGCTAGGGGGACACACGCAGGGAGATTTTTTTAACCACATTTTAGAATATTGCAATAATATAATGTATCTCGCTGGCTTTTTCAGCAACTAATTGCAACTTTCCATCGGGCGGAGACATTACTGGCTTCTATGTTCTCCGTCTTGCATTAAATAACAATTGTTTTGGCTTTTAAGCTGCTGCTCAAACTTTGTTTCCGGATACATTGATGGCTTTTTTTTTTTCTTGTTCAGTATGACAATATTCAGGGAAAATAAAATGGGAAAATTTGGGAGTTTTTTGAAACACACATTTGTGCTCTAAAAAGATTATCCACATAACTCAACAGCTATTTCTGACAGAGCTCAAGTCTTCTTGGTTGGAGATCCCACTGGGTGGTTGTAGAAAATGGAACGATCTCCTGGTACCCCAAACGGTAAGTTCTGACAGTGTTTCTTTTATTAATTTATTTTTATTTTACTGCTTTTGATGATTAATTAAATTTTTTTTCTTTAGAGCAGACGCACAGGCTGGCATTCGAAAACAAGGCTCTAAGTCTCTTTTACAAGCTCATTGCATGGTTAGTTGCTACAGTGGGTAGAAAAAGTAGTCAGATCCCTGTCAATTTTTCACTCTTTGTTATATTGCAGCAATTTTCTAAAATCAAATTCTGTGGATTTTCCTAATCAAGTCCAATCAGTATGATCAAACGCAGCTGTACTCCAGTGAAGGTGTTGGACAATCTCAAGGATGATCAGAAGAAATGGAAAGCACCTGAGTTAAATCTGAATGTCACAGCAAAGGGTCTGAATACTTTCTTAATTCATCTGCATACATTTCTAAAATTCTGTGTTTCTCTGTGAATATGGGCTGCTGTGTGTACATTAATGAGTAAACATTTGAATTTCATTGATTTTAGCAAATGGTTGTAACATAACCAAGAGTGAAAAATTGATGGGGGTCAGAGTACTTTCCGTACCCGCTGTATCTATGTAGATATCAGTGAATTTTTCAGCTGTTATTAAACCAGATTGATACACAATGTTTGTGGTTTGTCAAATAGATTGTTTACAATTCCAGGTCAAACCGTGGGATCATTGCTTCTTTGTGCTCCGCTGCTTTGATGACACAGTGCATCATTTCAAGGTCCCTTCAAATTTAGACTCAATATCAACAAGAAAAGTGAGACAAACCCCTTCTGAGTAACACTAGCTGCGTTTACATGAGCCAAATTTCCTCAATCCGATTAAATATGCGCATGTAAACGTGGCTATACTGCAGACTCTGCATGGGTGTAATTATGTAATTGATTCTGGTCCACTTAGAGATGGCTGGGTGCTCTGGAGGAGCACGCATGTTACGGCACTCATCACTGCATCCAAGACCCGATCGTTTATGATGACATTGGCGATGTTGAAATGGGGAATCTGACACAAGCTGTTTACGTAGGTGAATTTCTTTAAAAATAAAAGTTCTTCTCTGTTGTCTTTTGTTGCGGTGCAAACATGTTCAAACGTGTCTCGCTTTTCTTGTGTTGTTTCAGGCAGCCAAGTCCTACCAACAGAAACTGCAGAGTCAAGTATCAATATTTGAGTCCATGGTGAAAAATGAGATTAGTTGTAAGTATCAAATCCTCAACGGCTCTGTTCATATTTGCTGCCATGTTGTATTAATGGAGCAGGAGATTTGCACTCTCTGGGCGTTTGGCTGAAATACCCACCTAGTCACCTGGTGGTGGTTTTTATTTTTAAGAGTAGAAGATAACTTTCAGCTAAATGCATCAGAAAAAAATGACGTGCAACGACGAGGGAAAAACAGTCATCAGCAATCGACTCATGAAAGAAAAATATTTGTGGTGTAATTTTGTTTTAGATGGAAAGAAAAAATTCCCATGGAGGTGGTGGAACCAAAACTATACAGCAGCCAGACACAAGGGGAGGTGCAAGTTTGGCTTTAGTTCCCTTGAAGTTTCTAGTTGTATGTAGATGAGCCAGACAAATACTTAAATAGAGCTTCCACACTGGGGCTGGCTAACTCCGCCCAGATAAGGTAGAAAGTGTTCACATCTGGTTAGCCTGAGGTTTTTCCCCACGTGTAACCGGTTGTTTTTCAGCCCTTTGCCCAAGACGGTCTGCATCGGGCTGAACTGGTCCAACACACCCACTGCCGATAGATTGGCCAGCCCAAATTCATGCCTACCAATAGGGAGCCTCCGATTGGTGGATAGAATCAGCCAGCAGGGGTTTTCTGCTTGCATGATTCATTATCATTCTACTGAGGAGTAAACATTGCCTCTGACGGAAGTCATCTATCTTCTGTCTGAGGAGCGCACACACACACACACACACACACACACACACACACACACACAGCACCTCCAGGCTTTATTTGGTTCATTTGGTGTCAAGAGTACTTTTACATTACCATACTTCTGAAACGATTAAATCATTATTCACACAATAGTTAATATTTGAGGGAAATGGTTGAGGATCCAAACACAAGGACTCCTGGACATACCAGCAGCATAATGACATGAATAGATTTGGATCATATGCGCTAGAACTAGACATTAGAACTAAAGGACAAGTCCTTTAAACCCCAACAGCTCTAATTAGTAACAAATATAATCTTTTTTACAATTATTGATTTTTTATTTTATTTTTGCCTTTTTTTAACTGCAGTCTGATTTATTTATAATAAATTTAGAAATTATAAAGTCAATAATCTCATTATCATTGATCCACGGCTGATAACTCCAAACGGTTTAAGCTAATAAACATTTATTTCATTTTTAAGCATTAACTGCACCTCTTCTACTGAAAGCCAAAGAGACAAGTGAACTTTCATGTAAAACCTGCGATGCTCTCCAGATGTGCCTCGAACTGCTGTCCAAACAAATGGAGGTAAGGATGAATATAACATTCTGTTCCCCCTCATGTGATTTCATGTATTTAGCTCTAAAACTGCTGGAGGAGTACGTAACAGAAGACTTAAGTTTTAATCTGATCTCCAACTTCATAAATAAATAAATAAATAAAAGCCCCTTAATTCATCTTGTTTGAAGGAATCCCAATTTCATTGATCCTCATCTCCACACCCATGTGCTGTTTTCCTATTGGCTGACCATTAGCTCCTTTGTACCAATCAGGGTTGATATTTATCTGCTTGCATGTCGCTGTCCACCTGTCTCTGAGCCTCACACCCTCGGATAGTGAAGGGGGAGGGGACATTGTAATAGTGTGATTATCACTGGCATGTCTATAGGAAGGACATAAGAGGGATCTGTTTTCATGCTTAGGTCTGCATTCAGCGTGCAGATCAGCACACACACATACACACACTAGTAAAGTGGAACCCTTGGACTTGGATCCTGTCTCTGTTGCTTGAGGGAGAGGGAGGCTGTGTGTGTGCACTGAGAGAGGGAGAAGTCGAGCTTCTGCGTATTCCTCGGCTCAGACCGAGATGCATATTTTCACTTTTTGAAAAGACACACTTCCACATGCAAGAGCATCCTCCCACAGCAGAGAGAAGAGGCAGAGGCAGCGCGTTCATCTTGTGTCTGCACAGGTACAAGATTCATCTGATGTTCTTGTAATATTCGTCGCTTCCCTCTCAGTCGTCATGTGAAGATCTGTTTGTTTGTTTGTTGTGGGCTGGTCCCGGCTGGCCTGACGAGGCATTTGAAGTTGATTGTCGATTCGTTTTGAATGTTTTTGTGGGGTGTTTACTTGAGATTCAGCCAGACCCATGTGCTTGACTGACGGCTGTTGATAACTCCTCTGGATTTAATCAGCTGAATGTAGTGATAAACTAAGTGTTTGGAATGCTGTCATGTGCTCTTTCCATCCGTTTAGATAGATCTTCTGATTAGGCAATTCTGCATAGATTAGCACCTCACTAAGGGCTTTTCTGGGTCTATAAACATGATTTTAAAGTAAAGAAATGTGTTCAATCTATTTGTGGTGCTAGCATTTTAGTTTTTACGTAAATACAAAAAGAAATGCTGGGTATACATCACCAAGAAGGAAATAACTCACGGAAGTTTTGTATTAAAAAAGAAAAATGCTGAACTATGAGGCATTTTAATGCTGCACATCTATTCTCTGACCTTGAGATAAGCAGATCTGCCAGATTTATTTTAGTAACAATTGGTCTTCCATAACCGTCTCTTTTGAGAAATAATCAGGCATTCTTGCAAAACGAGGCTGAAATTGTCCACTGCTGTTTTATCAGCTTTTAAAAACTTATTATAGAAAGTGAAAACAAGGAAAAGTGAAAACAAGGATCAGGTTAACAAACACGCAACATCGAGAGCAATAGACACACTAACTGGATTATATTTCCCACACTGCTGAGATTGCTGGTATTAAGCAGCATTAAGTCTAATCCCACATTTTTGTTGTCCACTGCAGATGCATGCTCTAGCAACACTTATGAATTTGTTTTCATGTGCGCGTAGCGTGCAACAATGTTGTGCTTGCACTTCGACTTGCTTAAGAATGGTACACAAGTAAAACACAATGCTGAGATCAAAGGCTTTTTCAGCAATTAGTTTTTGCCCCTCGGCGTTGTAGATTTGACCCATTTCAGCAGCTGCTGCAGAGTGCTGCCTTTGCACAGTTGTAGATTTAGATTTTTGACTACTTATTTATTATTTCATTTTCAATTCATAAAAAAATAACCCTGGGAAGAACCCTACTAGTGTTTTTGACAACTGTTACAGATTAATTGACCAAATTAATCTAATTGTTTTCAGTCAAGATGCTTCCTCACCTGTCAAGGAAACAAACGAATGAGAGCACTCACTACTGGCATTCAGACTGTCTGTATTGTTGCTATAGATACGTTTGTACAGGTAGTAACACACAGCACCTTTTAATCTAGATGTAATCATTTTCTCTCTGAGATTTGCTTTTCCTGTAGAGGCAAATGAAACTCTCCATCCTTTGGGGTGTTAGCCAAGGAGAAGCATCCCTCCCAGGCTCAGCTGCTGCTCAGAGCTTCAGTGAGGCTTAAAATAGCACAATTTGTGTCCAGGCGAGAGGATGCAGTGAGAATAAAAGAGCTGGCTGGGATAGTTGCACGACAGTGGACGGTTTCTTGTGCCAAGAGCCGGGGACAAGCATAGGCTCCCCAACATCGAGGTGATTTCTCTCATCCCACAGTCAAAATAAATAAAACAACAATCCACCCAAAAATAGTTAGTTTTATTGTTGGTAATTGTTTCATTTATTCCACTGCTCTGATTGGATAGCCTCTTGGGGATTTCGTCTGTTGTTCTGACTGGCAAATTAGTTTTATTTAGAACATGACAGACTGTCCTGTATGTGGGAAAATTTAAATTAATCTCATAGTTGGAGAGGAACACGCCATTGTGTGTGTATTTCTAAAAAGACAGAAGGAATAAAATGAATACAAAGCAAAACAAAAAGCTGGAAATCAATGTGTTGGTGTTTAATTGTCCCCGTGTTTTCACCACATGGGTGAATGAGCTTCATAGTTTCAATGTGATAATTAATGTAAAATACGTGTATCTACATAAGATGATCATAGATTATTTGAGTATCTAAAACTATAATCCAACTCTGACTCTCTTTACTGAATGTAATCATTTCAAATAGCTGGATTAGCAACTTTTAAGTGGCTAATATAATCACAAAGAAAAATCTGCCAATAAATATTTTCTCTGTTTCTGAACCCCGCTTTGTGCGTCTTATTACGCCTGCAAATGGATCAGATTTTTTTTTTACTGTATTTATTTATTAATTTTTTGGTAATGGAACAAACATCAATCAGCTCACATCTGTGGAGCAGAAAAGCCACGTCAGGATATACTGTTTTATAAGCCTTAAAAAAACTAAAGCTGAAACCTTTTATTAATCATTTTTATTTAAAGAGCAGGTTCACAGAGAAACCATTTTTACTTGTGTTTGAAAGTAAAAATAGTCTTCTACCCCTGTTTCCTCAATTCAGAAAAGCCTGACAGATCTACGTCACACTGTTTAACATTCATGAACTCACCCATCTCAGCTCACGATGGGGAAGGCTGTTGTTGGTTTAGCATCCAGGAAACATCAAAGAATGTCTCGGCTAGTAGGAGCTAACATTAGCAACTCCACCACACAGCAGCCTTCCTCCAGGCTTGTGATATTTGTAAAGATGAAACATCAACGTGGCAAAGCAGTCAGTGGTACAGTCACATTGCTGTTGGTCAATCAAAGGTGAGATGTCCAATATCAAGAAATAAGATTCCAAATCCTGCCGTCTGAAGCTGCTTTATTCCCTTGCTGACTTCTAGGTCACCAAACAGGCGCACCGGAGCTTTTTTTTGTTTCCAAAGAAAACTATAGCAAAGCAATCATTTCTACTACAGACAACTGCAAATGTATTAAAAATACAAATTAAGTTGACCTTTAATTTTTGATCAACATGCAATTACAGCCATTTGATTGGACTGTCGAACCATTTAAGGGCTGTCTTGAGTTAGGTTTTGAGGCACTAATGTCCTGAACTCTTATATGAAAGTTCCCTCATGACGCATGTCTCACTAACGCCAAAGAATTTTAAAGACTTTCTGCTGAATCAATCAGCCAACATAATGAACACTAACACATAACTTACCACCAAGTCCACCATGGACTCCAGGAGACTTCTGAAGATTAGTTGTGGTCTTTTGCCAATAGCTGCAAATCCTTCTAGCCGTCTAAGTTATGAGGTGCGACAAACTTGTTTGTTTGGTTCATCCTGCGCATGCTTGATCGCACCAAGACTGAAATAAATTTCGCTTCAGTCACAATTTATTGTTCCTTAAATCATTCCTGAAACACTTTTGCAACGTTATCGTTCTGGAAGAGGCCAGTGTTTCCCTTAAGGGGTGTAGTTTATCAGCGACGGCTCAAGGTCTCCCTGCAGCACACTGCCCCATCAGTCTCTCTGGCTTCTGCTGTTTGTTTTCAGATGTTTCTGTTGAAACAGACATGTTTTTCATTTGAGCAGCAGTAGCTCCTATAACAAATGCTAACCCAGTCAAGTTTCTTTTTGCTGTGCATGCAGAGGATATGTGTGGTCATTCATCAGTCATTGATAGGTTTGGAGTCCACCTCTCAGGAGTCACAGTGATGGCTGATCTGAGTGTTGCAAAGATGTGCTGTAAATCACATGTTGCCTAGGTTCTGTGTGAATACCAACTTAAATACGTGGCTTCTGAAAACTTTTTCCACCTTGAGCACACCGACAGGTTCGCTGATGGATGTTTTGTGAATGGTGCACAGAATAGCTCAAACTTGTGGCAGGTTTCAGGAGCAGAAGCTGAGCTTTTCTAATTCAATCAAACACTTGGGCCTCGGTTTGCAGTCTGTGATTTACAGCATGATTTACAAGCTCCTGTTGTGCTGACTCATTCGTCTTCCTCAAGGTTGCTTAGCCTGTGCTCCTATTTATTATCACAGTGCCTCGTCTGCCCTAGCATACATTTTTTTTTTACTGTCTAGTTTAAACTACTTTAATAGATACAAAAACTATGCATAGACTTTTTTTTTTTTTGCATTATTTTTTATCTTTATTGGGGTCAATTTGGCACCAGTTGCACATCAGCAGCAGACACCGGAGAAACGTTGATCTGATGTGCCCCACGGTGGCCTGGATCAGGTAGCATTGAACAGACATCTGATCCTGAGCCACTGAGCTTTCTGAAACTGGGGTGTATGGTTCCACCAGAAAGAAACCAGATCAGTTTGCAGGGTTAAAACAATGACCTGCCATCGGCATCACAGACATGCACGCTCGGTTTCAGCTGGGCGAGTTCAGTTAGAGCTTTGGAGTTCACTGGTTTAGCTCTGGTGAGGAGATTGGAGTTGACTGCTGCTCCTGTGTTTACAGGTGTGGAGCCTCAAAGTAGAGCAGGAGGAGGAGAAGAACAAAGCTCTGACGGAAACTCTAGAGAATTTGGCTGCTGACCACTATGAACTGAAGTGCTCCTTAAATGAGAAAGAGAGGTCTGAGTGCTTCACCCTCACTGAAGATGACTTCTTCGATGCTATATCAGGTCAGTAACCAGGATGTAGGTCATCACGCACTAGTTCGGTGCATCATTGGATTTTGTTTGAACTCATGGCCTCTTTCCTCCATAGATTCTACATAAACCCTTCAAACACTAATTAGTTAATTTTTGACACTTTGTCGCAGATTTCAGTTTAAAAAAACATTTTTCAGTTTTCATTCCAAGTCGACACAAAATGTTATAAAGTCCACTTTAACTACAACTTTAACTCTTTTTGTAGAGCTCATGTGGAAGCCAGTTATTCTGCAATACCATTTTTAGGTAGAAGTTCTTGCTTCCTGTCTTTTTTCATAAAAGAATTGGCTAGAATGTCCTGTGAACACTCAGCCAATCAACAAACAGGAACAAGAAGCAGCAACCAGTATAGCCAGCTCAATGGAGCTTCACTGTTGTCATTTTTCATCTTCTATTTTTAAGGATTTGAGTTCTCGTTTTAACCCTTTATTGGCCGTGACAGGGGAAAAGAGATCGTATGTTTTGAGGGTTGGTTTTATTCAGTTGTGGCTCTAAAGGGACTATGGAAGTTTTTCATAATTTTAAATAATTTTCTTGAGCCAGTATGTGCTGAAATGACCCAATACAGCAGGGGTATTCAATTCCGGGCCTGGAGGGCCGATGTCCAGCACGTTTTAGTTGTTTCTCTAGTCCAACACACTAGATTCAATAGTTGAATCACTTGTGCAGCAGCTCATCGGGCTCTGCGGAAGCCTGTTAATCACCTGCTGATTGAAATCATGTGTGTTGAAGCAGGGTTAAAACCAAGACGATCTGGATACCGGCACTGAAGGGCCGGAATTGAATAGCAGCCAGTCCCTATCGCCCTCTGTGGCCAGAATAATCCACTTGCTACAACCCTAACCCTCCACAAAAATAAACAATCAATGATGAACAAGAGTCTGCTTCTAGACCTGCAGAAAGAGAAAAACAAACAAAAAATAATAATAATTAACAATTTTAAAAAGGGGACACACACAACAATACAACAGGAGCAAACTATCCCTGTGTCAACCTGATGAGGAAATGTAAAATCAACATTGTTTTACTGAACAATCACAAGATAATAAATCACAGTGCATTTAGTGCCAACCACAGCCTTAAGACATGTGTTGAAAATGCTCAAGTCCATTATTACGTCCCTCTGCTTGCTAGGAATGATGTTGTTGAGGGAGCAATAAAAGGATTTTATTAAAAAAACACAGGAGTTCATGGATAAAATGTCTAACAAAAGGAGCCAAGCCAAAAGGGCTGGAAAGAGGGAAAATAATTAACTGAAATATTCTTATTTATAATTCTAAATAACACACAAGAGTCGTCCTGAAAAGCAGTGACACTCGGGCAAAGCCAAAATCGAAGTCAAGGGCCAGTCTAAGGTCAATCCAAAAGTCAATCCGAATCTAGAATATGCTAACGAACAAAGTTAAACACAAGGGCACCACGAGGAGAAGAGAAAAGAGTGAACACCTCCGTGTCCACACTTCCCTGTACCTTCTCGCTGAATGAGGGCAAGAGGGCAGCTTTTAACAGCTGCTCAGGAGATTGTCAAATTACCCACAGCTGGGCACCAGGAGACAGACGAGGCAGATGCCATTGAGGCCATCCTGTGGCCGAAAAGGGGCACTGCACGTAACATCCATACTTATGAGAGTACCATGTGAGCACCTGTGTGTGTACACGGGCTTTTACATGTAAGGTTTCTCTATAGGAGCGTCCAATAGAGAGTGTGAGGGGCCACAGATCTGCCCCCCAAAGATGTGCAGGAGATGGAGGGAGCTCCAAGTCCCAGAGATGCCCCAGCCCCTTCTCGAGAAGCGCAGAGGATTGCCGCGGGGGTCATAACCAGCAGCCGGCAGAGTCTCGGGAGATATCAGTGGCAAGCCCACAGGCCCGCCCGCAGCCTCCCACCCCCAAGCCGGCCGAGCCCGGAACCCAGCGAGCTGGGACCCAGGGGCGACCAGCCCCGCCGGGGACCCAACAGAGCCCAGGGACTCAGATCCCACCCGGCAGCCACCGGTATTGATCAGGCAGACTCCAAAAATCTTAAACCCCTGACCCGGGAGCTGCGAACACTCCGGCAGACCAAGGCACCACACTCCACACCACTGTGGCAGGGGGAGGGTAGGCGAATATGTGTAGTAGCACAAGAAGTCCGAGGAGAGGGGAGGAGTCCAAGGCCCCACCCGACATATACAGTCAGACACAGTCATACACTCCCTCCCTCATGCTCACACATACACATACAACTTAAGACTTACAAAATGAACGCTAGACACCCACTCACGCTCATGTAACGTCCAGGAATGGTCAGTGTTCACCTACAGATTGACCTACATGCTACTGGTCATCTACAGACATGAATTCCTCACTCTAAGGTGGATTTTACATTCTACCTTTCAACAAGCCCAGAAGGTTCTGCAGCTCTGAGCACATGATAATGTATTGCCAACATCATGTTCCCATCTCAAGGTTCTTCTCTGCCAAGCCGGTCTGCTTATCTAGGCTGTCCTGCACAGAATAAAGGACTGAACCGTTATAATAGTAAATAATCATATGGTTGAATGAACAATAATGGTTGATGAATAATAATAATGTTTTGATTAATTTGTGCTTAAATTAATAAGGCTGCTTAATCTGTGCTTGAATTACTGAAGTTGAAATTAATATTATTATGATGTTCAGTAATGTTTGGTTTAACAAGTGAATCATTATCTACACTAAGACACAATGTTCATTAGAGATAAATTAAAGTTAAAGTAACGTCACTGAATAGACCTGCTATTATTAGATTAAATGTATCTGTCAAAAAATTAATAAAAAGAAACTTCAGTTTCCCTGATTCCTAAATAATGTCCTACTTCAAAGAGAACCCCATTTTGAACTAAGTTTCTCTCAGATTCTGATGATTGAACTCATTCCTTTCTTGCAGAATCTTACAAACTGCAGCAAAATCAGTGTCAACTCCTCTCCCACATCATGATGCTGCCACCACCATGTTTTGCATTAATCATTTCCATGTAATTAACAAAGATCTGAATCTTTTATTGAATATTTACTGTTTCTCAAGTTAGCCACTTCATTTAACTGAATAAATTTAAATCGAAGCAGGACTTAACTCCTTTGCAAAAAGCTTTCTCTCTATTTTGTTTAAATGCATGGTTTAGTTGCATAAAGATTCTTCATGACGCCGCTTTAGTGACACACATTTTGATGTCCAGTAAAACCAGCACTGTTCTCTAACTTCCTTCCATCGTTTACATTGTTGTCCTCTCCTTTGTGCCTGTGACAGCACCTATAATGCCACAGACAGGGCTGCATTGGGGTGGAGTAGAATTGTGCAAACAGTGTTGCAGGAAAGGAAGCCTCCGTGTGTCCTCTGATTGGAACATAATCCTCAGGTGGGGTTTGGCCAGCGGCTGGGAGGGAGGTTCGGAGAGGAACTCTGGGACTAGAGCCTTTGTTTTTGGAGCGTCGAACCTCAGCTTTCTAAATTTTACAGATTTTTTTTACATCTGTGTCATCATCCCACAGAGTCTGACTCAGAGCTGTCTGTGAGCGGCTTCCGGTCTGTGGCCAGCTACTCCTTTGAGGAGGACGAGGGCGAAGACTCGCCATTTCAAAACAGCCTCCACCATCCTAGCGTGTGCCGGGGTGCTGCAGGAATGTCAGGGGAAGGTAACCATGGCAACCAAGCAGCCCAGCACAACGGAGTGAGGAAGCACAGGTAGGACACGCTCTAGTTCTGATGTCAGACTTGTTTACAGACAGAGCTCGGCAGACCCCCTGAGTTTTTATTCCAGATGATTTTCACATCTGGATTTAGCAGACAAAGTTTGATGAAAGGATGCTGACCCCTGGCTCCGAATGTAACCCAGAGTAAGGAGACGCCACCTTTCCACCTAAGTCTGTTTTTGTTGCCTGGTGTTGATTTGTCCTTTATTTTTATGCCACAGAGTGTCAGATCCACAGAGAATAAACGTGTTTTGTTTGTTCTGAGCGCCAACTCGTCAAATAAAAAATCTTTTTAATTATTTTTATTTTAATGAAAATGTAACATTCTTCTAGGAGCCTGGTTTTTGACTTGGCCTGTTTGTTCATTCAACAAGTAGTGCATGAATAATTTAGCGTGAAGAGTTTGAGGAACAAGCCGGCTCGATGAGTTGGTGTGTGTGTGTGTGTGTGTGTGTGTGTGTGTGTGTGTGTGTGTGTGTGTGTGTGTGTGTGTGTGTGTGTGTGTGTGTGTGTGTGTGTGTGTGTGTGTGTGTGTGTGTGTGTGTGTGTGTGTGTGTGTGTGTGTGTGTGTGTGTGTGTGTGTGTGTGTGTGTGTGTGTGTGTGTGTGTGTGTGTGTCATATTTAATGATATATGAGGTGTTTCTTTATATTCATTCAAAAACATGTCATGTTTGTCTTTTTGACACGTTTTACTGTAAATTGACATTTTTTTAACTTTTTTTTTTTTTACCAGAGAGAACACTCTCTCTTCTCATCCGAGCATTGAAAAGCCACAGATGTATTACACCATAGATGGCTCTAGGAAACTTCAGATTAAAAGACTTTGATATTTTTGTTTAACTTTCAGGAGCCTATGAAAGAAAATGTATTTCCACCGATGTTCAGAGGTTAATTTGTTGTCAGTGAGTGATACAATAGCAGCTACGTTTACCACAGGTTTGATAAATTTTCACAGCAAACATTGGGTAGAAAACAAATATCCAGAAAATCAAGAACTCCTATTATATTTCAATGAAAGAAATCCTGCGTGTTTAAATACATCTTAGAGATGAGGTAACTGGAACAAAAACTAGGCCAGAAGTATATCCGCCATGCATCACCGCTCTGCCCATCGTACAGATGGTACCACACACACACACACACACTCCCTGCATCACTGTTTATTTAGCCGATTTAAAGGCTTTTATGTGTGTAGCTGCTCCAGCTCTCCGCTCTGAACAAGAACACCATCTGCCTCCGGCTGGCCTACCTGTAAAAAACAAACACAAAAAAGCTTGTACTGCAGATGTTAGCAAGACTATTAAAGAAGAAAAGTCCTAATAATATTAAACGATGTATAATGCATGGATTCTACATTTAGAAATCCTAATTAAAAAGGTATAAATCTAGTTTTCAGGAGTGTGTGTTTGTGTTGAATGAGCTGAAAAGCTTGTTAGCTTACAGGCATCAGATTACTCGTTTCCCCCAAACTCAGCTGTCCAACACTGTTTGCTTTCACATTTTTAAAGCTGCTGAAGACAAACATATACATCACAAAAGTGCTTATTTAGTCAGTGCCAAAGTAGAAAGACATTTTAAGCAGTGAAGTTTCAGTGAGTTTCCAAGTTGACATTAAAAAGGAAGTATTTTCTGCAATTGTTTAATTTCCACTGATATAATTCTGTTTTTCTCTGTTTTTCCCACAGAGCCTCTCTCCCAGCTCCCATGTTCTCCAGGAATGATGTGAGCATCTGGAGCATCCTGAAAAAGTGCATCGGCATGGTGCGTACACGCCAGCGTCTATATGTCTCTTTAGTTCGTTTCTGGTTTTACCCCTAACTCGTCATCTAGAGCTTAAAATGTTGGCTGATTTGTTTATTTAGATGTCAGCTGACTGAGAAATGTAAGTTTTTTTGTTGTTGTTTTTTGGTTTTTTTTTTGGGTGGCACTCGATTGAAAGAATTCATTTAATTAATTGGAGGCTTTGTAATTAATTAATCTCAATTAATCACAAATTAATCGCTCAAGAAAATTTGCCCTGAAAGCAAGTTTTTAACTAAAAATAATGAGGCAGAAAATCAAACAACAGACATGGACATTATTATTGTATATTGAAGCTATTTTAATTTTAAAAAATGATTTTAAATTGTATTTCAGTTAAAAATATTTAAATAAATAAATTGTTTAGAGCTGCTGCTGTGAGTCGTGTAAAAAAACGCTGCAGGCATAGGCTGAAAGCAGTTTTCCAACTTTGTGACTAATTGCTCAGTTGGGATAATTGACCTCTTTTGTATCATTAGAGACATGTGAATGACGCATTACTCACCAAAATCATTAGAATATTTTAGACAACTTGGCAAATTTTTATCCAGTTGTATATTAAATATTTTGTCTTATTTTTTTACCAACATTCTTTACTTTTGTTTCAAGTTTTTGGTTCGCCTCTTGGAACGATGGAAAATGGTTATTTAGGAAAGTTTTGAATCTATTTATGAAACATTTGGCTATAAATTCTCAAAATATTGACTCTAAAATGTAAAATATTTGATTTAGATATTTGAAATGCATGTTTAAAATGGACAGGGCTATTTTATTCTGATTTAATTTAAAACCATTTCACCTTAGTTGAAATCCCAGGTTAAATATGAGATTCTTAACACATTCTTCTATCAAGCTGCAAAGCTATTTATCTATAAATGTACATATTCAAGCATTTTTCTAATTTTTAGGATCATTTCAGTTCTTTACACTGAAACACAAAAATAAAATCTTAGATTTTTCATTTTTTTGTGTTTCATTGTGCCTCGTTTTTCTGAGAATTTGAGAAATGTTGTAGTTGGTTATCTGACCTTTAGCCTCACCTGTATTCAGAAGTTTTTTTAAATGATCGGTCATCTGTCTTTACCTTAAAATCTGCAAATGTTTCCCTTTTTAATGTTTCCAGATCTTTTTAACTGTTTCTGTTTCCTCCTAAATCTTTTATCCTTTTGTCTCTCATTCATTAAAAAATAAATAAATAAATAAATAAAACGTTTCTCTTCCCACTGAATGAGGTTCTTGTGCTACACAGTTACACATATAATATGTGAACATTGAATTTATGAAACTTTTTATTCCCTAAATCACCTAATTGCCTCCTGTAGCTTTGTGTGAAACATTCTGTCTAAAATCTGTGACTAATTAGGTTCATATAAACAACTTTATCTGCTAATATTTATACTGCTGTACGTCTTTAGAACTGCTAACACCTAAAACATCAGTCATGGGTAACATTTACACCGTGTATCTGTTTATAGCTGTAAAAACCTAGAGTTCTGTCCTCCAGACGTTACACACACACAAGCAGCTTATTTTCTACAGCAGCTCTTTCACACTTTTCGTCCGTGAGATTTTCTATTTTTTGCCACTGAGTAGTGCACCATCTGTGCAGCACTAATAGGAATATATTTTTGTGTTTTGCTTCCCTCTCTGAATACTGTAAATGCTTAGTGAGTTGAAGACGCACAAAATCTTCTTCTGCTCAGGAATTATCAAAGATCGCCATGCCGGTGGTGTTCAACGAGCCCCTGAGCTTCCTGCAGCGGCTCACAGAGTACATGGAGCACACCTACCTCATCCACCAGGCCAACGCTGCTACAGACTCTGTCGAGAGGATGAAGGTACCTGGAATTTGTTTGAATTTAATTGAAATAATAGCAAGCAATTAGGTCTACTAGTTGTTTTTAGGCTATAATAAAGTTATGCTTTTCAGTGTGTTGCAGCGTTTGCTGTGTCAGCTGTAGCATCACAGTGGGAGAGGACTGGAAAGCCCTTCAACCCACTGCTGGGGGAGACCTTTGAGCTGATCAGGTGTGACTAGAGTTTCAGAAACTTATGTTTTTAGGTTTAGGGGTCCCTGCAGGTCTAACTGCTTCACTATTTCCACCAGAGATGATTTGGGCTTTAGGTGGGTGTCAGAGCAGGTAAGCCACCACCCTCCGATCAGTGCCTTTCATGCCGAGGGCCTCCAGGAAGATTTTGTCTTCCACGGTTCGATATATCCCAAGCTCAAGTTCTGGGGGAAGAGCATCGAAGCGGAGCCCAAAGGAATCATCACGCTGGAGCTGCCAAAGTGAGTCCACTCTCACCTTGTAGGGTTAACTTTACTTTACACCTCTCTCACCTTCTGATTCTTAACCCTTCCAGATACAATGAAGCCTACACCTGGACCAACCCCACCTGTTGCGTCCACAACATCATTGTCGGTCAGCTTTGGATCGAGCAGTATGGCAACGTGGAAGTGATCAATCACAAGTAAAATAAGAATTCTTCACTTCTGTGATTTTTTTCTTTTTCTTTGTGCAGATGTAGAAGGGTAACCGTGGTAATTTGCATGCACAAACACTCTACAAAGGAATGCTGATATGATTTTCAGATCCTGCTTATCGATCGAAGATCGTAGCAGAACCGGGACAGATGCCATTAGAACAGAGGCGTGGGATGATGAATGTTTGCAAAGTTGCAGAATCTGTAAACACGCTGTCGCTCTGATTTCAGAACTGGCGAGAGATGCAGCATGACATTCAAGCCATGTGGCCTCTTTGGAAAAGAGCTCCACAAAGTCGAGGGATGCATCCAAGATAAAAGGTAACGAGTATTTTATTATGAGTGGGATGATGTGACAGCTTATGTCGTTTGGATGAAGTTGTTTGAATTAAACGACGCTGTGCAAGTTTGTAATACACATTTGTTTGTTTTTTATGTCTGCAGCAAAAGGAAGCTCTGTACAATATATGGCAAGTGGACTGAATGTTTATATGCAGTCGACCCTGCGAAGTTTGATGCCTACAAAAAGATTGATAAAAAGAATTCGGAGGAGAAGAAGAGCAACAAGGCGGTGAGAACTGTCACCTGTGGATTTACCGTACTCTTCCAATGTATATGTAAGGCGCACTGACAAACAGCATGTGAGCTGACCAAAGCACCATACAGACAACACGTACATAAAAACCATACAAAACAGATGAAGGCAATCAATAAAAGCAGCTAAAACAGCAACTAAAAAACACACATAAAAAGGAAGTCTTGGTCCAAAAGCCAAATCGTAAAAGTGGGTCTTAAGTGGTGCCATGAAGACTGCCACGAATGATGCTTGCCATACAGAGATCAGCACTGCATTCCCAAGAGGTGGTTCAGCATGCACAAAGGCCCTTTCCCCCCTGTTTTGTAGTTAAGTTTTAGGAATGCACAGCATCAGGCGGTGAGCTGACCTAAGAGCTCGGATCGACTCGTATGGTCTGATGATGTTGCACAGATAGGATGTTGCAAGTCCATTCAGTGCTTTAAAAATAAACATTAGGACCTTAAATTTCACCCTGAACTGCCAATGGAGATGTACTAAAACCGGCGTACTGCTAGTGTTTGTTGGATAGCAGCAGCATTCTGCACTATCTGCAGCTGGTTTAGAGCCCAACAGGAGTGAATTTGCAGGTTCTAGTCGATTCGGGAGGTGATAAATGCATTCAAATCTGACCTTTTCCAGAATGGTCTCAGGTGTGTTTGCATCAGGTGTCAAAATTGAGCCTTATTCGTCTTACATGGGAATTTTATCTGAACTACAAATCATGCTTTATAGGTATGCATGACAATCAGACAGTCGAATGCAGGGGAATAAGCAGTGCAGACAAACCCCAGTGGCCCTCTGTAGCTCTCAGAGCTCAAGGAAGGAGTCAGTAAAGAACAACAAATGAACACAAGACAATGAAACTCTAAAATCTGACTCGTCACACTGATTCGCCTTCAGTTAGTCTGGAGAGGTTTCACAGCTGTCCCCCGATCCCAAATATTGATGAATTTGAACTAAAAAGTTGTCAGGTGCATGGTTTGATATTTTTATCCCAGCTTCAAGGCACCTCCTTCCACTTGTTAAACTGACATTTCCAACTTTAATCAGCCTGTTTAAATAAAGATAAAGCAGAATTTTGACCGGAACACCTCCTTTTAGAGTGACGGTTTTCCATAGAGACTGGAGTTGTTTCTGTGTATCTGTCTGCAGCTAATGAAGAGCTTAGACAGCACATACGAGTCATTTCTGGTGCTCCATGACAACCTAGTGTCTGGTTGCTATGCACTCTCCATTCTTTAGCAACCACATGTTTACTCTTCCCATCTTTTTCAGAGAGTTTGGATTGTTATTCTTTTGTTGTTGCAGAGTTTTATGTCTGTTGCTTCTAAAACGTCTTACAGGTTTTTCACCTTTTTTAAAAAAGGAGTGTGTAATGGTCGTGTGTGTTTGTAGACACAGAAGTGTGTGGATGAGGAGTCTGAAGAGATGCCTCCTCCTGATGCTGAGACGGTCCAGGTTATCCCGGGAAGCGAGCTCATCTGGAAGATAACACCCCGACCAGGAAACTCACCGAAGGTACAGTTAAAGTGTGACATAACGAGACTTTCAGAAGTGGGAAAACTGGTTTAAATCAATTCTCTGTTGCAGTTTTATGCATTCTCCACATTTGCCATGCAACTCAATGAGCTGGACAAGTGCATGGAGGGAATCCTGCCTCCCACTGACAGCCGCCTCAGACCGGACATCCGCGCCATGGAGAACGGAGATATAGGTATAGTGTTGGTCACGCTGAAGCTTTTGTTTTCATCACAAGCAGTTCTCAATCTTCTGTATTTGCGTGTTGCAGATCTGGCAAGTGCAGAGAAGAAGAGACTTGAGGAGAAGCAGCGAATGGCTCGTAAAAATCGTTCCAAATCAACAGAGGAGTGGAAGATCAGGTTAGTAACTGATGGATGTCGTTTACAGAGCGCCGCAGTTGAGTTTCTGCTGCAACTCACCGTCTCCCACCATGCTTTTCTCTTTATGACATCTTAAAAAGGAGCTCTTCCCTTGGCCCAAGGTTTGCTTCAAAGCTCGTTTTTTTTTTCTGATGTGAAGTGCTGCACAACATCGCCCTCCTCAGGATGACGTGCACAACTGCGTGTGTCCTTTAAACACTCATCTCATTTTCCAGCTGCTAGCAGATGCATTTTAAATGTCTTCTGTGTGTATTTGGTTTGAGTGATTCTATTTAACAACGCTCGTGTTAAAATCTAATTTTATTTTATTTTTAAGGTGGTTTCAGCAAGGACCCAACCCACACACTAAAGCTCAGGATTGGATCTACCTTAAAGGCTACTGGGACAGGACTTACACTCAGCCACCTGATATCTACTAAATGTAAAATCTAGCAGAAATAAACACATGGTTTCCTATTTTACCACCTTTTGGACACCAGCTGCTGCAGGAGCGATTACACGCTGCAGCATTTGCAACTAAATAATGGAGTTAGAACAGGAGATATTGTGTCAGGTTCAGTTAGTGGAGAAAAACAGAATATCTGTGTGAGCAATAAAGCACAAAAGCCCTCATTTATGGTGGCTTTAACCACTTGATATTAGCATGTAGTTGAACAAGTAGAATGTATTTTAGGACTATTACTCGTTAGATGGAGTGTTTAACCAGCTACTTTCATTTTAACTGTAGTTTGCTGATTATTTCCACTCAGTCATGGGAACACTTGACTCATCAGTGTGAGAAAGCGGTGAGGAGGCAACAGCCCTTCAAACTGTGAGGATGGAGCTCATGTTATTCACTCACAGCTTCCACACTGATTGACACTTGTGCATGCATATTATTATGCAGTGCCGATTTTTATTTTAAATGAACCTTTGGCAGACATTTGGCTTTATTTTTACTCTGTACATTGAGTGGGTAAATATCTGGTGTTTATATGAATGTGGTAGAACTTTTTGCATATTTTAAAAGGTTCTTGTCAGCTTCTGTTTGGCTGTGTCCAAGCAAAGGTGTGTGCTAGTAAAAGATCTGGTGAGAAAATGACTTGTATAGTAATATGCTGTAGTGATAATGTATAATGATCGACCCTGTAGCACTTTGTATGGATTTAAAACAAGAAAACGATTCTGCTCTTAACTCGTGTGTGTGTGTGCGCGTGTGTGTGTGTGTGTGTGTGTGAAGTGTAAAGGTTTTGCCATGGAAAATACAACTGATGTAGATAGTAGGAACATTGGTCTGTCATGGCAAATGCATGTGCATAAATAACTATGCAAGCCTTACCTCGTTCACAGTCCAGCACTGAACATGTCTCCTCTTAGAAAGCTGCTTCATGTAGACGTTTTTGGTTTTTCCGTTACCAACTACTGACAAACAGAATTTCTATTGTTGCTAAATAAATAAAACTATGAACAAAATGTTGTTTTGAGAAAACTGCATATACGCTCTGTTCCTTGAGTGGTTAACCTTTCACCTTTTCCATCACATTCTTGGCATTTGAAGTAGAAGTCGACAGATGTTTTTTCTACTGCAAATAGCCGATATGTGCTGCCGATAACTAGATGATTTCCACCGCTTTCATGCAAAAATGTCACAAATAACATCATTTGATGCACAACATTTCTGAAACGGAATCTGTTTTCAAACACTGAATTGAACCAACAGTTAAATCTTAATTTGGTGCCCTGCTCAGTGTTAAAATCAAACATCTAACTAAAGTTAAACAAATGAACTGACCAAGTACTGAATATTTAGGACTGATATATGAAAATAAATTTTGGTTGAAAGTAACTTTTAGGGCACTTATTATGCAGATTTTAATTGTACAGCAGGATGGGGATGTGTCCGACTTTAAATTGGCATTACTGAGAAGATAAATCGTCCGATGCAAATATACAAAAAAATGTGACATATCGGTCGACCTTATTTTGAAGTGCTTTCAAGGCGGCTTTACATGAACGATGCGTTTGGTAAATGCTCTGTATTTGTAAAGCACCCTCTAGGTTCTACGACCCCCAAGGCCCTTCACAACACAGTCATTAACTCACCCTTTCACACAATGGTGACGAGCTACAATGTAGCCACAGTTACCCTGGGGCGCATTGACAGAGGCGAGGCTCCCACACAATGGTGCTACCGGCCCCTCCGACCACCACCAGCAGGTAAGGTGGGTTAAGTCTCTGTCTGTTGTGCCCAAGGACACAACAGCAGAGATCTCTGCCAGGATCAACCCTAGAACTCTCGGATTTCTGCACAACCCGCTTTACCTCCTGAGCTACTGCTGCCCCATATATGCTCAAAATGATAAACGTTGACATGCGAAAACAAAATTTCAGTTAGTTTGGTGCACTTTGAAACCCTTGGAACACATTTTCAGGGATTCCAAGCACCCACAAGAGCATGTAAAAGAAAACAACTGCAGAAAAGATCACGTTGAAGGCAGCTGGAGTAGAAACCAATCACCATAAAGAAAAAATTCAACCCTTTTTAGAAATTTATGAGGTTTTAAGTTTTTCACTAGCAGCAACTAAAATCTGCTCTTTATAAAATATTGAACACGTTTTCTTTTATTAGAAAATATTTAAGTGATTTTGACATTTTGTCTGCACCAAGCTGTGACTGAGTCGGCCATTTAGGAGCAAACTTAACTTCACAGAACTTCTTTCAATTTCTTCAATCAACTGCTCTAAATTTCCATCACAAAATATCCCTCTGCTTTTTTATCCAACCTGCTATAATCAGTCTTTCTGCACAAAGAAAATTCTGTGCACATCATCTGTCCTCACATATTTTTCTAAAAAAAAGAAAAAAGATTGCAGCTTCTAGTTGATTTCCTTTCACTTGCATCACCGCCTCTTTGTATTCTGAGAATTCACATTTACAACTCCTAAATGAAAGATTTAACACAAAATTGGTTTCGCTTTACTTTTTTGGGTGCTTTTTGGTCAATAAATGTACTTGCAGGGTGTGAATGTGTTTTTATTAACAAATATAAAGTAAAACCAGCATACAGAAGACAGCTATCTTGTGCACGTATAGGCCACTTAGAAGTGGAGCAATGTTTACACATTTTTTAAATAAAGTATACCCAATTTAATTAAAAAATTCTCTAAAACCAACAAAAGAAATTCACTGATTATCTGTATGTTTCTTAGGAAAGTCTCAGCACAACATGGGTTTTTATTGGCTGGAAACATTCAGAGTTAGCTATTTTTAAAATTACGTTCACAGGATCATCACTCAATTTTACAAGACTGAGAATTAATTTCACCTCTGAGAAATGGCTAATGCTTTTCACAATATTTCATCTTATTCCATTAGGCTCCTTTTCTTTCATCATCGTCGTCGTCTTCCTCTGCTTATCCGGGTCGCGGGGGCAGCATCCCAATTAGGGAGCTCCAGACGTCCTCTCCCCGGCCACCTCCACCAGCTCCTCCAGCAGGACCCCAAGGCGTTCCTGGACCAGATTGGAGATGTAACCTCTCCAACGTGTCCTGGGTCGACCCGGGGGCCTCCTGCCAGCAGGACATGCCCGAAACACCTCCCCAGGGAGGTGTCCAGGAGGCATCCTGACCAGATGCCCAAACCACCTCAACTGACTCCTTTCAATCCGGAGGAGCAGCGGTTCTACTCCGAGTCCCTCCCGAATGTCCGAGCTCCTCACCCTATCTCTAAGGCTGAGCCCGGCCACCCTACGGAGGAAACTCATTTCGGCCGCTTGTATCCGCGATCTCGTTCTTTCGGTCATTACCCAAAGCTCATGACCATAGTTGAGGATTGGGACGTAGATCGACCGGTAAATCGAGAGCCTGGCTTTCTGGCTCAGCTCCCTCTTCCCCACAACAGATCGGCTCAGCGTCCGCATCACTGCAGACGCCGAACCAATCCGCCTGTCGATCTCCCGATCCCTCCTACCCTCACTCGTGAACAAGACCCCGAGTTACTTAAACTCCTCCACCTGAGGTAGGACCTCTCTCCCGACCCGGAGTCGGCAAGCCACCCTTTTCCGGTCCGGTTTTCTTTCATAAACTATGTAAACAACATTATGTGCTAATATTTTGTGCAGTAAAGTAAACTTTCTAACATTTCTCCATGAAGCATTTCATATTTTAAATGAAGTTTTGGTTCATAAGTTTAAAAGTACAAAAAAAAATACGATACATTATTCAAAGTTCAGAGTTGTTTTGTGGCTTTAGGAGAGAATTTTCCTGCATTTACTTCAATGCAGACAAAACCTCGAGGCTGGGCTGCTCCTCTCGTTCAGGCGAGAGCCGAGTGAATGCGAACGTGGAGTCTGTTCTCAAAGTCATACCCAGCATAGTCCTCCTGCACAAAAATGATGCAAACAGGGTGGGTAAAATGATTTCTACTTTGTCATCAACACATACAGATCAATGCACCCACTGGCCAATCTGGTAGAAGGACACGCATTAATAATAGACAGCAGAACCGCTCCTCCTGTCACGCAGGAAGGAGATCTGTCTTCGACAGTGAAGGACTCTGAATGGAAATCTCCAGCAGTGTTCAGAGAAATGAGCTGCTCCAGGCTTCCTTATGAGCTACTGCTGCCAGACAAAATGAAAACTCATTTTGGAGACGCAGGAAGCTGCGTTTGGATGGGGTGTTGTCTTTTTTTTGCTGTGATTTAATTATTTCTGAGGACAAAAAAAATCCAATAAGTGGTCAACTTCTCATTAAAGGTGTGGAACACATCTAATCAATGCATTTACAGTAACCTCTAGCAGGAATAAATGCGTTTTAAGTTGTTCTCTGAGGGAAAAAACACCGGTGCACCATTTCAAGGAGCTAGAAGTGAGCCACATCACAGCTGAACTTCAGACGGTAGGTTCTGGAGTCTTTGTGGATATTTGGACATCTCACCTCAAACTGGATAACAGCAACACGACTCTACCACTAACCGCAGATAACACAATCCTGAAGGAGCTTCTGTCGTGTGGTAGCGTTGCTAATGCTAACGGTTAGCTTCTACTTGTCGGGACGTTGTCTGCTGATTCCTGGACGCTAAACCAACAACAGCCTTCCCCATCGCAAGTCAAGATGGGTGAGTCTATGAATGTTAAGTGACAATGTGATGTAGTGCTGTCAGGATTTTCCAATCCTAAAGTTTCACCACCTATCTTCAATCAGAAGCTAATTTAGGAGATAGTGTGAGAGACCGTTTTCATGTTCAGCCTGCATGAAAAACTCAGTGACTGATTATATTCAGAAAAAAAACATTTTAAGAATAGTTTTTTCTGTGTTCTACACCTTTAAATGATCCCGTTCATCCATGGTTTCTCAAAATTAGGAGAAATGTGGAGTTTTTCCTCACAAGGCACCATCTAGAGGCGAAAAAAATGTTTTGTGCCTTAAACCCCTCTGTACGTCCTCAAATGCTTGCACACGCTACAGATGGCGACCACATGAAGAGGCAGAGGAGAATGAAGGACAAATTTAGCCGTGGTATAAAGTGCCTGAAATATGTAAACACATTAGTAAATACACTATCGTGGACCGGAACACAAGTGTTATGGTGGCAGGATACCACAGAAAGGCGCAAAGCTTACATGATATTAAAGTACAGAGTCAGACAATCACTTTTATGAATTTGTAAAATTCCTAAAAAGGGGAAACTCCCGATTTCTGCTTTAGGACACCAAGTACTACATTTTGTAGCTTTGTAACAAGAGTTTGGTATATTCAGTAAGTCACAGTTTCTAAGAGGAACGCAGATTCCTGTTGTGACCATCATTTAACTGGATTTTGCCAGATTTAATAAAACCATAAAACCACAAAAGAAAACTATACAGAAAGCTTACTGTACCTTAGCCTGGAGCATTAGCATCCGACCCTTGGCAGCAGTCTGGGTGGAAAGAAAAGTTACATTTAAAACGTGACTCCACCACGTACGCGCACACACACACTCACACACAGAAAATCTACCTCAGGGGAATTTAGCAGAACACAGCCCAGTTCGTAGCAAGAGTAGGGCTGCACGTAGGAATTGCTCAGACGACCAGCCTCGTCCCTTGCTGCCAGATGGAAATACTGTTAACATAAAGTAAAAATGAAAAAAAATATATAATTATTTCATTAAAAGATGATAAAATGGAAAAATAAAATAAAGGAAAACTAGCAAAGCTAATCATCACTTTTCCATCGCGGGTGCCTCTACAAGCATGAATTAGTTATATCTATAAGTTGAGCTATTAAGTGCAGTGCAGCATGCTGTGCAACAAGTAAACACTGTATTATTAATGCATTTGATTATTAACCACCCAGGTACCTGCATGGCATCTGTGGTGTTATGGAGGCATTTGTTAATGGCACCGAGAAGCAGATTCTTCAGGCCGGTGCTCGAGGCGTCGTCAATCCCCTGCAAGACTAAAATAAATCCACATGTAGTTCATCTTAGTGTCTGAAAAAACTGCAAATGAAATGAGAAGAGTAGACTCTGATGGAGGTCACTTATTTTACCACGTGTCATTGTCTGCAGATTGGCAGTGGAACAGTTGGGCAGTGCTTTCCACAAATATAGAATCTCAATCACAGACAAGATGCAGAGCTCTTTGGATGGACTGGGGCTTGCAAGCCTCTCCGCCTGAGTAAATAAAATATACACACACACACACACACAGCATTTTTTCATTTACAGTTTACTCCATAACAGAAAATACCTCTACAAGTTACTCACCCTCTTCATTGAAAACAACTCAATCTGATTGTTTTTGCGCTTGAAAAGTTTTTGGACATCCCTGAAAACAGAAATGGCTCCAGCCAGATCACCAGCTGCTCCTTGGCATGCTGCAACACGCAACAAATCCAACAGGTCATTACGCAGAATTCACCAAAAACAAGGAAATTCAGGTTCTCCTATAATCCACTACCTCCTGTTAAATAGGCGTAGTAGCACTGGGACCAGCGAGATTCATCCTTAAGTCGCTGAAACGCTCGGTAGGCTTCTCTGTACTTCAGCTCGATCATGCTGCACCAACCTGAACGAGTCAATCAGAAATGATGATACAGTCTAAGTAAAAGCGTTGGGATTTCTAATCTGATGGGCAAAAATAAATGGTACCTATTTCATATAAGCACACGTGTTGAATCTCCCTCTGGTCAGAGGCCAGATCTAAGGCATCACGGAAGAACGTCAAGGCACTGCTGATCTGGCACTAGCAAAGAGGAATGGTCACATTATAGACAGGAAGCTCTTCCTAAAAAGAGGGTGGAGCTTACACCAATCAGAAACGTGGTCTATATACAACTCCTCACCTCAAGGCGTTGAATCCTGCCTTTGAAGAACATGAAGAGGGAGGAGTTTGGATAGGTGGCCTCTCTTTGTTTGAGGATGGATTTGGCTATAGTTAGGCCTGCGTGTGTGTCTGAGCCATCGAGAGCAAAGAAGGGCTGCACCACCGTGTGGTACCACAACAGAGCCAGGCTGCAGAGCAAGCAGAGATGATCCAGTCAACTCAAACAGTGTGGTGTGCTTTCAGAAGGTACAAAATCATACAACGTGCTAACCTTGAAGGTAATCAGATTACAGATTACTGCTTAATATTTAGTTTTTCTGATCGGTTATGAATGCACGGTGAAAATGCCCGGGGGGGGGGGGGGGGGGGGGGGGGGGGTAGAAGTTATGATGAACTGATAGGGGGCAGTGCTGAGCCCCACAGACAGGTTCACAACAAAATATAAAATTATGGCTCAAAGTAGAGCTGGGCGATATGGCCTAAATCAATATCACGATGCATTGAGGATTTCACCTTGATAACGATAAATGGATAACTACAGGTATGCGCAGAAACAAAAGTTGTCCACTAGATGGGGCTGCCACATGTATTACATCGAGTCACATTTTTATGTAACTCAAGGTGGTTCAGCCTAGCCTAGTGAACTAGACCAAATTCTTGCTTTGCAAAGTTTGGTCTAGGCATGCTCCATTGGAACCTCCGCAGCTCCTACCAGGACTCTGGCTGGCCAATCACAGCTCTCTAGAGGGGTTTCAAACACATAAAGAGCTGTGATTGGTCCATAATGGTGGGCCAATCATAGTGCTTTATCTGCTTAGTAAACAAATCACAGAGCTTTATCCGCTTTGTGGGCCAATCAGGGCACTCTATATGCCTGGTGGGTGGGATGATGCAACAGAGTGAAACAAGAGTATGACTACATTCATTGTCCAGTGGAATGCGGAGATCATTTGAAAGACAACGGTAGAACCCGCCCCACAACCGAGAGCCGTCAATGGAGCATGGCCAGACTAAATAATACATTTATTTAGTCTGGCTTGTCAGGCTAGGTTCAGCCTCTTAGTGACATGAATGTTGCCAACCTACACACATCTTTTGCTTTTTATATTATCAAATTTATTGGCATGGGGAAAAATTATCCCGATAAGTGTCAGAAATTTCCATAACGATAAATTTTCGATTTATTGCCCAGCCCTAGCTCAAAAATAAAGGATAATTTATGAAATAACAAGAAAAGCTAAAACCCTTTCTTTAAAGGTGTGGGGCAATAGCTAGACACTTTCTATTTCTGCCACACAGATTCACAAACATACTCACTCACGTCGCTAATGGGGCCTTCATGTCCTTACTATCGCTAGCGTACATGAGGGCCGACAGTCCTTGGTGTCGGTCTCCAGGGAAACCCAGCAGGTTGACAATCTTTAGCAGGTGTGGCGGCACCATAGAGATGCACAGGTGGAAAAGGCCGTAACCGAAGCTGACCGACCCTTTCAGCCGATCCAGAACCTCGGGGCTGATGCTGTTCGATCTGTGAGACGGACTCGGTCCACTTGAGGAGGAGCGAGCGCGATCAGAGGAGTCAGAGGTGGAAGCCTCAGGAGCTCTCCTTTTGCCTCCTTCTTGCAGATGTGTGATGTCGTTGTAGCATTTGTTGTACATCTTCCAGGCTTTGCGGAGGATCCACCCTCCTTTGATATATGCTGAGAACGTAAGCAGAGGTCAGAGGAAAATGCCGTCCTTTGCAACTGGTATTAAAACAAAGATGATTTTATGAGAGAAGTCTCTACAAAGAATCAATGAAGACTAAAAGGCTCAAATACCTGACAGCTCTTGCTTTATGAAAGACAGAACAGCAAGGTAAACCTGACAGTCTGCGATGATGATCTGTCTCTGGAGTCGGTCCACAGCAGCCGACCCCGACCTCTGAGAGTGTGTGTGCTGAAGCAAACATATAACAGAGAATGCAGGAAAATCAGCACCTCCAGCCTGCTTTTCAGGCAAACTCCGCTTATAAAAGAGATGGCTTACACTGCGCTTGATCTTGTTTTTAATGGTTTCAATGACACCAGCATTTTCACTCTCACACAGTTTCTCTGTAGCTTTGAGGTCCTCAAAGGCCATCTGCATTTTCTCTTCTTCAAACGTCATGACGGCGTTCTGCAAAAACAAATATTCAAAAACAAGTCTCATTAAATTAAAAAATGTCAATCTAAATGTCGTCGTCTTCCTCCGCTTATCCAGGTCCGGGTCGCGGGGGCAGCATCCCAACTAGGGAGCTCCAGACCGTCCTCTCCCCGGCCACCTCCACCAGCTCCTCCGGCAGGACCCCAAGGCGTTCCTGGACCAGATTGGAGATGTAACCTCTCCAACGTGTCCTGGGTCGACCCGGGGGCCTCCTGCCGGCAGGACATGCCTGAAACACCTCCCCAGGGAGGCGTCCAGGAGGCATCCTGACCAGATGCCCAAACCACCTCAACTGACTCCTTTCAATCCGGAGGAGCAGCGGTTCTACTCCGAGTCCCTCCCGAATTTCCGAGCTCCTCACCCTATCTCTAAGGCTGAGACCGGCCACCCTACGGAGGAAACTCATTTCGGCCGCTTGTATCCGCGATCTCGTTCTTTCGGTCATTACCCAAAGCTCATGACCATAGGTGAGGATTGGGACGTAGATCGACCGGTAAATCGAGAGCCTGGCTTTCTGGCTCAGCTCCCTCTTCCCCACGACAGATCTGCTCAGCGTCCGCATCACTGCAGACGCCGAACCGATCCGCCTGTCGATCTCCCGATCCCTCCTACCCTCACTCGTGAACAAGACCCCGAGATACTTAAACTCCTGCACTTGAGGTAGGACCTCTCTCCCGACCCGGAGTTGGCAAGTAAGTTAAATCTAAATGTTTAAAATAAAAAAGTGATCTTCAGATTAACAACAGTGTCAAAAAAATACAGGAAAAAAGAACCAATTTCAAACACATTATGTGTTATAAATAAGGTTGGGCATCGAGCATCGAACCAACTGTTAGTTTTTCCTGGAATCGTTCAAAGTTTTTTTTTATTCCTAGTTTCGATTCCCAGAATGCCAACAAAAGAGAAATCCGCGGCTGATCGTGAAAAATAAACATGATCTGCAAATTGTGATCAACGCTTTTCAGGGCTGATCACACCAGCTGTGTGTGTGAAGCACGAGTTCCCCCTCCCCCCACCCGGCGTGCAGCAGCCATATCTAAACAAACGCGTCTGCCGAACTTTTACTCCGTAAACTTTAATTCCTGCAGCGTAGAGGAAACTTGTTAAAATACGCCAACACGGTGGATTTAATAGAAGCTTTAAAGAACAAACTCTGGCCGGTGTGAGGCAAGTTTGTCTCACTGCAGAAATAAAAACACACACGGAGCGTCAGCAGTCAGACACAGACGCTTGAGCGTCAGAAGACTGAACAATAACCTGTAGAATAATTAACGTCATCATGCTAGAGAAGCTTCTCTGTGGTGGACCACACCAGCTTCTGCCACAATAAATAATTATAATAATAAATAACATTTTTTATTTACTTTCTGAACTATTTCAGTTGAGTTTTAATGTTTAAAATCTGTTAGATTGTTACTGACAGCAGCTACATTTAAGTTTCACTTTCTGTTCTGACTGAATGGTCGCTGCAGCATGGAGAAGTAGTTCTCAGTAGGGCCCTACCGATAATATCAGCCAGCCGATATTATCGGTAGGGCCGATATTATCGGCCGATATTGCACTACCTATCCAGCAGATGGCGCCTGCTTTATGAACTCATGTTGTGTGGCTCCATTCCTTTGAACTTTGAACACAAATTATTGTTTTGGAACTTTTTTATTTATTTATTCTTATTTATGTTTCTTATGTGCAATTATTTCCTGTCCAGGGTGAATAAGTTCACCAAGTTAACTTCCACAGAGTGTTACTTTGTTACAAAGCACAAGTATTAAGTTTTATTTATTGTTGCATTTTTATTATTTTAATATTCTTATAGGGATCTTCTGTCCCTAAACTTGTGTGTGTTGTTAGATTCCCCAGAGTTAGCTAGTCAGAAAAAACATGTTGTAACCAGTTGTTTCAGCATAAAGCAATGGAAGGGAAGGCTTGCATTCACCTACATAAAAAACGCTACAGTGTATGTGAATTCACTAACATTGTTTTATGCTAAACTAAGAAAACCAACTGCTGCCAGATCGTATTGGGCTGGTTATAAAATGCTTTTTCTGACTTGTCCAACTCTGGGGAATCTTAACAAGACACAATTTTAGTGAGTGGTGGAATATTCCTTTAAGTTAAAATGAATTTGTGAAAACCACAGTATACAAGAAAAAACTTGAATGTTAGATTTATGCTGTGACTGAGTTTGTGTGTTCTGCTGTTTCTGAGATCTGCTAAATAAATCTTTTTTGCATTACTTGGAAACCCGAGTGAGTTACTGAGACAGTTCTTTGGTGTGTGATAGAGAAATAAGTTAGCATCAAAAAGGCAGAGAATTAAGGGTTTAAGCTTAAGGAATTTTTTTTTCTTTTTTTTTTGTGAGGGAGATTTATCGGTCATTACATCGGCTATCGGCCTTTGTTGAAAGTTTTATATCGGTATCGGTCCCAAATAAAACATATCGGTCGGGCTTTAGTTCTCAGTCATCCTGGACATGATCATCCTGAGAGTTTTAGCTGAAAACAGCTGGACGTTTCTGGATATGTTGGAGACATTTAGCCTCTCATCCCAGAGGCTTCTTCCAGACTTTGGTTGTGGTCAGAAACAAACACACTGGTTGTGCTGCAAGTCTTTCTAATTGGCTTCTCGTTCGTTAGGTCCTTTTGGACAAAGGCATATGGATGTTTAGGATTACACATCTGTCTATTTGGGTTAATTCTATGCATAATAAAAATAGAGGTTTTACGTATCATGCCTGATGAAAAGTCAATGTATTAATATAATCAATAAGCATGTCATTTGTACTTTTAATTACTGATAAACATAAGGATAGATCCAATAATGAGATAATAATCAAGTGAAAACTTTTAGTTTTCTGAGGCTTTTTTATTCTAATGCTTGATTCACTTGTGTTCAAATACATCAATTATAAGAAGTTTGGACTGATTCGTCAACAAAATGAATGTCAGGAATAATCTTTAAAAGAATACATTTGAAAATAAAAATTGGATTCAAAGATGAGAATTTTCATTTTACTGTGAGGACACAACTTTAATTAGCCACATGTCTGTTTTAGTGCCAGAATTTAAAAACGTTCTAACAAAAAAATTACCTACAAGGAAAAAAATAATAATAATAATAAATGCTAAAACACAAGAAAGCAACTCGATATTGGATCTAAATGATTTGGAACATTGTAGGAACACACGTCAGTGACCGAACCGCAAACTCACCAGAAAACTCACAAAACTGGCCCCAAAACTCATCAAAGGACTGTGGTTCCTGAAAAAACAAGACTATTAAGTAATGCTGTGAAACAACAACAGACCTATAGAGCAACATTAAAAAATAAATAAATGTTTTAAGCCTTCGTGTGACAGATCCTTCATGTAAAGGCACATAAACACATTAAATTGACCTCAGCTGACTGGGGGGAACTCCAGTGGTCATGTTTGATGCTTCCAGACATCAGCTCTGAGTCTTTCACCTCCCTCCATGTTTTCTTGCGGATGCATTCAAATCAGGCTGACACTTGCTGAGATTCATTAGTGCGAGTGGTGACATTTTGCCTTTCACCAGGGGTCAGGACACATAGGGGCTGCCCTTCTGTGGCATCAACATGGAAGTTTACAGCACCACCCTTCTGCTTTAGATCATTGTGATTACGGCAAAGCCTGCATGACACTATACAATGTCTGCAGTCAGGTGGTCAAAGTATGTGTCTATGCTTTATAATGAGCCACGTTGTCTAACTATTGATAATAATATTGTTGCACATCTGTAAGGAACTAAAACTTTAGATGTTCATAATGGAAACTTCTATTTGGTTACCAGGTGAAGCTGAAACTTTCTGCAGCGACATTTCAGGTAAACTAACCTGCTAAGCAAGCACTTCCCCTTTAGGGTAAAGACTGTTAGAGCAAGTAAAGCAGCCTGTCACGATGCATAATTAAAAAACCTGTATCTGTGCGCAACTAGTCTAGTCTAGAGTATTTTCTTGAAATACTGAAAGCAAAACAAACATGTAACCTGTATGTCCTGAAGAGCTCATCACTTTCCTTGAATCCATTGTTCAGCAGCATATTGATTCCTGTCAGAGCCAACTCTGCGTCGTTTATCCGCTCCGTCTTCTTCCCCTCCGCGCTCCCCGGTGTTGGTTCTGCTGGGGCCGCCATTGGACACCGGACGCCGCCGGAGGCGAGGTGCGAAACGCGGCTGAAGGGGGAAAGGCAAAGGGGCGGCCGAGCGGTATTTTGGGATGGTTTACTTACTGTCCAAACAGCCTCCACCCGTGGCGCAGTTCTGAACGACCGCTGTCATGCCTGTATATATTATTAATTATGAGGCTACTAACGGAACCGGAGCACTCAACATCAGCCTGAATGGTGACCTAACGACCGCGGTGTGAGACGTCCGCCTGCCGGGGTTCCGTATTCTGTCTGACCGGTGGCGTGTGATCCTCTGTGTCAGGAAGCGTGATGCCTTCACTTGCTCCCCGGAAATTTCCCTTTTCCAAAAAGTGCCGAGAAAACCCTGAACTGCAAACTAGTTTTGAAAGTCCCTTGTGACGACATAAATGACAATTCCTGAGTGTATTGTGAGTCAACATTGAAAATATAAAGCACTTTTCCTGAATGTTTTTGGAAAAGTTTTCTAGTAGGATTCAGTACGATAAAGACTGGTCTTCTGAATCAGGATGATTTAGTCCTTGTTACAATTGTTTTTATATATAAAATCTGTTTTTTTAATGACCATCATTTGCAGCATTTTTAAGTAAATTATTTTATTCAAGGAAGTATTAAATCCTTGCAAAAATCAAATTATTTCACCAGTGTATCGATGATTTAGTTTGAGAATTGAAAGTTATTGTTTTCTGTTTATTTTCTGCACACTTAGCTTTTATTTATTTATTTGTTTGTTTGTATTTTCATTGACTGGCTTTTCCTTTATATTTTCTGCTGATTTAATCTTTTTAAATTACACTTTTGTGTGACATGCCTTGTTAAGCCTTGAGTGAAAGTGTTAAGTCACTCATTACTCTATCTTTAGGTGTATTTCATACTTCAAAAACTTTGGCTCTTCTTTTTTTGCTTATTTTTTTATTAGTATCTTGAAATTTAAAAAAATTGCATTTTGAAGCTCACACCGTAATTATTTGTTAGATTTCTGCCCTACTGAAAATAAAATAGAATAGCAATTTTAAAGGAAAGGGTCTACGTTACCCCAGCACCACACTGGGTGGTGAATGGATGTTTTTTCTTTCTTTTTTAAAATTTATCTCAACAGTTGTGTTTTTATACCCAAATTCATAAGAAGAGTTTCTAAAATCAACCTATATGTTGCATGTAACACTTGCCTCAGAAACACATGTTTGCATTCACAGCTGCCACTTTTACTATGTTTAACATTTTGCATCAAATCTTTTTAAAATCAGACTGAGAATCCTTGAGACTGATCCCCAGTGTTGTAACTGCCTTCTGTATTTTGTACATAAAATAGCTGTGTAACAGAAAAATGTAGTAACTGTAACTTTTGCAGCCTCTTGGCAGGGACTGTCTTAAAAATTTGGTTTTTAATCTCAATGGGACCTTCCTGGTAAAATAAAGAATGTATGTAAATGCTTTTCCACATTCCAGTTTACTAATTTAACCAAACCCATTATTGTGAACCAAAAGTACAATTTAAAGTTCAAATGTAAAAAAAAATGCTCGTTGTTACAGTGCGTTCATTCGAATTATATTTTTATGACAAGAAAACTATAACAACACTGATGGAAATGAGTCATAAGGTAGGAATGCATGTCCAAATGTATCCAAATAAACTGTCTTTTTTAATTTACACATGTTTTCTGATTCAATCGTATATAAATGTACAAAAGAAAAAGGTAAACACTTGCATGTGGATAAGATTCAATTTGTTCAAAATATGTGGTAACTTCATTAAATGGTCCCAAACATAACTGTTCAGAATAAAAATAAAACAGCAATTAGCCTCCGACCAGTTTTTTAACAGAAAAATGCTAAATTCATGGAGTAAATAAAATTATTGAAAAAAATTCCATGCAGAAGGAATGCAAAATGGGAGGACATCTCAAAACAAATGAGAAGGAAAAATGGTGCAAAAACCACGGTGTGTGTTCAACTCATTAAAGCACAGAAGTCTACATGCTGGCTTGTGAATATGAGTACATAATAGCTTGGAAACCTCAAAAATGTAGTTCAAATAAGCACAGAAGGTGTAAACGTAATTATTCTTGTATAAACTTTGGAGTTCAGCTAAAGAAAAACCTACAAACAAATGACATCAGTTAGTTTTCTTCATCACAATTACAGCACCATAAAGAATGCATTGTTTGTTTTCTTAAAGTGCAGGATGACCATAACAAAGTCCTGACCAATCACACACCTGTTCAGTAGCATTTGGTTGATGTTGACAAAGCACTGGACCGACACACCTGACTATGTTGCAGCTGTTTCAAAATGCATTCAGAAATGACATATTTGATTATTTTTACAAAATAAATATACATTTATAACAAAGCAGCAAAAATGATTTACCTGTTGGCTGCTGCTCACACTCACACACATAAAACACTCCTCAATTCACACATTCTGACACACAAACACATTCTCGGTCTTTTGACAGATTGCACATAGCTGGTGGTGGACATGGTCCCAAAGGTTTCTTGATTCATGATGCGGTGAGATGTTTCTGCTCAGCCTGGGCATTCTTTGAGGTTCAAAGAGCCAAACACGCCTGACGACCTGTCAAAGGAGACTGGTACGTCATTGATCCTCATTTCCTGGATGCATCCCACGAAGGGCGATTTTACCGGCAACATTTGATGCAACGTTCCTGCAGGAAAAAAGTGGCGGTGGTCAACGGGTGGGTACTTGCATTACTTTGTCTTATTTAAAGGTGTGGAACACATGTTTAATCAATCCATTTGCGGTGTTATCTAGTAGGAATGAATGCTTTGCGAGTCGTACTCAGGGGTCAAAATACACCGGTGCACCATTTACAGGAACTAGAAGGGAGCCACATCACAGCTGAGCTAAAGGGGGCAGGTTTTGTAGTCTTATTTTTATGATATTTGGACATCTCACCTCAGATTGGATAACAGCAACGCAACTCTACCTCTGACTTGCTACGTGGAGTCTTTATCTCCATAAATAACAAGCCTGGAGGAGTTCTGTTGTGTGGTGAAGTTGCTAATGCTAATGGTTAGCTTCTACTTGGTTTCCTGGATGCTAAACGAACAACAGCTTTCCCATCACAATTCAAGATGAATGAATTAATGAATGTTAAGTGACAGTGTGATGTAGATCTGTCAGGCTTTTCAAATCCTAGCATTTCACTGTCTATGATCTATCAGAAGCTATAAGGCAGGAGATAAGTGTAGGAGACTTTTTTTCATGTTCAGTCTGCATGAAAAACTCAGAGACCAATTATTATCAGAAATAAGATTTTAAAAATGTTTTTTCAGTGTTCTACACGTTGAATTATTTGTGCTTTATGTAGTATTGGTAGGTAGCCCTTTACCTGTCTGGTAAACCAATTGGTAGAGTATGTCCTTACATCTCACTGAAACATTTAATTAACATAACAAGAAAAAAATAATAAAAATATTCTAAAAAATATTAAAATGTTTGAAGAAAAGGCAATACATTATTGCATTGCATTATCATTACTCTAATATTACAAATATTATTTTATTACTATTAATAATTTGCATTACACTAAAACCCTTATTGTCCCAAATGAAACACACACACACACACACACACACACACACATATATGTATATATATATATATATATATATATATATATTTTTTTTTTTTTTTTTTTTTTTAATGTGTGTTTACCTGACTAACACTTACCAGGAACGCCACCCACAAACAGAGGGTCTCTGGTCAAAGTGAAAGTGGAAGAAGGTGGTCCAATCTTGTAGTTGTCTGTTGTGTCCACAGATAGCTGTATTACATTTTTCATCTTTATCACTGAAAGACAAAAGAAAAGTAGCATGATGTACAAATACACTTTCCTGCCAAAAAGTGATTGAAAATTATGCCATTAAAGAACAAAGCACAAAGATACAGCTTGTAGTTGTAGAAAAGATGAGATAACAAAGTAAATGTAGAAATTATTGTGATTGTGGAAGATGGCACCATTACCGTCGCATACTGATTGGGCTAATGGCACAAACATAATCTAAAATGACACTGGTACACGACTGAATTAGAAAATGTTGCTGAGGAAAACGTTTTACTGTCCAAATTTCTTATAGAAAATATGAGTTTTGCTAAAAGAAACTGATGCAGCTTCGGGAGGAACAGCATCACAGCAAAAAAGCTGTAGTCAAAGCTCGTGCTCTTACAAAACAGAACATTTCAGCTGTGTTTATTACATTCTACCTGAAATTTTATGAAAGTTTCCATCACATAAAGACGTTTTTGGCTTCACCGACACCACAAACTCTCCTTTTCCTTGGTTCACCCTCACCACCACCTGCAAAGGAGAACACGAGCACACTTTTTATTCCCCTTTCACCTAACCAAACAAGTCACCTGGTCATTTGGATTGCAAATGTTTCAATGCGATTTCGATACAGTGTTATGATCCAACAACCTGGTGCTGCAAAGATGAAAAAGTCTCCAACATGGCAACAGCATCGAGAAATGCATTCTCACCTCTCCTCGGAACATGTAGACAGTGAGAAAGTGGCCCATCACATCTGGATTCCTACTGGAATCCCCAACATGGAGCAGGAGGGCTGACTGAGTGCGAGGACGTACGTTAAACAGCAGCTCCAAGGTGGAACCCACGACAAAAGAATCATCTGAGACAGGACGATAAATGTCGAAACTGATAATGTGAATCCAATAGGGGAAAATTAAAACCTCCGTTATAATAATAATAATTATTATTGCAGGCTTTTAAGTTCTTTTTATGCTATTATACTCACTAGAGTCCAGAAACCTGCAGTTTAACTGAGCTCTAATAATCATGACATACTCACTAATAACAATATGCGCTCCATTTCCTGAGAAATACACCCCTCGTTGCGTCTGCCCCTCAAAGCAGGGTCCTGCACCGTGGTTGGCAGTTGGGTTGGACATTTGGGCTCCATTCATTTTAAAGTTACGCAAGCAACCAGACACACTCTGTTTCGGAAGGGCCTTTGACTAGTGCAAGAATACACTTGATTAGAAATACTTTTTGTGAGGCTGTTTTTTTTTCTTTGGTCATTTTGAGATTTCCTTTCTTACCTTTAGCTCTTTGTGAAAGATCTCTGGGGCAGTGCCCAGGTAAACAGGCGGCATGAACTGCTGCATGGATTTCAGCTCAGCACTTGTCAGCTGACCATCCTGAGCTCTAATCCCATCCACGACCAATCTGAACTTCTTCTTTTCCAGACTGAATACAACCTGCAGAAAATTAAACATGAACTAAGAGTGATTTTTAAATAAACTGAGAAAAGTATTATCTGCTGCACAAATTGAGGAACATTTTAGTTATTGTTTAAAAAAATATATGATTAGGGATGTCAGATATTATCATCAGCCAATGTTGGCATTAAATGCTTTAAATGTTGGCAGAAATAAACTGAATCTGTTTTTACTCTTTTACCGTAATTACACAACATTTCAATACCACACACACATATTATACTTCAAACTCTTCAGCGACTTCTCTTTTCACTTAAGATGGCCAAATATGACAAATCAGAGGTTGTTTTGAGATGTGTTTGTTTGTTTGGCACAACTGGCATGTTTAACTATGCATGATAGGAGGTATACTGAGTTGGTTGAGGTGGCTTGGACACCTGGTTAGGATGCCTCCTGGACCTGGTTGAGGTGTTCTGGGTACATCCGACAGGGAGAGCTAAATTAGGATTGGGACACGATGGAAGGATTATTGTTTCACGGCTGGCCTGGGAATGCTTTAGGATTTCCCCGGAGGAGCTAGCTCAAGTGGGATAGGGACGTCTGGGCCTCTCTGCTTTGGCTGCTGGCCCTGCAACCAGGATAAGTGGAGGAAAATAATAATAATAATAATGCATTGAACTTATATAGCGCTTTTCAAGACCCCGAAAGACGCTTTCACACACTAGCACATTCACACACTGCTAGTGATGGTAAGCTACTTGTAGCCACAGCCGCCCTGGGGAGGTCTGACAGAGGCGAGGCTGCCATTTGGCGCCGTCGGCCCCTCTGACCACCACTAACACAGGCAAGTTGGGTGAAGTGTCTTGCCCAAGGACACAACAGCAGGATACCCCTGGCGGGAGCTGGAATCGAGCCCATGACCCTCCGATCATGAGGCAACCCGCTCTACCACCTGAGCTACTGCTGCCCCCCAAAATAGATGGATATATAGCATATATGTGATGTTAATTATCTAAAATTATGTTTTTAATGAGGGAGGACCCTGCATATATTGGTACTGGTTTATATCAGTATCAGAAATTAAAAATTAGACTACATCGGTCAAGAAATGCTTATCGAACATCCCTAATTAATATCTACATATCCACAGACCGAGTGCCACTTTCCATCGTTGTATTTCTCTCGATTGAAGATCTCTTTCTGTTTGGCCACTGACAGCCTGATCCTGCCTTTGGACATGTACAAGGCCAGGTGAGATTGCCCTCCTCTGGTTGCAGCAAAGAACAGCAGACCTTCAGGAGACCGAGTCCTCACATCAAGAGAGAAATGAGGCCTGTACAGAAAAGAGGGGGGGGGGGGGGGGGGGGGAACGGACGACATCCTGATGTCTGATGTCATGAGTGTTTGATTGTTGAAAATAAATAAAATAAAGTTTATCTCTCACCTGGGCTGCAAAACCTGTAGTGGAAGGCTATAGGTCAGGCTGCTAGCTGGTCCACTCATTCGGTAAGCATGATGTACTTGAGCAGGAAGCTCACACTGAGCTACACTTTCATTTATTACTTGCAGCACGCTGTCCTAAAGCAGCACAAAAACACACAGCAGAAGCATTTCAGTACAAGCTGGTGCATGCACAGGTCTGAGAAAAACTCTGGATGACCTCCAACCTGTCAGTGAAAGAGATGCTGCAAAATAATCATGTTTGACCAACGAATAAAGAGCATTCTGCTTTCCAAGTGACTTTAATCTTGTTGCCAATCGTTCAGGTGTCCTTATTTATTCCTTTAGAATAAAGTTAACATTCCATCTGCATGTTTTTGTCCGTACAGTAAACAGAAGGTTTAAAGGAACAAGGTAATTAGAAATTATGCATTACTGCAACCAGTAAATAATAATAAATTATAATTTAGAATAATAGCTTAAATAAAAATGAAGCTGCTTGTACTTTTTTCAGCTGATTAATCAATTGTAAATAAACTAATACCTGGTTTGATCAAATAGTGTGGCTTGTTAATATTTGACGTGAGCAGTATAGGAATCCTAGATTTAAGCAGTCATGCATGTTTTTTGGAGGTTAGTCATGGTTAGACTAAAGCATTTTTGATGCCTTATGTTCATTATATTTTAATTTAAAACTGTTACATGCTTTCACATCTCTGAATTATTTAATAGTTGTTAACATTTGTTGCTAGCGCCCAGGTTTATTGTGAATTTATTTACAGCCCAAAGTGGAGCAATCTCTCTCAGAAATAATAAAATCACATACAGATGTTGTTGAAATGTTAAACATAAAATGTAAAAATAAGACATATAATCCTCTTAAACACAACTATAGGACTTTTTGTATGTTTCAGTATAAAAGCTGTGGAATTTGGACTGAATTTGACCTTTTTTAGTATTTTGACACGTTTGACTTTTATTCTAGAGTAAGCGTTATGTTTCTCATTCTGCCAAGAATGTTTTATTCATCTAATTCATCTGTTGCCAACAAAGGCTGAGGAATATTTTGTTCCAAACCAATTATCATATTTTTCTAGTGAAGCCTGCATGACTGATGACATGATTGCAGGAATCAGAGCTGTATTGATGGATCAGAAGATAATAAAGCAGACTTTCAAAGGTAGTTGAACATTAAAAGTACATATTTCTCCTCAACGCTAAAGTGAAAAATCCTTTCATTTCTTCTCAAGGTCTGCTTCTGTCTCTCTCTCTCTCTCTCTCTCTCTCTCTCTCTCTCTCTCTCTCTCTCTCTCTCTCTCTTTCTCTTTCTCTCTCTCTCTCTCTCTCTCTCTCTCTCTCTCTCTCTCACACACACACATAATTATATATGTTTATATCTAAAATCTTTTTTATCTAAAAATCTATTTCTATGCATGTAGACACACACACACACACACACACACACACACACACACACACACACACACACACACAGATAGATATACTTGGAGGTAGCTTTCATTCTTTAAATTTCAAAATAAAAGTTTTGAATTGACATTTGTAATCTGTATGCTGTAAATCTTATCGTGTCATTTGATTTAAAGGAAATATGTTTCAGTTTAGTGATCAGACATTATTGTGTGCAAGTCATTAGTGAGTTACAGGGGTTGTGCTTGTGAATGACTGTTAGGGAATCACATGGAAGAAGGAGAAGAGACGCAGAATCATTTCAAGGTTATTATTTACATGGCTGTAGGTGTAGAATATGAATAGATTAAATACAATCAATTTTCTTGATCATTTTGGTTTCTGAAGCATTCATGCAAGACTTTTTTTATTGGAGTACACTGCAGTTAAATGAGCGGGATCCACAGCTAAAGAGGAGTCAGGATTTCAAGTCAGTGTTAGATTCTTGTCCACATCAGCAGGTGTGAGGAATCCTTCTTCATCTCTGGAAATAAGGCAGCAGAATTTTATTTAAACACAATTGGGTCAGAAAAAATAAGTTGACTACGTTTGATTTACTTACGTTCAATGAGAGGAGTCAATTATTCTCCATAAAACCACAAGTTAATAACAGTTATACTGTGACTCAACATGGATTTTCTGATATTTTCTAAATTATCTAAGAAAAAAACTCACCTACCTAAAAATGTATTTTAAAGAATTTTACCAGATCAGATATGTTCTAATCCAGATTAGAGTATAAACAAACGTTAACAGCTATTACCTTTTTTGCGTTGCGGTCGAGCATCAGTTGAACTGGACTGATGGCCGTACACACATCCAGCTTGACCTCTCCAGAATCCTGAAAGCTGCTCAGGTCCTCAGCTTTGTACAGGTTGCCAGGCCTAAAACAAAAAAATAACCCACACATATATATATATCTATATATGCAAACTATCACCTTGTGACTTCTTTTGATAATAATAAGAAAAGGTCAGTGCATTACAGTATGTGTAATGAGAAAGTTCATAAAATCACCTCCTAGTGTAGAAGTTGGAAATGCAGCCGCTAAATTTCCCATTTCCCAGAACCACTTCACCACCTGTCTCAGGAATGGATGTGGTACCAGGCTGTACTTGACCAATATCGTCATCGTCCACACGCAACATAGTGCTGGAAAAAACACACCATCCACCAGCAGAGTCATGAATTAGATTTTTTTTTTTTCAAAAAAGCTTCTGCACTGATATTGTCCAATTTAATTGCTAAGAAATCAGATGTAACACGTAAACCAATAAGAGCTACGCCTGATTCATGCTTCTCTGTCAGCTCCGCAAGGGAGAGACACGCACGGATTGACGGAAGCGTTTTGCTCTCATGCTTCTCTGTCTCCTGGAGTGTTGCAAAGCAATTCCCCGCCAGGACAACAGAGGGCGTAGCGCTGTTCTGTGGTATCCTGTCATGTATCCGGTCTAAGATAGTGTGTTTATATTGTGTTTTTTGTATATAAGAGACTTTTTAACGGACAAATTTGTCTCTCATCCTCCTCCACCTCTTCATGCGCTCGGCACCTCTAAACCCACGTTTCCTGTCATTTCCGTCCACAAATAAAACGCTTGCAGCGCATCTTTTCACTCCTCCATTCACGGGGAATGAAACGTTCATGTTTTTAGAGTTTTTTCTTCAAGCTGCTCCATGTCTGCCGCTAGTCATCCTCGGCTCTCTTTATGTTTTTGAGGGCGCAATGGCAGCGATGTAGACGACAGCGGCATCCTGACCAATCACAAGCTTGCGCTGTCCGTCTCGACGGATGGATGTTTAGAAAACAGAACTCGACTCCGTGCGTCCTTGCGGAGCTCTCCAGTAGGCCCGCAAGGATGGATAATGGCGTTGCGTGTCTCCGCACTGATGCAGACGGAGAAGCATGAATCAGGCTGTAATCATCTGTTTTATCTGTCCTTGATTCTCATGATGTCTCATGTCTCATGATGTGGTCTGACCATGACTCATCGACAGCTCAGTGGGGCAAAAGCTACGTTCATGTACGTTCGTCTTTCAAACGATCTCTGCCTACAACTGGACAGTGGTAGGACCAATCAGAGCAACAAACAATCAGACGTATTCATTGCTGCAAATATCAGCCAGTGGGGCAGTTCGCCATGCTCCATCAAAGAAGAAGTTAATAAGTTCCTTTTCAAGATAAACGACTTAACTTCTTCTATCTGCTCTTGTCTCAAAGAAAAGCCCAAGTCTACATCATCCAAAGTTGATGCGAAAGCTGTTTCAAGCGAGCGACAATCCTGAGCCGACGCCATCTTTGTAGTTTTTATCTGTCACAGCTCTGGTGCTAAACCTGCCTAATGTCTCTCTACAAACATGAGACTCAGTGATTGGCCAGACCTAAAATTGTTTGGGCCAATGGTAAACCATCTGAGGCTACAATAGAGCGTGGCTAGACCAAGAAACTTTTCCCAACGGTTTGTCTAGATTTCTGAGCCAGATGTTTGCATTTTCTTTTTGAAAAACCAAATGTGGACTAATGTCTTCATGTGTCTACCTTCCTCCTCTTCTGGTGACAGTCAAGTAATGCCAAAGCCCATCATGGTACTGTTTGTTAGATTTCCACATCTTGCCGTCCAAACTCAAAATCACATTGCCATTTTCCAACGTAAGGCCAACCTCATTGGCCTGGAGGAAGAGAAAGAACATGAATACAAGGTTTTGAAACTAGACTAAGATTTCAGTATTCTAACAAAAGTTATTGTTGCATAATCAGATGTAAAGACCAACCAGTTGTTTGTCCTGCAGAATAAGGCCCTGACTCTCTGTGCTCTTGAATCCAAGAGAAATCGTGATGTCATCGCCCAAAGTGATGCCTGTGATGCTGGTTGAAAGGGAGCTCCCCAAACTGAACTGTGCTTTGCGTGAAATCTAAATAGAATAGACATCAGCTCATTAGTTGAAACATCTAGGAACAGGGCAGTGGTGTGAATATTTACTAAGATGAACTTCGTACAAGTGAAGCTGTAGGGCAGCCTTTACTTATGCCCACCGACTCCGTCAGACTCTGGAAGACTGTGTTCAGCTTGAAATTTTTCACGCATCCCTTTAATGGTCGTGTAGTGATGTTAAATCTTAAAGGAGAGAAGAAAAATTAAGATATCTGCAAGCAAAATGGTAAAAATCTAAGTTATAATCTGTATTTAGAAAATAAAGTATTCACTATGACATACTTGTCCCTCAGATCTTGTGTTAAACCACCGAGATAGAATGCTTTGAAGTCTTTGAGACTGTATGGAATGCCACTGAGCTGAATTTGTTCATCGCCCACGCTTAGTCGAAGTACTCCACTGGTGGTCATAATTAGGTTAATGTCAATCCCTTGTGTTGCCTGAAAGTGCAGCAAAGTGCAAATCAATGCCTCCTTTCTGAAGGAAATGTGTCAGTAATGAGACATAAATTACAAACAAGCAGAAAGCAAAAACACCCAGAAAAAGACACTTACTGGGAATATTTTCTTGTTATCTGGCAAGCCGACAGGAGACTGTTTAAGTTGAGAACCGTACAAAAATATGGCTCCGTTTTCTATGGTCAAAAACAAATATTCATCCTGTGTCAAAGAGAAGTTAAATAATGATAAAGTTAATTCAGATGAACTTTGTAATTCTAGTAATTTATATAAGTCATCACATAAAACATTCAAATTGAAACAAATATGTTTACCTGGCCTTCTATAAAAAAGAGCAGCCCGTTTTTGGAGTAAGTAAGGACACTCATCCCACCCCTGAACAGTGAAGAGACTCCTTGATCTATTGGCACTGTTCCATACCCGGTGCCTTCATAAAAGTCCGAATCAACTGGAAGTAAGTATCTGGGTGAAATAAAGATTCAGTCAGATTATAGAACTATTGTTGCTCCAATTATTAGTATTCTAGTAATTATGACCGAAAACTGCAACAATAAAAGGTGCTAAGTAATAGTCAGAAACTATTGTTGATAGTTAAAGAGCAAGTCAACCCCTACCAGAGTCTAACTCCACTCCCACTTCATGTTTGAAAAATGCAACACATGCTGTTGCCTGGCAGACCGAGAGGGCGGAGCCGCTAACAAATACACACACACTCAGGCTCACAACAGCATTGTGACATCATAATGTACCAGTTTACATCATAGCATACTTCTTATCCAATAGCGGTGGCAGATTTAAATTAAAATACAGTGCAGAGTTTTTACCTGACAACGGCACAACACTGCCAGTTTTAGGTAGAATATTTAAATTTTAACTAAGATGCACTGAAGTGCCAAATTATTGACGACACGGGTCTGCAGCACGATTAGACACTCGTTTATTTAGTTTATCAGCAAAAAAATGTTTATTTGGGGGTGACTTGCTCTTTAAACCTTTACCCAGGGATAAGATGGACACTAACAACTGAAACTAGACACAAAACAAAGAGCTAAATCCCTCAGCATGTTTGTCATACCTTTTGCAAGGAGACACCTTGTTCACATTCTCTACACTTTGGAAATTGTAGAGACCCAGAATTTTGTCGTTGAAAGAGAAGAATTCAATGCAGCCTGTATAATTTGGGTACCTCATGGAGGCTGGCGGCTGAGGAGAACAAAAGCAGCAGAAGGTACTAAATACCCGAATTTTCTATAAATTCTGAATGGATATGGGTATTTTTGATCTTGGTTCTCACATTAAAGTTAGCAGGGTAGCCTCCGACGTAGAAAACTACGTCACTAGGACTGAGATCCATGAGGTCTTTGGACTCCTGTCCTTGCTTGCTGTTAAAAAATGGATCATCTGGTTTTTTGGAGGATATTTTTTTGGTCAAGATGACCTGTGCATCTTGGTAAATTCTGAATCATAAGAAAGAAAAAAAATTATTTCCATTCGAACTCTTTTATTTTCTTGTCACGTTCAGGCAGAGCTTCAATCAAACTGTACCTGCGAAAGTCCACTTGGTCGAACAGGGACTGCTCCGAGTCAGACGTCGTAATGGAATGTGACTGTATCTCATATTCGACGCCGTTGAGTTTGTACAAGCCGTACAGAATGTTGCTCCTCAAAACCAGGCCGATGTAATTCTTAGAGGACTGCAACACAAAGCTCGTTAGTGTAAAATTCAAAGCTTCACAAAGCGTTAAGTAGATTTTGATTTCCTCACATCTCTGTTGCCAAGGTACAACACAAACAGGCCTCCTGGTGTCTGCCTGCGTCTGCGAGCTCCGTCTCCCCTGCTTGTGGGCCTCTGCAGTGACAGTGACAGAGCTGTGAACGCTCTCAGATCGTCCAGGTTCTGTGGTGGACGCAGCTCTGCATGAGAGTCCCCAGTAAACATCATAGGGACTGCAACCTGGAGATGAGGCACAAATGATTGACAGCTTCACCCGACGTCACACGCATGTGTTTACAGAGCTGGAGCTCACCCGGTTGGCTGCATCTCTAGCTTGTTCTATCAGCTCCTTGATGTTCTTTATGCTCTCTGTGATGTTGTTAACTTGTGGGAACTGCGAGGTCAGGTTTTCCACCTCTGAGATCTTTTGAGTCAGAGATGGGATCGTGTTCAGCAGATTCTTCACTGGAGTGAAAGTCAGAGGAAAAAGCTGTGTAAACAAATGAACGCAAAACTTCCTGATTATTCCTGAGGAATTATTTACTAAATCTCACCAGACTGGTCCACATCATTGAGTGCGTTGCTTAGGTTGGCATTTGTGGGGGTGATTTGGATCTTATCGATCTGCTGTTTGATGTCGTTGAGTCTGTTCATTGTGTTAGTGGCTGAGTTATTGGCAGAAGCCGCTTTTGTCTTTGCATCTTCGATCATCCGTCGAACATCATCTAATTGGAAAAGTTACAACATTTAGTAAAAAATTAGACAGTAATCCAATGACTGCTTGTCTTGCACCACTCTACCTGTATTAGTGGCGTTTAATTGGCTCTGAACATCCAGGAGGTCCTTCTCGAGAGCTTTCTTCTTGTTCTCAGCTTTTTCCAGGCGAGACTTCAGCTGACTGAGATCCTTAGCCGTGTCTGTGACAGAAAAACAAGGTTAACAAGGATGCTTTTAAAATGTCTTTAAAACAATTGCATGACAGTGTGTCTTCACACCCTGAAGATCTTTTTCTGAGTCCTGTGCACTTTTTAGCAGAGTATCACCCTTGTCCTTCAGCTCTTTTGATTTTTGAGTGAGGTTCTGATTAATTACATTCTAAAGAAAGAAAAAAACACTTGTAAAAGTGACGTCAAACCAAGAATACATTTGTGTAGTTAAAGTAGAAGGGTTTTAGGAGCGTGGCTTACATCCAGCGCTGTGTCTGCAGCAACTTTGGCCTCATTAGCAGCTGCTTCTGCAGCATTTATGGCATCTGTGATGTTCTTGTAGGCCTCAATGGCGTTTTTTGCATCACGCACCTCGGTAAGTCCACTGGCATTTTTCACAGCGCTATTACACAAAATAAGATAGGAAGAAAATAAGTAAAGGAAGATGAAAGTTTAATGAATTAAACTGTTTTGTGTGAAAGAAACGTACAAATAAAAAGATTTCTTGCAGATTTTATAGAATTTTGCTGCCTGACATCAGCTTAAATGCTTAAATGATATCAAAGTTTCCTTTTATATTTTTTTAAAGAAAGTTTTCCTCTGATAGATGATAAACTTACTCTACAAGGTCTTTAGCTAACTGGGTTAGGTTTCTCGCATGTTCCTCTGCAGCCTCCACAATGTCTTTCTTGGCTGCGGCCTTGATGATCTCATCCACTTTTGCAGTCAGCCCAGCCTTGGCACCATCAAGCTCTGCGCTCAACTTTTCAAAGTCCTGCAAAAAAAAAAAAGCACATCTTTTACTAACTCTAAACTCTAAATCAGATCACAGGAAAAAAATTACTTATAATCTAGTAAATTAGGGAATACAAGAGAGTGGACTTTTGTTTACTTCAGGTAAAGTTTGATAACAGTTTATAAAATGTACCGCTTTGCTGTCCAGGAGCATTTTCATGAAATCCTCTGTGTTCTGAAGTTCATTATTAGCCATGGCCATCTGGTCTTCTACAACTTTCCGCTCATTTTCTAAGTCCTTAATACGTTTCTGTGGGATTGCAGTTTTGCATGATGACCAAAGTGTGTTTTATTTCATTACAGATAAGCTGTGAGGCGTTTCAGTGATAAAATGTATTTAAGCCACATTTTGCTTCCGTAGTACCTGCAAGTCTTTCAGTGTCTTAGCATTGAGATCATTCTGGGTGTTGGCTTTGTTCACCAAGTCTGATGCATTCTTCAAAGTCTCATTTAACGCCTTCAGCTTGGCATTGTAGTCCTTCAGAAGGCCCCGGATCGTCTCTGCTGCCGCCTCGTTTTGGTCACACAGCTTACTGACATTTGTTTTGATGAAGTCCAGCACTGAAACGTAGACACGATAGAAGCTCAATAGAAATCTTTTTCCAACAGATTTTCTGTTGGGTTTGAGGTGAGCTGCGTCGTACATTTTTCAGCTTCCTCTTTTTCTTTTTTGGCAGCTGTCATCTGGGGGGAGAAGTTTCTATCCTCCATCTCCTTCACCATGCGCTGAGCATCCGCCAGCATTTTAGTCACGCTGTCGTTAGGCAAAGAATCTCCTCTACCGCTTTGATCCCGCAGCTGCCTGAGTAAATCTAAAATGACAGCAAACAAGGACGTGCATATGTCGTTTAGGAGAATGAGAAAACACTAGGTGGAGGTAAACAAAGTGTTGACTGAGAAATAGGAGTGACGAAGAAGGCAAGGCAGCTTCATCTGTATAGTACATTTCATACGTAGAGGTAATTCAGTGTGCTTTGTTAGCGAAAATAGCATGAACATTTAAAATACACAAATAAATTTAGATCAAATTCAATTCACAAGTTCATTTCTGACTTGAGACAAAAACAAAGTTAAAGCGTGAGCAGTTACAGTGCAGAAGGTGCAACATAAAAAACATTCATTTAAAAGAAGCAAAAAGAAAGTTGATGACAGAAATTCTTTCTACCTCTTATATTGTTCAGTAAGTTTTGAATCTCTGTGTTCAGATCTTTTGCTCTTCTGTGGGTTTTTTCTACATTTTCCAACTCTTTTTCAACTTCCGCCGCCCGTTCGTCCACCTATGTGAAAACACATTCAAAAACTGATCATCTACACATATTTTCCAGTCTTACTGTGGTTATCGGTTAGTCTCAGGATCTCTTTTTGGACATGCATTTATATATAAAAGGATCACAGGACTGGAAATGTTAAGTGATGTAAAATGAAGATCTCTGACATTTTTTAGAAGACTTCTCGAGGACTTGGAGGCAGAGAACTGATCTTAGTTAAAATGCTGATTGTGTGTTTTTCCTGGTTAAATAAAGCTTAGATTAAAGTAGAATTTTATATTTTTTAAGCATTGTTATGTTTAAAACTTTTAAAAAAATATATATCAATAATTATTTGAAGTCCACCTTGTTGTTGAGCAAGCTAATATCATCTGACAGGTTATCTGTGTCCTGTTCCAGCTGACCCACTTTGGACTTCTGAGTGTTTATGGTAGAGCTGTATCTTTCAACAAGGATCTGCAAAAAAAAAAAAATAAAAAAAAATAAAATAAAAAAGATGCATGAAGTCAACACTGTCAACATGTCTTTTTTTAACAACAGTGACAAAGTCTTTATTGTTTGATGGATGAACAGGGATGTGAGGTCACAATAATGGTATTTGATGGTATCTAACTCAAGCTGAACCATAAAGATTCACACAGCTGGTTTAATATCAGCAGGAATGATGCGTATCTCAACAAAACAACAACACCCCCATGCAACTGCACAGGACTTCCTGTGTTGTATGTCTTTTACTTTGAAAAACCCCATTTTTGCTTGTATCCATTGGAGTTTACATTAAGAGTTACAGTGTTACCTTTGCCTCTGCTATGGCCTTCTCAAGCTTGGCCAGGTTGTCCTTAGAGGTGTCGCTGACAGAGATGTTCCCCAGCTGAGTCTTCATCCTCGCCAGCTCATCGTCAAGGTTTTCCAAATCATGCAGCAAAGTCAGGACACAATTATCACATTCTGGAATTTAAAAAAACAGACTAATTACAAAAAATAACTCATAACTTATTGGAAACATCACACAATGCTGTTTTGATTATTTTGAATAGAATAGAATAGAATAGAATAGAATAGAATAGAATAGAATACCTTTATTGTCACTATACAGGTGTAAAGTGAGATACAGAGCATCTCCTACTCAGTGTAAAACAAACATACTTGGGGGGGTACAGTTCTGCAGCGCTATGTACATATGGACAGTAAGTGTTATATACAAATTATTGCACAGTACAGTTGGGTTTATTTACCTCGGCATTGGCCGTCTGTGCTGGTATCTCCTGGCTCCAGAGCATTGCTGCAGACTACAAAAAAATAAAAATAAAAAAACACATTAAACTTTAAAAAAAAGCAGATTGCAACACATCTTTACACAGTGCAAGTCTCAAATCTGACCTCCAGTGCTGGGATCACAGTCGTTACTGTTGCCGTTGCAATTACATGGTCTGCACCTTCCTCCTGGTGTCAGCGGGTTGCCGTAGTAACCAGGAGCACAGCTATGTGAACGTAAAATAAAAAGACACATAAAACTTGGAGATTTAGAAAATCTGCAGACAGTGTTTGGTCCTGACGCCATACACTCACCTCTCACATCTGACTCCAGCGTAGCCCGGTTTGCAGAAACACTCAACGCTTCCAAACACGTTCCTGCAGCCGATCGCAAAACTGACCATCGACAGGGAGAGTCATTGCAAAATATTCTATTCTCCATCTAATTACAGGATGAACATTTAGGGCTTGGTTTATTTCTCACCCACCTGTTAGAGGGGACACTGAACGGGCACGGGCACAAAGAGCATGTCCTGTCCCCCGCGTTGCTATAGTAACCTTCTTTGCAGCGTTCACATCGGTCACCGGCTGTATTGTACTGGCAGTTCTGAAAGTGCCATAATATATTCAATAAACACCCTTCACATGATAATTCATCTAAAAACAGATTTCTATTGTATCTTTTTAAGTTGTTTACAGAAATGCAAAAAATAAAAAAGAGCAGATGTGTTGAAGGAATTCTGAGAAGGGTTTAGCCTCTTGTGTCGGTTTGGTTTTGAGCTGTAAATATGTGGTTCCACGCATGCGTTGCATGCACAAGCTCAGTCTTGAGTGTCTTGCATAACAGCAGAGACTTCCAAAAGCAAAACAGTTCATCCTTTCGTCAAGGTTTTAATGAGTTAGTGGTGAAATCAGGAGGGCAAATTAAATAAGATCTGATGGGGATGAAAAAACAGGATGTAACTGAGATGTGAGTGATGGTGAGAGGTCTCGACTATGACTAAACTTTAGCTCACCACCAGCTGGACCATAGTAGTCATCTTTGCTTTTAGGTTTGAGAGCATGTCTGAACACGTCACATTTTTAAACCCTTATTCTAGAGGTTAAAGGGATAATTTAAATATGTCAAGTTGTCTTCATGAGCGAAGTTATGAATAACAACCAAACATCCAATGGCACTGCTGAGACCTCCAAGCATAAGGGTGTTGCCGGACAACTCCATTTTCTTACATTTCTTACTGGTTTGGGCAAAATCAACCTTATCCATTTAGCTAACACAGTTGTTTACAGCATAGATCTGGCTAGCACGAACCACTGTCAAATCTTGGAGATTAGAGCAGTTTTAAGATGCTCTTTGTCTAATTTTTGCTCTTACAAACCATCCTGAAGGACTAAAAGCTGTTTATCCTAACAGAGGGTGTACAGGGAGTATATCGTCAACTGATGAAGTAGTAATTATTCATAACTTTACATGGAAGCACACTTTGACCCCCCAAAATTCCCCTGAATTTACTAAGTTTATTTCTTACCAGACACTTCCCAGTCCAGTCCTCACACTCATAAGCCAGACCGTTGCACTCACAGGGCACACAGCTGCCCAGGTAAGGTCTGTTCCTGTCTCGATAGAAACCAGGAGCACATCTCTGGTAAAAAAAAAAAAAAAAAAAATAGAAAAACAGATGTAGAAACATGATTATTCATCCAGAATATATGCAACAGTTGGAGGTTTAATTCATCCACTCACATATATATAGAAAAAACTATGTTAAAATGACGAAGGCTGCAATTTTATAATCAAATCATGCTGCTTAGCTCTGCACAATAACTACAAATATGCAATGCAATGTTTAAAATATTATCTATTAATGTTTCAATATATTCTGCAGCCACCTGAAAAGGATGAAAACAACATTCCTGTTTGGTCTTAAATTAAATAAGAAACCACAGAAAGGAGCTTGAATTGATTTTAGTGCAATTAACTATTAACTAGCAGTGAAGAATGCCCTTTGCTTTAAGAGATAACATTCAGCGACCGTCCATAGTCAGAGCTGAACTACAGCAATAATCCTTTCGCAATAAGATGCCTCCGGGTTTTACCTGAAGCTGAGAATTGTGAAAAACTGAAGGAAACTTAATGATCTGTTCGTTATCCTGCAGCGAGGGGTACTGCACCACTTGGCCACTCTGGTCATTTGTCGAAGGATATTGGATCTGTTGAGCTCCTTGATCCCGAAGCCAAACGTTCTGCAAGATCTGAGTCTGACTGTCATGATGTCGGCTATAACGGCGTCGCTCCTGCCTGCTGAAGGGTCTGCTCCCAGCACAACAAAGTCCAATCAGAGTCCAACACACCAGGGTCTTTAACAGAGCCCCTTTATACCACAATCCATACATTCCCAGAGTTTAGGATGAGGGAAATAAACTCCGATCTGCTGTTGTCTAAGCTTCTTAAACACACGCACCTAGACACAATGAGGACACACCCCATCTACCTGAGTCAGTCTTGCAGACAAGAGCGAATTCTACATGTGTTTACATGCTCTCTTTCCTATACTTGTTCCCAACACACACACACACACACACACACACGTGCACACACATAATCACTAATCAGACTGCAGAAGTTCATAACTATGCACACACAAGGAATTACATGTCTTAACTGGGAGAAATTAATGGAAAATCATTAAATCCTTAACGTTTACGGATTCCTTCCAAGCTGAGGCAATGCTACCTGACAAAACAGTAAATAATCTTATTTTCTGGATGTTGTTTATTGGTGTGTGTAACTGTGTGTGTGACTGAGAAGAAAGTCACACATCCTCAGACCTGATTCACAGACCTCAAAACGCACGGCAGACACAACTAGATGTGTCATCTGCACTCACACACACACACGCACACACACACACACACACACACACACACACACACGCACGCACGCACGCACGCACGCACACACACACACACACACACACACACACACACACGAACATGTACGAGACCTGAACACACTCATGTTTATGAGTAACGTTATGTTGCTTAGCGCCACACCCGACATTTCAAGGCAAGGCACCCTGTCATAGAGCCTCTAGGTACAGATAATCAGCTTCCTTTCAACACGCCCAATAAAGAAGGAACACACACACATACACACAGGCAATTAAATCCATGTAATTTGTAACCTAGGTTTCACTTATTTCATTAAAATATAATACTTCTGTAATAGCATGGTGCATGGATTACTTCCCTTTAATTTATGGTAGCTTGGTTTTCTTTACTTCTTTTAGTTTAGTGGGCTTATAAGAGGAAATGTTTGCATGAAAAGTTCGTTTTTAGGAGCCTCAAACCCGCTTTGAACACTAAATCAAATCCAAAAAAGAAGTAAAACCTTTTCCATGACATCAAAGTAATAGTTACTTTCTGCATTTCCATGTCTGACTGATCCCAGCCTGCAGCTACATTATTCCAACAGGTATTTTCCCCGAATGTTTGACACCGACACACCTCTGCTGATAAAAATTCTCATATAGGAAAGAGGGTGTAGTCTTTGGTTCAGGCACGTCAGGACAACTCCCCCGAGAAAAAGATGAAAAGATCGAGGTCCTCAACACAAGATGCCATATAAGTCAACAAACAGTCCCACCCTGCTTCTCGGTTTCCCAAAGAAAGATCAATCTTCTCATCTTTAACTGTTTTTTTTTCTTCCTGCTTTTATTCTGGAACTTTTATATACTTCCTGTAGAATCCAGACAATAAAAAAAGAGACAACTAAAGTGACTTTTTGTCACCATGCTCAAATGCAGATCAGCTTTTGCCTTAATTACAAAAGAATTTGGGTAAAAGTATTCTGATTACACACACAAGAAGCACCACAACTCATATTGAGTAAGACAGTAACCATAACCAGAAACCACTAAACCTGCTGCAATTTAATGACGTAATTACAGAAAATACAGTTGTTTATGTAAAGCTGTTCAAGATTTTTATTCATATAAAAAAAGCAAGTCTCTTTTGAGATATTCCTTTGAAATAAAAGCAGATTTAATCGTCAAATGCGCAAATTAATCTCAAAAGAAACCTCAGGGATGGAATAATTCCTCGCGAAACAAAATTTAGCTGATTTATTCAACTATTTGTTCAAATTGAAGATGCAGAAACAATAAAATCCTCAAATTTGTTGAGTGAGCAAAGACAAACGAGAAGAACACAGAGCTTAAAACCATTTGTTGGGTCCATGCAGAGACAAGGACTCACATCATCCTAACTTTATTGCATTTCCCCCAAAACAAACTGGTTTTCCTCTGTTGTCAACTGGAAAACTAAACACAAACCAATGAGCCCTGGTGCACCTGTTTCAGGAAATAGAAATGAGCCAGATCAGAGTTGCAATTCAGACAGCAGGATTAGGACAATTATTTTCTGATATTTGGACATCTCGTCTCTGATTGGCCAACAGCAATGCAACTCTACCTCTGACTGCATTTCCTTTGCAACATTGATGTTTTATCTCCACAGATAACCCAAGCATGAAGGAGTTCTGCCGTGTGGTGGAGTTTATGTTTATGTATTTAGCAGACGCTTTTGTCCAAAGCGACCTACAGGTGATAATCAAGCCATGAGGCTGCCCTTGAGGCTAACAACCAGAGGCGGTTTTACCATTAGGCATAGGTCGGCGGCCGCCTGTTGGGGGGCCCCCTAGCCCTGACCACAGACACCCCTCTGTTAATGTCACAATATTCTTATTACCAACCTGTTGCCGCAGACAGGATTGGACATGCGCACTTCTCATTATAACTCCTGAACCGTTCAAGATATCATTAAAATTCCAAAAGTGCTGGAAAAATAAAAAATGGGGCTTTTCATGTATACAGTGCATTACAGTAGCCCCCGGGATTCTCTGTCTTGAGTGCAACAAATCACAACACAGAGCACAGAGACGTGCTGAGTTTGTCATCCAAAATGCTCCGTTTTATAACTTTTGAATGGCTGATCAGATTGAAAAAATTCCAACGGTTCCTAAAAGTACATAAAAGCCGCTTTCCAACGATCTGTAGCAAGAAGCAATCAGAGTTATGGAAAATATTGCTACGAGGGGAAATCATGCTGCACAGCCTGATTGAAACGGAGCACTGTGGAGCGCAGCGCCACGGTGAAAGTGGATAACGGAACGGGGAAGCTAATTAGCATAAAAAGCCAGCATGAAATTATGGAAATACCTCAAAGAAAATCAAGATGATCTATTAGGTGTCCCAGAAGGCTTATATCTGAAGACAGTGACCACAAAGAAGGACAGATCTCCAGTGAACCAGGGAATAATGTTTGTTCAGTCTTTATTTTTTTTTTATTTGAACAACCCTCAACTATTTGCTAATTGTAAGATTCTGCTTCATTCCAGCATTATTTATCTTTTTACAATAAATAATTATTTTTGCTAAAACAAAAGTTTTTGGTATAGCAGTGCACGGTGTGCAAGAGAAGCACCCCATGGCAGTGTGAGGTGCGCTCTGCCTGCAGGTGGAGAGAAACTGCTTCAAGACCTACCACATCAAATAAAAACATCTGAAAGTTTACAAAAATAAATGGTCTTAAAAACTGCTAAAAAAGATACCAAGGTTCAAACTTTTTTTTCAAGCTTTGTTCAAAGTTTAAATTGTTCATTCCAAATTGTTTGCCCAAGTCATTTTGAAGTTCCTGTTCAGTAATAAATGTAAAAAATTCTAAATCCATTATTTTGCTTTTTTCCCTTTTAAGCTGATTTTTTTAAAGGCTTTAATAGAAATAAATTCTAAATTCAAACCATACACTGAAAGCTGAGGTTGTTCTGAAAAAAGGAGAAGAGTTACACACACTTTGCACTTTTTATTACAATTTTACAGCCATAAGATTAAAAAAAAACCAGGCGCCCCTGTTATAATTATGGTCATAAGAGGGTTATTAAGACTGTGATGCACAAACAGGCAGTGATTGGTAGTAATTCCACTCCAATCCAGTTGGTGGCAGTAATGCACCAAATTGTTGTTTGCCAAGTGCCATAGGACCACAAATAAGAAGAAGAGAGGCGGGAGCGTTCGTAACAAACTCAAAGCGATAGTCAAAACATGAAGCATGAAATGGAGTTATCCTAGTGGCTCCAATAAGAGAAAGAAGCAGCATGCTTCATAAAAGCTTTTATTTTCACTTCTGAAAGTAACGTCGTTTTTCGATGTAAACATCAAAAGGAAGCAGAAAGGAAAGACAATGGAAAATGTTTAAAGGGAGGAAAACATAGACCAAAATGGAATTTAGGAAAAAAAATAACTACAGGAGCACTGACAGGAAAAAGAAAATGGTAAATGGTAAATGGCCTGTATTTGATATAGCGCCTTCTAGAGTCATGGAACCCCTCAAAGGCACTTTAGAACACAATCAGTCATTCACCCATTCACACACACATTCACACACTGGTGGGGATGAGCTACGATGTAGCCACAGCTGCCCTGGGGCGCACTGACATAGGCGAGGCTGCCAAGCACTGGCGCCACCAGTCCCTCTGACCACCACCAGCAGGCAATGTGGGTTAAGTGTCTTGCCCAACGACACGACAGCGACAGACTGAGCGGGGCTCGAACCTGCAACCTTCCGATTATGGGGCGAGCACTTAACTCCTGTGCCACCGCCACCCCAAAAGAAAGCTGAGCAAATATTGAAAGCGCTCAAAGGGAGGGAAATACAGGAAAAAAGAGGAGGACTAATAAAAAGGGAAAATAATTCATGTCAGAAGAGGGGAGAGTTTTTCAAATCCGGTTAAGGGTAAGATTGCCGAAAATTTAGTGTAAGGGGCCCCATGTCTGTATTCGCCTTGGGCCCCAAAATTGCTAAATCCGTCTCTGCTAACAACAAACACTATTCAGTCAATCCTAGGTGGCAGTGAGGCAGCATAATCAATCACAGAGGGAAGCGAATATGAAGTGTGCAGGAGAGTGAGGGACGGGTGCTAGTTAAAAAAATGCTCACTGAAGAGCTGGCTCTTCAGGAGCTTCTTAAAAATCCAAAAGGAAGCCCCTGTTCTAGTAGTGCTTGGTAGGTCATTCCACATCTGTGGAATGATACAAGAAAAGCGTCTGGATTGTCCTAAGCATTGAGTTGCTAATGCTAACTGTAGTGTCCTGTTTTGGACCTAAAGTTCATGCTCTGCTGTGTCTGCTTGAGTGGAGACATAATGTATCTGACACAGGCCTAATCTACATGAGATATTGGCCAAGGCCTTTCATACTTCTGCTCATCTGAACTGCTTCACCTCTTTACAGCTCAAGACAAGACCAAGAACTCTCTTGATAAGTACATAATCAAACAACGCTTGTTATTGCCAATGATAATGTGAGCCCAATGTTCAATCAATCTGTGAAATGACATTGTTATTACTTGATATTATAATTCTGTGATCAGAAGTATTTTACAAGTAATTATAATCTTGGACAGCTGCACTAGACACGTGATGACACAGAGTAATGTTAAAGTCACACGACACGTTTCCTTTTGTCTGATCCAATCAGAACCTTCGTTTCTGATGCGAGGTGGGGTTGTCTGTGGTGTTTGTATAAGCCCGCTTTTGCATGTCAAATTCTGATTCGCCAGTAAACCAAAATATGACAATAAAAACTATTCCATGTCACCTTTAGTTCAGTTCAAAGTGTTCTAGAGAAGTTTGGACAGGCCATCCGAACACCTCTTCAGCCGAAAGAACCTTGCGCGACAAGCTGGATAAAATCTGTTGCATGTTACACCTGACCGCAACGGTTCCTTCAGAATAAAAGCTGAACCTCACGACCCCTTCAGGGTCTCGCTGACGTCAATAATAACCTGTCGTGACCTGGGAGCATTCCGAGACTAGGCTGGTCGGCGCCACTGCTTTTCTACCGGCTTCGGTACCAAGGAGGGTCCAAGAGGACCTCGACATTCTGGATCTAAACGGAGGCTTCCCCTGGGGTACGTAGACCGACAGATGGTGTTTCATGTGTGTTATCAATCTCCAACTAAAGTTTAGAGCGAAACATTCACTCCCACTCAGAACTAACTGCTTCTCCGGATACGAGGTTCTGATAGCAACATTCCACACTTACATCGTTCATCTCACGTCTCATTCCACCTAGTTCATCAGTACACCGAGTGTTTAAGTTAGTCTTGTTTAAGTTGTGTAGAAATAAATGTCTTAACTATTTTAAACCTGACTCTCTCTCTTTCCTCGGGGTTAATACGAAGTGTCACATAATCCCTGCAATAAAAAGTTCCGATCTTCTGGTTAAAATATTCAAAGATCCATCAGATTGATATTTCATATTTCTATGGAATGTCACATTTTATGGTTCATAAGTAAGATGTAAACTACCCATCGTTACATAACAGTTAGCTTCTTCTGGCCGAGACATTGTCTGTCTCCTGGATAATAATAATAATAATAATAATAATAATAATAATAATAATAATATTCATCGAACTTATATAGCACTTGTTTAGGACACTCAAAGATGCTTTCATGCACTCTCACATTCACACACTGCTAGTGATGGTAAGCTACTTTGTAGCCACAGCCGCCCTGGGACGGTCTGACAGAGGCGAGGCTGCCATTTGGCGCCGCCGGCCCCTCTGACGACCACCAATACAGGCAAGTTGGGTGAAGTGTCTTGCCCAAGGACACAAGAGCAGAATACCCCTGGCGGGAGCTGGAATCAAGCCCGTGACCATGTGATCATGAGGCAAACCGCTCTACCTCCTGAGTTACTGCTGCCCCAACAACAGCCTTCCCTGTCACAAGTCAAAATGGGTGAGTCCATGAACATTAAGTGACAGTGTGACATAGATATGTCAGGAGATAGGTGTAGGAGACTATTTTCATGTTCAGCTTGCATGAAAAACTCAGAGTGACCGATTATAATCAGAAATAATAGTTACAAAATATTTTTTAGTGAAGTTGACCTTTAAAAATCTTATTGGAGCGAGTCAATCTCACCTCACAAGAGTCTCCAGTGTACTGAAGAGGACAGGAGCAGACCTCCACAGTGTTTCCAGGACCTCCAGTCCCTGAGTCGGTAGCCTCCTCCAGACCCACCTCCCCCAAGCTGAGCCTCTGGCTCTGAGTAAAGTACAAGGCTCGGATCTTCAGGGCCACCAGATCTGCCAAGACCATCATGAGTTCCTCTCTGGAGACAGGCCTGTTGGTACCAGCATGACGCCAGTTTCCCTAAAAACAAGAGGAGAAAACCTGAGAGTTAATCAAGGAAGCTGACAAAAATATTTCCTCCCTGACTCTATCCTCATATAAACCCTCTTGATCTATTACGGTAGCGCGACTTGGGTTGCGAATGACCACAGTCACCAATTCTTGTCATGGGTCTATGTATGTATGTCTGATCTCAGACTTGTGTGTACTGAAACTCTAATTTCCCTCTGGGATTAATAAAGTATTTTTGAATTGAACTGAATTGAATTGAATTGAATTATTTTACCTCCAGAAGCTGGACTCTACCCTGATACAGTCTGTCTGGAAGTGGAGCGTGTGGAGCCACGTGGATCAGGTTCATATCCTGACCCTAGAGGGGGAAACAAGGAACAAAGACATACATTTGTTTTTTGTTTCTGTGATTTAGAAAAAAATCAGATGAAAAACAAGGAGCTCCACACACAGTCAGCTCAATGTCAGGTCCTCTGGCAACGAGAATCATTCCCTCACTGGGAATCCCAAAGGATTTGGACTGGTATGTGAGGAAACCTCCATAAGATGAAACCTAAAGAGAAGGTAAAGAAGACAACATGTCTTTTAGGTCAGCTGAAATGGGTTTAAGGAGATAAAGTTGTAGGTTAGCATCAATCTTGCTTGTATTTATTTTCATGAATTATTGTACATATACAGTATATATTTATATGGGTCATTTGTCAGTGTGTGCTTGAAAATGTTCACCTGAAAAATATTCACCTGATTTATTTAAGGTTACACATTAACTCTATAGAGCAACGGACCGCATTAAACCACTTAAACAAGCTTTAAAGGTTCGTTTAGAGCTTGAGCCTGAGATTTTTTAAGGCATGAAGTTAAAAATATTAATAAGGCTAAATAAAGACAAGTTTGAAAAATGTGTTTTACTGCAGTGAGTTAACTTTGAAGCATCGGTATACAAGGTGTGGCTCATGGGCCATTTGTGAACCTCAACTGCAATTCAGGAATGGTAGAATTTTGACCTCTGCCCATAAAATTTAGCCGATTAAACAGTTTTATTATTTTTTGTTTTGTTTTGCTTTAATAATGTATTCATAGGGAGCACAAACCTACGCTGAATTTTACAAAACTACTGAATCTGTGGGCTCTATTTGTAAATAAAACTGATTTAGTCATCTCTTTTAACAATAAGGCAAACGCTATGTTGTTTTCATCTAAAATATTGCTTTAATGTATTTCTTTATGTAAAGGTGTGGAACATTAAAAAACATTTTATAATTATTATTTCTGATTATAATTAGTCACTCTTGAGTTTTTCATGCAGGCTGAACATGAAAATAGTCTCCCACACCTATCTCCGGCCTTAGCTTCTGATAGAAAACGGTGAAACTCTAGGATTTGAAAACATCTACGTCACACTATCACTTAAAATTAATGGGCCCATCTCGACTCATGACAGGGTAGGCTGTTGTTGGTTTAGCATCCAGGAAACAGCAGAGAACGTCCCGACTAGTAGAAGCTAACCATTAGCATTAGCAACTTCACCACACAGAAAAACTCCTCCAGGCTTGAGTTATTTGTGGAGATGAAACATCATTGTTGAACGTCAGCGATAGAGTTGCATAGCTGTTATCCAATCCGAGGCAAGATGCCCAAATATCAGGAAATAAAACTCCAAATCCTGTCATGTTTTGCCACTCTTGGCTTCAGCAGACCTGCCTGTGCTGATCCAAGTGCTTCTGGGCTTTTTTTTTTTTTGCCCCAAGTACAGCTTTCAAGGCATTCATTCCTATTAGAGACCTCTTCAAATGCATTGATTAAACAAGTTTCCCACAAGTTTAATAAAAATAAATAAATAAAATTGTGGCCCTTAAATACCTTCAACTTGGCAATTTTGGTTTGTGTCTCCAAAGGTTTGGACACTTATTGCTTGAATGAGTTAAACAGTTTATTGTGAATAATCAATTTACAGCCATCAAATAAAAATTAAATATATGTTAAAGTAGTCATCTTGTATTAAATCCAGGTTCATGGGGTTTCTTGCTCTGACTCACCCTGTTTCCCAAGTAGGTCTGAGGTGCCACCCAGTGAAGAGTTTGAACAGCGGGGAGAAGCTCCTGGACATCTGCCACCACTGTGTTACTGACTGTGTTCAAGACAGAGAGAACCTCCTCTTCCTCGGGGGTTTCCAAATGCCAGCCTCGCATCTCAACGAACTAATGATAGGGAAGATTTGGGAATGAAATCTTCTCGTGATATGACTGTAGTTTAGTTTCAACACACCAATGCTTCTAAACCTTGGAAATAAGAGCACCAAGTAGTGTCATGCCAAGGCATGTTAGAGCTGTTCACAATACACGGGTGAGGGACATGACTGAGTACACGTATATAAAAGAACCCAAAGTAGACCAGACCTTTCCTCTCCGTTTACTAGAGCTCTGACACCGGTCAGTTGCTCCGAAGCAGAAGCAGCTTGTGCAGCCAAGATGGTTGGATGGGTCAAAAAAAAAGGAGCCTTCCTGACACGTGTCACACCTGACCCCGGCAACATTCCTCTGGAAGGAACACGGCATTAACGATTACAAAGGAGTTGGATCAAGAGGATGTGCTGTACGTAAATCAGTGATACGAGGAGCTGAACTCACCTTGCAGAGACACCTTCCTGTGTCAGGGTGGCACACGTTGGATGTTACACCGCCTCGATTACAGTCACAAGGAACACAGTCAGGGAAACGGTAGTAACCAGGGGAGCACTGATCACACTGCCGCCCAACAACAAGAGGCTTACAACTGCATAAAAGTGCACAGGAAAGGTTTTGTCATCGAAATCCTCAAATTTATAAAAAATATGCAGCTTGTGTTGTGAAACTGAGAGGCTAAAGTAAAGCACTTGGCTGAATGTCATCCATCTCTTTGTCTATTCATTGCACAGTCAAACGGAGCTCCATAAGTAGTCAGTTAACAACATAAAAACATTTTTATGTCAGATCTTCCATGTTAATCATGCACCTTTGTTTTTTAATGGCAAAAGCTGCAACTGATGTTGTTTTAATAGATGAACTGTGTTGTGTGCTCATCAGAGGCTTTGGACTCACCTACACTGTCCGGTAACGGGATCACACTGTAGCCCTGCATCTGGGTTTATGCCTTTTGGAGTGCAGCCACAGTTCTCGCAGCCCAGCAGAGGGTGGTAGCTGAAAGTCTCACTCTGACACACTTCACAGATCGGCTTCACCGTCTGAGGAGGACAGATGCAGCGTCCTGTCACCTCGTCACACAGTCGGCGGCCACACTGACAGGCTGCAAATAAAAGACAGAAGAGCTTTATAAAACGCCTATACTGAAGGGTTGTTAAAGAGCGCAAGTGATTTTTCTTACGTCTACAGTAAGGAAATCCATAGAATCCTGTGGCACATTTTGAGCACTTCCGCCCAATGATGTGCTGTCTGCAGGGACACTGTCCTCCAATCGGTTCACAGAGGGTCCCAGTAGAACCGGACATGTTACAGTCACAGGGCAGGGCTCCGCCATTATACGCTGCTACAAGAGCACGGGCCGAGTCTCTACAAAACTGGGAAGATGTTCTGGGTCTGGCAGAAAAATGCAAGAGGTGAATTAAACATTTGAATTTACATCTGATCCAAACCACTAGAGGGCGCCATTCCCAAGTATTTCTGCTTCTTTGCTGTTCCTTATCTGATGCACACATCAAAACAACAGAAGTAAAAGTGTTTTCATTACTTGGACTTGGACATTACTCATTAATCATTGACTTGTGTGATTCGATGGATACCTACTCAACATAGAATCCATCTCCGGTGCACAGTTTTATGAAATTTGCAGATTTATCCAGTGGCTTTTCTCTCAGGAGCTCTGGAGTGTAGCTGCTATCAGGAACCAGCATGATATAATCCTAAACAAGACTCAAACCGTGTCAAAATACGAAACTACAACTACTGTTGCTGCAAATCAATAGTGGGAAACAAAACACAAAAAACAGCTTTTACAAACCCGCAGACGTTGTGGGTGTGGCTATCAGTGTTTTCTTTAATCTGTTTTAACCAAATTAACAACTGACCAAAACAAGAGTCTTCCCAGATGGGACAGCGACTGAGATAGTGGGAAGCTGCAAAGGATTCTCCTCAAAGTCGAGGGTGATGCGACCATCAGCGATGAGAACCTCCTTGCATCCTGAGACTGCAGGGCAGAAGGATGCATTTATTACGCCTGCAAGAGAAAGCAGTTTTATGTTAAAGACAACATGTTGCACAACAATGTATCTCTTGTTAACGTCGTATAAAGAAGCATGTAAAGGACTTGGGTTATTTTGGCATGAGGTCATTGTTGTTATTTGATATCAAGAAGGAATCTGTACCTCTTTGCCAAAATAAACTCAAATATCCAATGAGAGCCGAATAAATAAACAAAATATATTTTATTTTATTTGAATCGACTCCAGATTTCTCTCACACTCACCTTTCCACTTGTGCCCTGCATGTACTTGCATCTCCACCGGGAAGGAAATATGTTCAGGCTGATGATAATGAACCACAATCACATACCTGCCTGGGAGTGGCACGGCTGGTGTGAACCTGATCTCAGTCTGAGAAAAAAATAAATAAGACACCTTTAAAAAAGCTGTACACTGGTCTGGTACGGCAGCATCCCTCAGTTTTGTCAACATTTTAAAGAGTTATGCATAAAGCTATTGCACTGAAAAAAAGAGGTCAGGCATGTTTGACTCATCCCATCTTGTTAGTATTATAAGCCGTTGTTGCATCTATTAATACATGGTTAAAATGTGGCAACAACATGTATAAACCAAATCATGTCAGATTCTACTGATCTGTTCTGTGGGGTACCCCAAGGCTCTGTTTTGGGTCCACTGTTGTTTCTGCTGTACATACACCCTCTTGGACAGATACTTGATTCTTTTCATAATGTCTCTTATCGCCTATATGCAGATGATAATCAGCTGTACTGCTCTTTTAAGGATTCTGAGTTCTACAAACTGTCTGAATTACTAGTGTGTCTATCAGCTATCACCAGCTGGCTAGAAGATAACTTCCTTCAGTTAAACTCTGAAAAGACTGAATCATGCCCCTGAGAGCATGGTTCCCCTGATTAGTCTAAAACTTGGTCCTTTATCCTCTGCCGTCAAGACAAACTTAAGGAATTTGGGTGGTGTTTTTGACCAATCAATGTCTCTTGAAGGTCACTCAAAAACATTGGTCTGAAACTGTTTTTATCACTTAAGAAATATCTCCAAACTGAGAAGGTTGGTGTCAAAACATGAACTTGAAATGGCTCTCCATACTTTTATCTCCCCCCGTCTAGATTACTGTAACGCACTTTTCACGTGTTTTAACAAAAAAGCCCTTGACCGCCTTCAGTTGGTCCAGAACTCTGCAGCGAGGCTCCTAACTGGAGCAAACAGAAGAGCACACATCACTCCTATTCTAATGTCTCTGCACTGGTTACCCGTTAACTTTAGAGTTTATTTTAGAATCCTGACCATAACTTTCAGGACTTCACATGGTCAAGCTCCTCCCTACATTACTGAACTGTTAAAGCCTTATGCTCCAACCCGAGCCCTCAGGTCCACCCACCAGAACCTTCTAGAAGTTCCTAAGACCAGATACAAAAGTCGAGTTGATCGCTCCTTCCAGACTGTTGCACGCCGACTCTGAAATGATCTTCCTTTATCCTTACACAGTATTGACAGTCTGGATACTTTTAAAAAACAGCTAAATACCCTTTTATTTCAAGCTGCTTTTACCTAAATCTTTTATTTTCCTATTTTAACTCAAATTTTTAATCTTTCATCTGTTTAAGAAATTTTATAATTTCATGACTTTATTGTTTCTGTTAATCTGATTCTGTTTTGAGAGCATTTAGATTTTATGATGTTAATCTATTTATGATTTTATGACTTTGTTTTATTTTGTTTTGATCTATGTGAAGCACTCTGTGATTCTGTGTCTGTGATAAGTGCTATACAAATAAAATGTTTTACTTACTACTAACTATCATTATCATGATTGGAGAACATTACAGATGAAAAAGTTACAAACAGAACCCATCTTAAGTAACTTGAAGGGCGAATAATGCCAGTTAGTGCTCTTTGCTTTAGGAATTCAAGAGGAGCAGATAGTGGGTGGATATGCAGAAACAGTGCATTGTTGGTGAAGCTGAGCCAGAAAGTTTCATTTTAGAGTCAATAAAGGGGTGACAGTGGGTTTTTTCTCTGTACCTGAGGAAACTTAAGGAGTGTCCCATCACTTTGAGGCTCATGGACCAAAAACATGTTGTGTTGTCTCTGTGCCAGATCTTCATCCTCCTCTGGTTGATGAGCAGCCACAAGTGTGGATGACAGCCGCCCATCACGGGTTGCATGCAGAACCCACGCGGAGGACAGCTTTTCAGGCTGCCGTGCAACACAGTATCGACTACAAACATCCAACAGAAACAAAATGTTAGTTCAATACATTTGAAATTAGCCTGAGTGTTGAACTGTGCAAAACGCAAAATAGTGAAAACAATGAAACACCTCAAACATTAACACAAAGGTGTTTTGAAAAGTTGATGTTTTACATGCACACCTATTGGTTGTAAACACAATGAAAACTGTATCTGCCTTTAAGTTAGTTCCAGTTTCTGTCCACTCACTTCCAGATACTAAATCCGACCTCCAAGCTTCTGATTAGATTACAAGTGAGTGCATTTAAAATGAAATAAGAAACATCAAAAGTTTGATAAGAGGAACTTCAAGAGTTCATGGTCCACTGAAGGAATGCATGCAACTGAAGAACAGATGTGCATCTTCATTCTTTAGGTCTAATCTAACCTTTACCTAATTACAACTTCCATGTGGATGATTGATGGTTTTCTGTTGTTGTTGTTTTTTTGTTGCACTGACACACATTTACAAGTTGTGTTACACACATTCACTGCAAAGAAAAACAACTTAAGGTGTGTTGATGTGTGAAGAAACTAACTTAATGAAAATGTATTCCTAAGACGTTTATTATAACAGTGATGCATCAGTTACATCCCCTAGATTGAATATATGTAATCTAAATGGATAAAACATTCATGCCTTACTAAAATATATCAGTTGTTTTTCCGTAAAGCAAAACTAAAGAGTTTTTAAGACATTAAGCTATTGCTTTCAAACTGGTTTTAGTGGTTTTTGAGCCAGAAACTTAAGCAACTTCACATGAGATAGAACTCTTCAGCCCTCTGTTGACTAGAAATGCTCTTAACAGTTTTGTGGTTTAAGTAGGTACACTAGTGGGTGGTCTCTACTTGCTTCATGGCAATAGCTGTTTACTGTGCTGGCAGCTAACATAAAGACTAGCTGTTAGCTTTTTCAGTTTGCCGACCGTCAAAAAAGCAAAAATAGAAGAAGAATTTTTATTTTTTGTTGGCATCATGGCGGAGCCTGGAAGCAAAATTAAGAGAGTAATGTATTTGGAGGTGAAGCAAAGAGCTAAAACTAGAAAAGGAAGAGGCTGCACGGACTGATGGTGACCTGGCTTTGTTGCTGCTAGACTTGTAAGTAATAACATTTGTTGTTCAATAGTGTGGATCTTTTTATTTTGTTGTTTATTTTTGTATCAGTTTGATCGTTTAGTGATAGCTCGTTGTTAGCGCTAGCTAGAGCAAGTTGCGGCAGGGTTGTTTACAACAGTTGTAATTCCTCTTCCAACCAGTAGGAGGGAGAAGCAGGAAACTAACAAAATGTCTGTGGCTTAAACACTTACCTGTTCTCAGTAAAGCGACCGTGAGTAGAAACACACAAGACCTTTGGCTCCACATACTCAACGGAGAACTCTTCTGCTGGCACCCCGTACACTTTGTACTTCACAGGGAAAATGTTTTATTTATCATTTCAAGTTGCTATGATAATGGGCATTTACACATTGTTTCCCCTCACCAGAAGGAATGATGTTGTGGAAGTTTGCAGAAGAATCTCCGTCCTGTGAGAAAGCGGCAGCATCGCTACTTGATTTCTGCTGTTCACTGCCACGCTCCGGCACAAAAAGCTGCACGGATCAGTGCATAAATCAGCTAAAAACATCAACCATCTAATATTGAGATGTAATTTCTCTACACATAAAACAGAACAGCTCACCTGAATGCACAGTTGTAAATATTGGCCCTGGCTAAGATCTGTCCATCTGACTGACCGCGGATGAGTATGTTGACATTCTGGACAGTGTCCACCTCACTGGCGTACTCCAGAACAAGAGCATAATGGCCTGGATGAGGCACACGCAGACTGAGCTCCAGGCGTGACTGCACGACAAAGAACGTGCACATTTTTGCAACTATTCAGGGCCTGAGTAAAATAATTTATAGCTAAAGTAAGTCATCACGATAACAGATGTAATAATTCCTGTTTTCGGTCTCATTTGATAAAGTTTTTGGTAACTTTTAGCAAGTCTGAACCTGTCGTCCATTGAGAGCAGCCATCTCCGGGTGATCCGGTGTGGGACGTTGGACTCGTATCTGCCTCCTACCCCTCCTCCGTCTGCTACGAGTGGTGAGCTTACCCTGTGAGGCGAGTGCAAAGCTGAAACCATCCAAGGCCACGTGCTTATACAGCAGACAGCTACAGCACGTGTGAAAAGCCAAAAAAGTAAAATAAAAATGACATTCTGCCAATGATAAAGAGTGGTGAAAGAATGAAATTAAAACAGCCTTTACTTTGCGTCCTTGTCTGCTGTGTGTAAGTACGTGCAGGGCTGTGTGATCTCTTCCTGCAGCACAGAGGCTTTGTAGTATTCCTGAGGAAGCAACACTAAGTAGTCCTGTTGAGGGAGGTACAAATAATATTTTATTTATTTTTATTTTAGAGGTATCCAACATCAATGCACAAAAATGGACCAAATTCATAAAATTACTAAGTTTCACGGCAGCATTTTCGTCATAAACGCACCAAGAGAACTCCATCAGCCCTTATATGAATGATCCATTTCCCAGGATTCAGTGCGAAAGGCTCAGCAAAGCCCTCTCCCGGGACAGTGATGAAAGACGGGGAGGAGCTTGGAGGAAAAATCACTTCTTTACTCTGATCTGCCCCTGAAGAAGAAGAAAAGGGTTCTTAGAAACTCATAGAAATACACAACATCGAGATATAGCATGAGTCCAAGGAGGAAATGTTTTCATGTCCCTAATGATGGGTTAGGAGTGACAGTTTGATGATGATTGCCAGTTGCAGCCTTACCTGCAGAGTGCCTGTTATCGGTAGCCTTGATGTTACCAGTCACACTGATGCTGTTGGGGTTAATGAACCGCAGAACCACACGGAACAAGTTTTGCCTCCCGTCTTTCACATCAACATGCACTGTTACTCTGACGTCACTCTGCGGGGATGACAGTTACACACTGACTTGCAGTCAAAGGTGCACCTTTGACTATACGGTGAGGGCGTGACATTACAAAAGAAAACTGGCGTTAGTTGAGCAGAGGAGGTGAGCTTAGAGCAGACAAGAAGTGAGGTGAGGAGAGTACAACAAAACTAACGCTAATGCAAGCACTTCACTTACAATCACAGCAAGTTTCGGCTTCGCCCACCACCAAGATCTGTGCTCCGCCCACGCGTTGGGGGGTGGAGTAGCGCATTACAATATAGAAGGTTCCAGGAAAGGCAAGGCTAAGAATTAGAATCACCTCCGGCTGAAGACAGAGAGTGTTAGTTGTGAGAGCTGATCTCACGTCAGCGGTGGAATAACAATGATTATTTGTGCAGAGGCAAGAGCAAAAGATTTACATTCAGACCAGACTGAGAAAAGGAATCAGTGCAGTCGCAGGTGAAGTGATCTCCAAAAGAAAAAGGTCAGAACACTCTGATTCATATACATCAATGTCTGAATGGACACACCTGAGCAGGTGACATTATGGCGTAACCTCTCCAACTAAACCCTGGGAATTCATTGGGGTTAAACCCAAAGCGTACGGGTCTGGCATTTGGTGTTGTACCATCCTCCACCTCAATTTTCAACTGGTGCAGGGTGGGGAAGTAGAAGCTTGGTGCGGGTCTTGTGACAAGAAATAAAAACACACAAATGTTTAGTTTAATTTTTAGAATGCTGAAGAGAACTCGCTTGAAACCAACTTACTCTGTACATCTACGGCCAGTGACGTTCTTCCTACACCAACATTGTCCAGATGTCCCATCACACGCTGAGCTTACCGCACCTCCAACATCACATTGACAGGCTGTCGAAGGCAGAAAAACACACAAGTGAACGGGACATCAGCTGTTCTTCTACCACTGAATTAACCCAGAATCACTCTTCTAGTCCAACATTTTTGTTTTTATTTCTGGTGAGAATCTCGATAATACTTGAACTGAATTTTTTTAAATGATGTTTCTGAAATAATTGTGAAACGTTAGTTATTCCTCTTGACTTAGATGCATTAATAATATTGTCAGTTACAATAATGCAACATTTCATTTCCCTCTGAGATTATTCAGATATTGTAGAATAAGCCCACAATTTCCTTCCTCCTCACTTTTTTGTTGTCTTTCAGTCTCATGATGCTCAGAACCCCTCCTGTACAGCTCATCATGTTAGTGCATGCCATTTAGTAAGAAGAGCATTGTTTGTAGTAGTCTAAGCAGTTTATTGGGATGAGCCATCTTCATTTTAACACAGCTCCCAATCAGAAACTTCCAGATTATTTCATTGGTCACTTTATCCCTTGTTTTACCCATTTGTCTTCTACTTTAATGTTTTACCTTTTTTGCACTATTTGAATTGCTTTAATTTTCGATTTATTCATCATGTTTCACATTTCTCGTGTACCATGGTCAGCGCCTTGGGCTTCTCGACAGGGTCGCAGAAGAAGCTTTATAAATAAAGCTTTGATTGATTGATTGATTGATTGATTGACTGACAATATAATATGTTAAAATTTAAAATATTACACAAAGAATGATGTTTGCCAAGAAAAAAGGAAGAATGATTTGTGATCTGAAGGCAGCAGCAGTAGCTCGGGAGGTAGAGCGGGTTGTCCAGCCAGAGAATGTTGTTGTTGTGTCCTTGAGCAAGACCCTCCTTGTCTGCTGGTGGTGGTCGGAGGGACCAGTGGTGGCGGTGCTCGGCAGTCTCGCTTCCATCAGTGCGCCCCAGGGCAGCATAAATACTGTATGTATATATATATATATATATATATATATATATATATATATATATATATATATATATATATATATATATATATATATATATATACATTCAAATATATATAATATTTTTTGTCATGCTTGTTCATTTTATCTGCTTTGTTGTAACAATGTCTTCTATTTTTGTTTAAAACAAAAAGAAGAAAGTACTCCCTGTGGTATTATCGGTCTCTAACTTAAGCCCAGTTGCTTCTGATTGACAGAAGCAACTGAGTATTTCATGCGCTCAGATAGTGAAATGTGAATTCTGATTTTCTGAAAGAAAAATCTTACCTTGACAACCAAAGTAGTTCTTTTTCTGCATCAGAAAGTATCCGTTCTCGCAGGAGTCACATGCATGCCCACAGACATTCGACTTACAGTGACACTGACCGCTTCTCTGAGCAAAGCATTCAGCAAACACAGAGACTAAACTTTAAACAAGGTGAAATCAGACAGAAGAATGGTGATGAAAGGGGAGGTTATTGAAAATCCTCACCTGTTCACATTCTCCAACACCGCTCAGCGTCCCTTTCAGATCACACCGACACTCTGGTGTGAGCAAAGAGACAGAAAGGGGGCGAGTTATGACGGGTTATGTAAAACCCTTCTGCGTTCAGAGATCTGCACATCAAAGACCCGTGGAAGCTTTTTATCCAAAGGCTGCTTATTGTTTTAAAAAATAAAAGAAAACATTTCTGTGAATATCCAGCCACAGAAATTCAGAGAATTTCCTGAAATAACAGTAAAAAATATATTTTCTGTGATTCTTTTGTCTTCAGGCAGGATGGCCATGACTGCAGCTGAAAATAATAAAAGCAACCTTTCTTTTCTGATACGAGCAACTTCCAGGTGATCTAAACTCTGAGGGTATGTCAAAGTGATTTTAATGTCTTGCTGGTTGCAGAATGAAACGTCTCAACTAAAACTAAGAAAGCTACCTGGAATTATTCTCCAGTTACCCCTCTAAGGGACAGGAAATCTGACTCGACCCTGTTAACAGGGGGGGTATGATGACATATTCTGGGGTAAAAGGTGCCAAGTCGGATTGCTTCTGGCAGAATAACAATCTGGTTAAAAATGAGGTCAGATTTTATGAGGAAAAACTGGGTCCTTTGTGCAAACAGTGAGCCAGCTAAGCAGTTACTTTCTTAGCTCTTTATATTCAGAAAGAGGTAGTTTTCAGTTTATATTTTAGATTTAGTCAACCCACCTGTGCAGCCGTGAGGGTTGTCTGCAGCTAGGTTCCAGTAGAGAGGTTTACACCTGTTACACAGCGTGCCTTCTACGTTTATCCGGCAGCGGCAGAAACCCTGAAACAAGAGAGAAGGAATCTAAGAGTTGTTGAGACTGGAAGCTGAAAGCCGAGTTGCATTTGTCCACTATCAGATAGAAGAAGCCATTCACGAGCGCCTGCAGCGAGCAGTTCAGGCTGCAAAGTGGCAGCTTTTTTATTTCCAAGTTTTCAAACAGAAGCACTTGGCTAAGTAATATTTAGGTTTGTGTTGCTCTAGTTTTTTTTCCTCTTTAAAGTGGAAGGAAGTTGCTTTATCCTGTTTTTAATTACCTTGATGAAAAAGCACTTCCTTGCTTGATGGCTTAAAATCGTGACCAAAGTTCAGCCGTGAAGCTGTTCGTCCATGTGATTCCACGCCCAGACCGCGATGGGACTACTTTTTGTTATCAAGGTCAAAAGAAACCTGATCATGCAGCAGGTTTTTACAAACTGAAAAGGAAATTTATCGTGAGAGGGCTTACCGTCTGAGGATCGAACACTTCTGTTCCCGCTGTATTGCATACACCGATGGACTCTGAACGTTAAATGCACAGTAAAAAAAAAATTAAACGTGGGAATATGTGATAAGACATGCAATTATTTCACATTTGTACATAAAAAATATATTCTCTTAGTTAAATAATAGCTGATTCTGCCCAGGAGTGCTTACCGGAGCACTGGGGGAACCTGAGCCCAGAGGCACAACGATCACACTGCTGGCCCACCACACCAGAGAAGCAGTGGCACTGACCCGTTAACGGGTTACACGTTGTGCCGTACGAGCCTTCTCGTGAACACTGGCAGGCTGGGGACAGGCAGAAAACAGAATTGGCCCTCTTTTGGAAAAAGGATGATCCTGTTCATTTTAAGATCCAAGCTTCCACAAGTGATTCCCAGCAGCCTATTCTTAGAACGCCCACGTTTGAACCAGATTTCACTTTTCTCAGTCCCATGCATCTTGCGCAAAAAAAAATCGATGTGAATGACAAAGTAGGTTTATTCTAAGGGAGAGTTCCTGTGTCATGAGAAAAGGTCACAATAAATGCTAAATAAGAGCTGCATTTTAATTCTACCCACCAGCACAGTCTGGGTATCCATAGTAACCTGCAGCACACTGGTCACACTCTTGTCCCACATAGTTGGAGAGGCAGATACACCCACCGTCTGGACTGCACACACTTTCAGCCACTCCTGCTCCATCGCAATGGCACGCTGAGGAGGAAACAATCAGAGGCTGAGCTAAAAAGTTCATCTAACTAAACCTGATTTGATCATTTGAACTTTTATCTTTTTAATTCTGCAGAAGAAACTTTAATGATTGAGTTCGAACTTTAAATTTACAGGTAAAATGACAGAAGTTTCTTTAAAAAATTTTAGTTCTGTTTAAGTTTTTTTATCCTGTTTAGCTGATCCGTAAAGTCTATCAGAAAGCTTCTGGTGTTTCTTTCATGGTCAAATAAGTGACTTATGATGACATAAAACTTTGTTTTTACAGCCATATGATTAGTTTTGGTTATAAAGGTACACGTGGACCTCGTTTAAAGCCACATAAGAACAACTCACATGAAGGACTCATCTTTTAGGTCAAATACTGCAAATGTTAGAAAGAACTTTATAAATGTTTGATACAGAGATGATGCATTTTAAGCAAAAGATGTTGATGTAATGTCTTGAAGTATTTGTAAGGCTGACAGATAATAGATTTTAATTTTGACTCTTTAAAAATAATCATTTTTAGAAGACTTTTCAAAATAAAAGTTGTATAAATGGCTTCTCTTCTTCACTCAAAATGCTGAAAACAAAAATATCTAATTTCATTATCACAAACCTGTCCTGTATAAATAGTCTAAAACTCCAGATTTAGGTTCATAATTTATAAGATTTATAACATCCTGTAACTCTATTTTTCAGCATAAAGTTTATGCATGAATTTAGTTTATCTCATACCTGCTGACAGTTTCAACTGAAGGCTTCAGTCTTCCTCAGAGCGTCATCCGACTTTTCACCTTATCACATCCGAAAACAACAGCTTCAAACGACGGATCAGGGAGTCCATCGAGATCTGGAGGCGAGGCAGCGACACCATCAACTGGGATGAGGAGGCGTGCATCCTATCACACACCTGGGACTCCATTCTCCAGAACCGGCGAGAGGGAGGTTCGGCTGGTCTGGAGGTGTGGTTCAACAACGCTCCCAGACCAGCTGATAAATGACGCAACGGCGAAAAATCGGATGATGCTCTGAGGAAGACTGAAACCTTCAGCTGAATCTGTCAGCAGGTATGAGATAAACATCTTTAAACCAGCAAAATATTTGTCTTTTAAAAAGAAAATTCAGTAATTTGATTTAGAACAAAGACAAAATGAACTTACTTTTAATCGGTTATGCATGAAAATTGCTGTAATATTAAGACCCACTGTGCAAAGACCTAGTTTAGACATCGTGCGGACGTGGCCTGGACCGACAGACTCAATATAGACATGATCTGCACGTTCATGCGACGTTGACTGTTTGCAGGGGAGGGGGGGTTTTCCCAGCTCATTGCCTTTCTCTGTGCTTTTCTCACCCTGGCAGTTTGGGAAGGAGAAGTGTCCAGCTTGGCATCGATCACACCGCTCCCCCTCCACATTTTGACGGCAAAGGCAGTGCCCGAAAGCATCACACAAGCCATACACTGTCCCTCTGTAGTCGCAGTTGCACTCTGCACACAAACATTTTATTCTCATTACTCAAAAGCAACAGTCCAACTCAGCTGAACAGTGACATGAAATAATAATGATTCCATACATCTTGCCTGCGTTGATCAGACTTGGGACTAAAACAGAAAGAGTGCCACTGTTGTTCCTCTCTAAACTGTAAAATCAGCTTCTCAAAAGGCTGCAGATGTAAATCCATCTGATTACAGAGTAAATGAAAGTTACTCAGCAGACAACTTTCTTTTTCCACATTCTGTGATTCATGAGATTACAGGCAAAAAAGCCAGGGGTTAAAGGCCATTTAAAAAATACATTTTTTTTTCTAAAATAGAACTGTGGCATTTCCAGCTCATGGAAAATCAGGAAAATATTCAGAACAAAGGCTATAACTAATATTAAACTGGCCAGTTCTCAGTGAAGAGTCCCAAATGACTGCTTCTTCTACCATGAAACAACTTAAATCCCCAACTGATGGAGCAGATCCTTTCAGATAACCAGACTGTTATCTGCAGACACGGTACCCTCCGCCAGCATTCTCACCGTCCCAATAAACCCAAACACAACAGGCAGCAGATTTCCAAAGGCCTTCAAACATGACCTCACGCATTTATGCATTAAGCCTGTCGGCGACTGAACTCCAGCACGTGTTCTGAACTTGAAAGCAAACTCGGTCAGACTCGGTGCTACCTAATATGATCCCCAGTCTGCTTTAACAGCCCGATCTGCCTCTGAGTGCATGTGACTTATGAAATGTTCTATAAAAAAAGCTTTTTCCAAGAGGAACAAGAGATGTAAAGGTTCAAGAAATAATTAAAATGCAATGTAAAAGCAGCTAGCTTAGCACAGACATAAAATAAAATGTTTATTTCAGGTTTAGGCAGACTCACGCTGACAGCTGGGGGGGTTGAAATAGCCTGAGGGGCATCGAGTGGGTCCTGCATGGGAAGAAAATGTTAAATAATCACTTGCAAAAAATGTAAAAGTATGTTTGCTTGTGGAACTTACCCACAATTGGACCTGCAGGTGATTTGGTGGTTGTCAGATAAACAGGGTAATCTAAAAAAAAATTTAAGAAAATTAAATTAAAGCCACAGTTATTACAGTTTCTGTTTATGTTAAAACTATAATTATTTGTGAGTTAAATCCTGCCTGACAAAAAAAAAGTTACATTTGCATAAAGATGCATCTACACTCAAGTTTTTGAGGATTTTTGTTCATCAGTTATTTGCAAAAAGATATAAAAGTTGTAATTAAATTAAAACAAACAATAAGCACCTTAAATTTCTGCTGACTCAATCTTTAGCTAATATTGATTTGACAGATTCACGTGTTACAGTTGTTTAAAAATGTTTTGCTATTATCTTGCGATTTTGAGACATCTCTGCAGTGGCAAAACTTGCACAACCTTCCTTTGAAGTCCGACCCATACTACACTAAAAACATTCCATGGAGCAACAGGAAACAAATGAGAAGTGTCTCTTGAATCCCAGACAGTCTCCTAATGACAGCCAACATGTTTAGTCTGGTGTGAGTGTGCTAACAGACCTAAGAGATAAGAAGACTGCTCAATAACTCAGAGTCATAAATCTTTTACCTATAAATGACAATTCAATTGGAGCTAATGACACGAGAAACAATCTCCCCTCAGGCAGATCTGAATCTGGTGGGGTTTGAGGGTTTGCATGACTTGAGTTTTGATTGTAAATTAGATCATTACAAAAAATAACGAGTGGGTTTCTACGCAGACACGAGGTCACGCTATGAACGCTTTTAGTGCTTTCCAATTAAATAAAACCTATATAAATTTCCATCCAGCGGATCACATCAAAGATGATGAACGAGGCTTATCTCTACTGCGTTGCAGACAGCTGAGTCTCTGCTTGAGCAGATCCACCCCTGTGATAAGGGGAATTTTTTTGTCATGTCAGATTTCTGTATCTTTTTTGTTTCCTGCGTTACGGATGAAGGTGCATTAACACAAGTCAGATCTTCAGGGAATGTCCATCTTATGTTGCCCTACAGAAGACCCTTGTCGTTGCAGGATGGAAAAATCAGACACAAGGTTTTAAAGCCAAGGAGGATTCTTCACCTGGCTGCACCATCACAACTGTATTCCACTAAACATGTGACTTCCTATTATCTTGCCAAACATCCATGGAGCTAAATGTCTTCAAAATCACATCCAAGTTGTAAATAATCTGGATGACTGATAATCAAAACCAGTGCAAACTCACAGATGCATTGAGGGTAGTGATGGTATCCAGCAGCACAGCGGTCGCAGTACTCCCCAGCAAACTGTGGCTTGCAGATACATCGTCCAGATCCCATTTCACAACCAGCTGATCTCCTTCTATCACAGCTGCAGGCTGATCATTTTAAGAAGAATGAAAACTTTTTTGAGCACTTATTTACAATAAAAACACTAAAAACAGACCGTTTTTGAACATAAACCAAATTGTATTTGATATTGACTCCCACTGCCTTCCCCAGCTAAGATGACGTAGCTGCGTTTGTGAATGGTGTGGTTTAAATCTCAAAGTGGTCAGGGCAACCCGATTAATTCCAGTGCTTTGTACAGTCCAAACACAAATGTCAGCTATTTATATACCACATATAACAGCTACAGAGGACTCCAGAAAGGTAAACAATGGTGAGGCTCAGTTCAGAGACAGAACAGCCATTTGAGACTTGACTGAAACTCTATTTAGGACCCCCCCTCCCCCCTCAATAAGTAGAAACATGTAGATCAAATGTTAACAACAATCTGTACATATTTTGGTATTTTTATGTTTTCTGTCAAATGGATGGAAGCAGCTGGATTCGTGTGGTGTTATCTAAAGATTTTTCAGTCGGAAAACTGACAGAAAAGCACAACAAAAGTGAAAAGTAAACTATGAGTTGCAGGAATGTCATTTACTGTTTGTGTCTGGTCACAATCTGAGGCCAGTAAAACGTTCTTTTCCATTGATTCAGCCCTCCAGCTTTGAGAAATGCTTGTCCCTCTGATAAAAACTACTACCCTTGATGTGATTTCAGTTTGTTATTACAGTATAATAACTTGCAAAAGCTGGGTGTTTCTTTCTAAATGATTATTTCTGAGTTAGTTCTAGGTTAAAGTGTCTGTAATTCATTTAAAATACAAAAGGACTTGAAATATTTTCTCAAGGCTGTCGATTTGCCAGAAGAAACTGCATTTAAATGTGAAAATCTCTATACCAGAAAAAAAATAAAACTGAGCTCAAACATACGATCTTCATGTTGTTTTCTTATTTTGTATTTTATCTGTGATGTTTTATGTCTCGAGGACACTAGAAGACCTTGTCTTAAAGATTTTGTTTAATTAAAACTGGCCAAAGGTTTTCAGAACAATAAATTCCTATTTCAACCCCACATTTACACAATCTGTCTTTTTTCGATGATCACCATGGCAACATCTATTAGTATGTGTGCTGCGATCTTTCATACTTGGTGGGTCAAAGAGAGAGCTCTGCACTGGCATGAAAGAAAAACAGATTGCTGCACTAAAAACAAACGTTTCCACAAATCTGCACTGAAAATACGATTTATAAATACAATTTGCTACATTATTGGATTTAGACCAACAACACATCCTCCCAAATTTTCTCTTTTCCAAAGCAGAATTTCTTCTAATCAAATTTTATCCCGAATAAATTGATTGACCTGAAAAGCTTTTGAAATCTGCAGGTCAAAGAGACAAGGTTACTCACGTATACATCCTGTGGGAGACTCAAAAGAGACTCCATAAGGTCGGTAGAATCCTTCAATGCATCTCTCACAATTTATTCCTGCAGTGTTGTGCTAAAGAACAGAAAATGTCATGACTGACCAACAAAAACATTGAATTTAGAGAAGACGAACATCATGAAAAACATTTCTTGTGTTTTCTACTAGAGGGAATGAGTATTACACATCAATCTATACATGACAATGTCTTTCACCTTTTCTAAATTGGGAAAAATTAACTGGTAAGATTAGAAACCATCTATACCAGGGGTGTCAAACATGCGGCCCGCGGGCCGGATCCGGCCCGCAAGCAGGTTAAATCCGGCCCGCGAGATGGCTGTGTAAACTTTATTTTCATACTTTACAATGTAGAGTGAAAATAAACTTATCTTTGTGAGCAAGTTTTCTCTGTAATGAGTATAAATAAAACAAAGCTGCGCTCAAGGCTCACACAAGAACTTGAATCACATCTTGAAGTTGGCTGCCACTCAGGATGTGACTTCTGATATTGATGTGCTGGTGAAAGCTAAAAGATGTAAAGTAAAATGAGTCAAATATACTTTAAGTGCTGCATGAAACTGATCTAGCCACGTGATCTGTAAGCTCTTTGAATCACTAAGGAATGTTTTTTTTATTTGTTGATTTTTTGATTTTTTTTTTTTTTTTTTTTTTTCAAATTTTCAAGTACACTTCAGGTGTTGTACTATTTTGGATACACTGTCCTCAGGCTCCAGCCTTGTTTTATATTGATTGTATTAAAACAAAGAAAACAATCTGAAGTTGTTTTTAATTTACCGGCCCGGCCCACTTGGGACTAGATTTCCCTCAATGTGGCCCCTGAGCTAAAATGAGTTTGACACCTCTGATCTATACAGTCTCCAAACAGTCATGGACAAACTGAAATACTTTTAATAACTCAAAAATATCCCATAGCCTTCCATGGCCTCTTTATTTCTGGTCATTAAGCATGAATAACAGCAGCTGGCAGCTTTCCTGTGCCAACAATAAAAAAACTGCATTTGGCAGCACTCACTTGGTGCATTGACCAACATCGAATTTCAAGTAGTTCAACATTTAGCTAAAATGTGATTTAGACTGAAATTGTGTATCAGAGCAGTTTGAACACAAATGCAGATAACACGATTATCATTCCACAGTGTGCTATACCTCAGACACACCTTGATATTTTACCATCAACTAAAAGGAATTTGGTTCCGCTGGCAAAACCAACCAAAGATAAATTTCATCTATCAAATCTATCAAGTTGGTAAAACCAACACCATCACTATACAATGCACAAAACACCCATCTCATCTAAGACAGCCATATCTTAAAATCTAAACCTTTGAGCTCAAGTTTGTAATCTCACCAAGAATTTTGAGTGAAACTCATATGAGATAAAAACTGACCAGAAATATTCCTAAATACAATTTAGTCGTTTGACATTGTGTCAACAGTGAAGCACGGGGGAAGTAGCATCATGCTCTGGTGCTGGTAGATTCCATGAAACAAAAATATAATGAAGATCAAAGACTAATATTTTCACATGATTTACAACCATCAATTAGAGAATTAAAACTTTATGTCCCACAGTAAAATGGCTCCAAACAAACATCAGTAGTGAAATTCTTAAAGGAGAACGTTTTAATGTTCTAAACCTGCTTTCCTCAGCCTTGAAGTAAGCTTAGCTGTGTCAGTAAACAAATGCACCTGTGTCTTTAAGGCATTCTAGAATCAAACACAATCTCATTTTGAGGAAAAGCTTGTTATGGGTGAGATTATTAAATAAAATTAATAAAAGTTTCTTTAGCTAACCTAATCATCTTTAGATTAATTAGTGCCGATTGGAACACGCCACAGAGGATAACATTGATAAATGAAGGCAATAATGATTGTTATTATGAGTTTTTATCCTCTACAAACACACATGCATTCATATGCATCTATTTAGAAACAATGTGAGTTCCATACCTGGCAGTTGGTGCAGACTCCGCCTCCTCTGTACCTGCCAAAGGTGTCTAAACTTGCTCCCCTCTTTTCCACCTCTGGGTCGTAATAACAGTCAAAGGCATGGGAGAAGCACTGGCAACCTGTGGTGGAAAGCCCCAAGACACACACACACACACACACACACACACACACACACACACACACACACAATCTCAGATTGCTTTAGCTATTTACTCAACGAATTACCTCCAATTCCACCAACTGGATGTAAACACCTTAAGCTACTTGTTAAAAGCTCCTTAAAATACAAAGTAAACAAGAGAGCACATCCTCTTCCTGTATACCACCCCAGTGTCTTGTTAATGTTTATGAATGGTTAGGGTGCTATTCTACTAAATGAGTGATCTGATTGGATTAAAAGCCTTCTTCATGTCTCTGTCACTGTTTTTGTGGCTGCTGCCAGGTCGTATTTCACGATGGGGAATTTGCCAATCCTCCAATTCCATTGCAGCTGACACGAAGTTTGATGGCTGCCTGTCTTTATGGATGATCTAGTCTGGCAGCAGCCTTGCTTATTGACATGTCTGGTAGCTAGTAGGATGAAAAGCAGCAATCCTGATGCTGGTTGTTCACACAAACACACCATAAGTGGAATGCCCTGTCCACTCTTCACTGAGGCTCACTACCATATCAGGGCATCCGTACCAGGGATTTAATATCCTCTTTGTGGGCTGTAACTCTAGGAGGCAGCAGCATGGAGAGTAGCAGAGTATGATTGTGTTAACACATCCAATGAGCTGTTTTACGGGAACACTTACGCTGACACTCGTTGGGGCTGTCAACAGTCGCCGCTCGCCACGGCATCTGGTTGAAGCCTGGGCAGCAGCGATCACATGACTCGCCACAGGTGTTGTGTTGGCATTCACACTGGAGCCTACAGAAGGGAGGCGAATAAGAGGATCATGTCAGAGATCCCTGACACCTCTGAGACAATTGCACATCGCTGACACCTCTTGAAGTTACAACAAACACTTTGGCGAACACAAGACAACTGAGGCTGGTGGGTAGCCCCATTTCCAAACTCACCGGCTACTTTTGGCATGGAAGGGAGCAGTTTGACGTGTCTATTGGCTGCCCAAGTGTCCTTGACTAGGTTTACTCTGGGCCAAGTGAAATGATGCTTTTGTTGAAGATTTCATATTTTGGGGCTTTCATTAAAACTCTCAGTGTTTATTTGTTTCCATGTCCTGTCATTTTAGGCAAGGCAGCTTTATTAATATAGCACATTTCCTACACAGAAGAAATTCAATGTGCTTTCCAGGAGAGAGAACAGCAAGAACATAAAACATTGAAATCAACATGACAACAGCAAACTAAAAAATCTAATTTAAAACACACAAATGCAACCAGATGTAAGAATAAGATAAAAAGACAAAGTTAAAGGCCGAGCAGTCACAGTGCAGAAGGTGCAGCATAGGACACATTAATTAAAAAGCTGATGAACAAATGAAAGTTTTCAATTTTGATATAAAAGTTACTAAAGTTCGGGCACATTTGAGGTCATGAGGAAGCTGATTCCATCTTAAAGCAGCGTCACCCTGTTTGGTTCTGACCCATGGTTGAGAGAGCCCTGCTGGGTGTATACTGTATACTAGGATTAGGCGATATTACCATATTACCATACACAGTCGGTGTTAAAAAATGGAAAAGGTGTAGTTCCAGTTCCATCACGAAAAAAAAAATTCATACGATAAATAAAGGTCATTTAATGTATAAAATGGATGTGTGGTTGAATTTTCAGTTTTACTTAAATTGTTTTAAAAATGTTGTCCCAATTTTACAGACATTCCATAAAGCTTTTGAACATGATGTCATCACATGACTGAGAGAAAAATAGCAGCTCATGCACCAAATAACTTGGTGTCTAAAAACAACACAACTTCTGCAGTTTGGGATTATTTCATGTTGAAGCAAACTTAGAAGGACAGCCGGTAAACATTGATGAGGTAATCCGTGCAAACAAAAGATGACAGCGAAAGACGCACACCCCATCAGAACCGCAGAGGAGCGAGCAGTAGCTGAAATAGCAGACTTCTGTCTGGAGCCTGTTATTAAAAGAGATGACAACTCGCTTTTCTGGTGGAAATATGCAGCCAGCATTCCCTAAATATCGCCACTAGTCCCAAAGTACCCGTATGTTGGTGCCACAAGCTCATCGAAGCAGGTTTTCAGCAGTCGGTCCACAACGTCCTAGGATGAAGCTGAATAAGGTAAATATGATGATCTTTATAGAAGCTGCTTTTTTTTAAAGTTGTTATTATAATGTATATTATGTTGTTATTGTTTTAGTAGTAGTGTTTGTTATTCAGTTTCTGAATGGTGAAGGTCCAAACCAACAGTTTGGTAATTCCACTTGAGGCTTACATCATGATTTTGTAATTAGTCCCGGTAATATCGTACATCTTGGTAAAATGTGGAGGAAACTAGATGGTATTAAAATTTGAACACCGCCTAAGCCTAGTATACAATACAACAAGGAACAACAAGGAAATCCAACATGTGTGTTGGCCCCAGGCCTTTGAGTGATTTATAAACTAGTAGAAGCACTTTGAAATGTATTCTGTAGTTTACTAGTAACCAGTGCAGAGATTTAAGAACAGGAGGATTTTAGAATATTTGGAATTATTGTTTAGCTATTTTGAGGTGTTGCTAATTCATTATCCATGGGATTTGGACATCTTGCATTTCCACGCCACCTCCTGACACCCCAGGATAAGTGCCTCAACACAGAGTTTCATCACAGACCAAAAACAAAATCCCAATATTCTTACAGGTGCCAGTACCACACGAGTAAATAGACCATCTCTAGAGGTAATTCATCATTCTTGGCTGTGTCTGGAAATTGAGGTTTGGCAGCATATCTGTGGTCTCAACTGTTCATTTTCAGTATGAATCCATCAGAATGGATTAGTTATAAACTGTGGAGTTTATTGCACAAACAAAGAAGTCAAGTTTGTTCAAGAATAAACAAAATAATCTAAATTCCTGTTTGTATTCACAGTTTAAACTGAAAAGCAAAACACTGGGTAGAAATAGGTTAGAATGAAGATGGACAACACAAGCACAGCTGAAGAAGAAGTGTGTTCCCCACCTGTTGGGGTTGTCCAGGTTTCGACCTCCACCACACACCTGGGCGTGTCCGTGACAAACACAGCGTCCCCCAATGCTGATGTCTTTGATACTATAAAAATACTGTCAGCAGATAAAGCAAAACAGCAGGTGTTATCAGAACCACCACGCCAGGTGAGTCATTTTTAACAAACTTGGACTATGACCGATGAGGTAGAGGTTTTATTGGGTGACTCAGGGCATTGCATGAAAAAGTATAAAGCTAACATATTTCAGATGCAGGAAAGGCTTATTGGGGATTTTCTTTGGCATGCATGTTTGACTGTAATATTTAAGATTAGGTGCCACATCTCATGCATGAAGGACAAAAAAATCCTGTTAAAGGAAATGACTCCAGAAAGACCAACGTGGGAGCAGAGCAGCGTGACTGCATCAGCAAAATGAACATCGGCAGGTAGGAGTTATGAAACGCCCAAATGGGAACCTGCTGCATTCCAACATGACACCCCAATGTGAGGTTGAACAGTTTGAGTCTCACCCTGCGTGTGACGGTGGGGTCTCTCTGGGCCTTGGAGATCAGGTGGCCCAGCAGGGTGTTGGTGCGGAGAAAGTGCAGCCGGATGTTGGTGGCCTTCGTGAAATCTCGCAGCATTGGTGAGTATGTAAAGTTTTTGGATCCTGGCCGTCCGTTGATCAACGAAACCACAATCTGGAGTAAATGAAGATTCAATGATCAACTCTTTAAGAGTCATTGACTGACTGAATTAAGGTTTACCTCTCCATTCTCCAGAGGTATGATGCGTGAGTACTCTGTTGTGCAGATCCGGTCGTCATCTTTCAATATACGACCGTTGGGCTGCTTTCCAAACCGCTCGATACACTCACGCTTTGAATCTGTTGCGAGAAAAATTAAACACTCAAATTTCTTGCATCAGCGTGCAATTTTTGTATTATTTTATATCTAAAAAGGCCAAAATAATGCTTAGTTTGTCAACTACTATTGACAAATTAAACCAGAAATACAGTCTGGGGGGGAAATGATGTGTAGATGTAACATTTTTCACAACAGAACATAAATCAGCCCAAATAAGAAATATTGCCAAACACAAAACAGATCATAAATCAGCAAAAACTTGGAAAAACGTAAAGACTGAGAGTATAAATCTAGTGTTGTGTCCCTGTGCAGCTACCTCCCACATAACTCATACCACTGAAATGCCAAGCCATAAAACATACTTGTTAAGGTAATTTGGGATTGCAGCGACTTTCCAGGCCTTGTTTTAATGGATTGGCTCAAATTCAACTTTAAAACGTAACTCAAATCTACACTTTGCTTTACGCAATGTAAGCTGTTTTTTTTTTTACTGTCCTGATTACAAAACAGTGCATTGACTTGTATTCATTGTGCATAGCTTAACTCAAATGTGCAGTATTAATCATTATCAGTTTATACCTAATCATAAATTAAACCAAAATCAAAGTCCGATGACGACCCCAATAAATTGTTTTTCTTTTTAAAATTGGTTCCTTCAACTAGTTCCAACACGCACGTATACACATAAGCCTCGTGTTTCCATAACTAAAGAGGCTATTTCACATAACTGAACAAAATAGAATGAAACATAAGTTAAACTATTTTGATTTGTGTGAAATTGGACTGGCTTGTCTTTCTGCACATAGGAAACGTTTCGATGGCAGATTTGGGTCCCCACCGAATGCGTGAAACCCGGACCACACACACAAACACCACACACACAAACACTCAGGAGGCACATACTTTCCTCCTTAAACTGCCTTAAGCGAGTTAATCAGTGTGCAAGGATTAAACATACACCAGGATACGCTTATATATCCATCGTCATTATAGGATTTTTACGGCAGACTGTTTATCGTGTTACAGCAGGAAGGAACCAGGGTTTATTAATAATAACAATAATAATAAGTAACTGCACTTTTGTGTGTTCTGATGTTTCACTGGATCACCAGATGACTTTGAAAATGTATTAACTCATAAGTGACATAAGTGTTAGTGGGGAAAGAAAATTAACTTTTAGATTAGTGATTTTCTTTTTTCCTGCAAAATTTGGAAACATTTGAACTTACGTGCAAAGTACTGCCAGGGGGTGAACGTTCTGCCGTTGTCCACAGAGCGCTCCAGCACCCACAGGTCAGGACGAGGTGAATTGGCAAACTTGATTAGGACGTATGCAACATGGAAGAGCTGAAAACCGGAACACAAAGGAGCAGGCTAAACAAAAGGCACTCAATGCTCAGAGCGGATTTTGGCAAAACGTTGCAGTTTCCTGTTCTCTGCTGGCTCTATTGAGTGAGGCTGGGCTTTGGGCCCTGAGAGGACTCATTTCCTTTCTAGTGAAACTCCAGGCACATCAGCTTTGGTGATTTAGCTTCTTTAGACTGTACTCTTGTAGCTTTACTGCAGCAGAAACTGCAGGTGCAGCCAGGTGAAGGGGGAAAAAAGCTAATCAGGTTCCTGTTTGTTTTCTGACCTTTTTATCTCAACCTCCCATCAGAGCACTGAAGCCATAAGTGCAGAAAATGCAGCCAGTAACTGTTTCCGTCAGGCTCTTATTGCTCAGTGAAGCATGTTTCCTTTGTGCTTCATCAACATCATTCAAACACTGACTGATTTGAACGTGATAACAACAGAAAGGTAATTGGTGACCAAAACAAAAAATGTGTTTTTGTTTGATTTCTCAGATTAGATGTTGGAAATTTTAACCATCCAATGTCGGTCCATGTGACACCTGCAGCATTAACAAAAAGCTGCACCTGACTATACTTTTGTTGTGTTTTTTAGAACCTAAAGTGACCTTTGGCAGAGCTGAAAACTGTTACATCTTCAGTCTATGGTTGATGAAACTCTACTGTCTTATAAAAAAAGCCTTTCTGCAGGCTGCTTCTCTAGAAAGATGAAGGCAGGCCCACACTTGTCTTGCATCCCTCAGCACCGTGATAAAAAGCTTCGTGGGTATTTGAAAAATTCAGGTTTTTGTCTTTCCTTGCATGAAGCAGAGATGTTTTAGCGAATCAGAGCTAAGCATGACAAAGCCATAAAGCTGTAAATAGTCAATAACAGTTTCAAAAAACAACAGAATATTTAGGTGGAATTCCTCAATGCACCGACCTCAAAGCTCAAAAACTCAAAAAAAAAAAACCTCTGGTCAATGTATGGTGAGAGTTCAGGGGTCAGCTGAGTGCCTTGCCTTTTTTTCTGAACAAAACAACAAAATCACCAGGTTGCAAATCAGAAATAGTCCCTGTCTTGATGGTCTCTAATCAGCGCTGCTATTGAGAAAAACAACCAGCCTGCAAGACTGCTTCCTTCAGCCCTAAAATTTACATCGGGTGTGTCCCGAAATTAATCAGGGAGCATTTCTACCCACATGCAACAGGATGCACAAATAAAAAAGAAGAGAAGTGGGTTGGTGTCTAATAATAGAAGCAGCCTACTATTAGTTCAGTGGTTCTGCTGAGGACTGAGAGGAAGTTTAGTTCACATGGGCTATGATGGCGTAAAAAGGGTAGGGGTGGCAAGAGACGTGCAGGCTGGCATGCGGACCCATGTCAACACCCCCCCCCCCCCCCCCCCCAAGTTCTCCTCAAAGCTGAGCTCAGCAGTGAGAGAGGTGACGATTTTTTCCACCATTATTGTTCAGAAGATGACAACAAAACCTTTGAAAGTCTATGAAGCGGAAGGTTAATGGGTCGATGGAATGGGTTTGAAACAATTCACTTAATTGTGCATCACTAATTAATTCATTCAGCCGCAACTGTTCCTGCAGTGTTTCAAATTATACAACAGAGTGGAAGTAATTGTAGTAGATCTCTGCTCTAATGCAAGCTAGAGTGCAAGAGTTCAGGTCTGTGGAAGATTGGATGTGTATCTTGATGCATGACGATGATGTATTTCAGCCCTTAATTATGGTTCTCATCATCATCATTATCATCATCATCAATATCATCGACATTGTCATCATCATCATCATCAACATCGTCGTCATCATCATCATCATCATCATCAACATCGTCATCATCATTATCATCATTATCAACATTGTCGTCGTCGTTGTCATCATCATCATCATTATCAACATCGTCATCATCATCATCATCATCATCATCAACATCGTCATCATCATTATCATCATCATCAACATCGTCGTCGTCGTCATCATCATCATTATCAACATCAACATCGTCATCATCATTATCATCATCATCATCATCATCATTATCAACATCGTCGTCATCATCATCATCATCATCAACATCAACATCGTCATCATCATTATCATCATCATCATCAACATCGTCATCATCATTATTATCATCATCAACATCGTCGTCGTCGTCGTCATCATCATCATCATAGTCATCATCATCATCATCAACATCGTCATCAACATCATCATCATCAACATCGTCGTCGTCGTCGTCATCATCATCATCATCAACATCGTCGTCATCATTATCATCATCATCATCATCATCATCATCATCATCATCATCAACATCAACATCGTCATCATCATTATCATCATCATCATCAACATCGTCATCATCATTATTATCATCATCAACATCGTCGTCGTCGTCGTCATCATCATCATCATAGTCATCATCATCATCATCAACATCGTCATCAACATCATCATCATCAACATCGTCGTCGTCGTCATCATCATCATCATCATCAACATCGTCGTCATCATTATCATCATCATCATCATCATCATCATCATCATCATCAACATCGTTGTCATCGTCGTCATCATCATCATCATAGTCATCATCATCAACATCGTCGTCGTCGTCATCATCATCATCATCAAAATCCTCGTCATCATTATCTTCATCATCATCATCATCAACATCGTCGTCGTCATCATCATCATCATCAACATCGTCGTCGTCGTCGACATCATCATCATCATCAACATCGTCGTCATCATTATCATCATCATAATCATCATCATCAACATTGTCGTCGTTGTCGTCAACATCATCATCATAGTCATCATCATCAACATCGTCGTCGTCGTCATCATCATCATCATCAACATTGTCATCATCATTATCATCATCATCATCATCATCAACACTGTCGTCATCATTATCATCATCATCATCATCATCAACATCATCGTTGTCGTCATCATCATCATCATCATCAACATCGTCATCATCATTATCATCATCATTATCATCATCATCATCATCATCATCATAATCATTATCAACATCATCATTATCATCATCATTATCATCAACATCGTCGTCGTCGTCATCATCATCATCATCATCATCATCATCATCATCATCATCATCATCATAATCATTATCAACATCATCATAATCATCATCATCAACATCGTCGTCATCGTCATCATCATCATCATCATCATCATCATTATCAACATCAACATCATCATCTCCTCACTCTTAGATTAAATACAAGCAAATGAAAATAATTCCTGACAAATACCAAAACTACTTTCCATCACATTAAAAATAAAAATACTTAAATTGGTCAACTGGCAATACTAAAAATCTACTATATAAGAACAACTGTTCTTTATGCATAACATTAAACTGCATGAAACCTGACTCACAATCGCTAACTACTTAGCAAAAGTACCAGCAGTAGATTTGTTTAACACTCTAATTGATGTATGAATTGTGTTCTTTAGGAGATGTAAAGCAAATGATTAGTCGACTCATCAAATTGTCAATTTATTTCAATCGTTTAAATAATCACCATCAACCCAGGCTGAGCACGCTATGTTCACAAAAAACACACCTGTGTTTTTACGTGTGATTCTATACCCCTGTTTTAAGAACATTTTTAATGTGTGTGTGTGTGTGTGTGTGTGTGTGTGTGTGTGTGTGTGTGTGTGTGTGTGTGTGTGTGTGTGTGTGTGTATTGTGGAGGTCTAGGTAAGGGGCGATGCTAGACCTCTTCACTGGCGTATGTGAAAAACCCCTATATGTAGATCACATATGCCAGATGCGGCCCGCGGAGCATTTTTATGTGGCCCGTGAGATAAATATCAAAAATATATTAAAACTGGCCCGCTGGCCAATTTTACCGCAAAGACTTCAACTCCCATGCTGCTTTGTGGCGTCAGTGCGGAGCCGACGCGCCCCCTCCTTTGTGTTTTTTCCAGCGCCTGCTGCCGGTGTCTGCAGCTCCGCTATCTCGGACAAACTAAACACTCCTCTCACTCAGTGCTGAGTTCACTCAGCTATTTTCTGACGTTGAAGCCCAGAAACGGAGATTCTAGCCGCTCAGTAATGTGTTCACGACTGAAAGAGAAAGTTTTCCAACTAACGTCCAGACAGAGCCGATATAACTCCAGCGAGCAGCGACACGCTCAAACCAGCACGACTCTGTGGCTGCTGTCGTGTTTCCTCCCCGACACACAACAACGTGGTCAAGCTGCTCAGACATGTTCATCAGCACAAACCTATGTGAGCACCTGTTGTCATCTAATGTTGTCATTATTATGATGAAGTTGAACAAAACAACAGGAGTCTCCTCCTCAGCTCAGATCAACCCCATGATGCAGGTATCTGGCTGGAACAGGTGAGCATCACAGTAAACCAGTGGAGCAAACTGAGCTTTAAATATGTTGGTTTTATGCTCTTTTTCTGCTCCAAAACATGAAACTTAACAGGTGAGATGTTGCATTTCCATTTAAGATAAAATGATATTTTTATTTTGTTGTTGGACGGTGAGAAAAGATTTAAAAGATTTAAAGATTTAAAAGATTTTAAAAATGCTGATTATACCACAAGTAATGAATACCACTGATGCCTTTTATTTAAAACGGACTTGCTCGTGTGTAATTTGGTTATTCCACATTCAGTGTTAATGCAGAAATAAGTTTGTTTCCAAATCTAAAGGTTCAAAATTGCATATATGTTGATAAAGAAAATGTGCAAATTTGCCGTCACTTTTTCAAAAAAATATTGTTTGGCCCTCGACTCCGTCCCAGAGTTTCATTTCGGCCCCGTGTGAGTTTGAGCTTGACACCCCTGATGTAGATGGTGTCAACAACATATCCACAAAAACACTTAAAACTGCTTTTTTGTCATTATTTCATCAACGAAAAAGTCAGTTTTAGATATGAATACAAGAGACAAATTCAGAAAAATTACTGAAGAGAACAGCTTATGGTGTATTTAAATGGCATAAAA